TATATTCTTGCCCGTGCGCTCAATTTTCAAATTTGGGAATTTAAATACGGAAAGACTTCTCACGGACATCACTTGACACCTTGCTCACAAATCTTATGTGTGGACTGAACAAAATTCAGTAAATGCTCCTACCTTTTTCCAGCTAAATGTCACTTTTTGGACATTGTTATCACTTCCTGATGGGTGATGTTCCAATTTAGGGACAATATCTGTGATGTCTGAGTACTTGTATGGTACACGTGAAACACATTGTTTATTTTGATTTTTTGAGAACTATATAACCGAGAGAAATAGGCCATACCTGTACTATTCTCAGGAAGCAAAGCTGTATCAAGTTCTTATTTAACACGTCACCGTTGAACAGCCCGTCCTCTTTGAGAGTGTGGAAGATATCCATCCAATATTGAGTGCAGTGCTTTCTGAAAAAGCTCCACCAGGCCTCCATCTTTTGGTTAGTTGTGCTCTTTCCATACAAAAAGCTTTTAGCACCAGCCATGTTGTCTTCGTCGTTTCTTCTGAGAAACGTCTGTACCTGCTCAACATGGCCATTTTCGGTCCCCATATCTGCCCGCACTACGCGTGGACATCCGTGCCTAGAAGAAACTGCTGCCAGATAGTAGCCTAGTATTATTTTGGGATCGTTATTGGTGGTGTATGCCTCTAACCAAATCAAGTGTCTAGAATAACCATCTATGCATCCGCTTATCGCAATGCCAAACGGCTTTAACTTATCATACCCATCCATGTGCCACGTCTGGTTGGGTCCAGCACTTGTGTAGATCCTGCGTGTCAAACGATGTCTCCTCCTTGCTGCAACACCTTCAGGGTCTAGCAAATGTTGTATCATACGAATAGTGTTTTGTGAAACAACAAACCCCTCCTCAATGCACCTAGCGTGCATCCAGCGATATCCATAGTACTGAGCAGATGTTTGCAATTGTTCTTCAACAAATGATGCAATCTTAAGGATATCTGAATACCCTCTCCTCCTATACAGTCCTCCTTTCTTTAAAAGTCGGCGTAGATGTCTCTGACTAATAACTATTCCATGGTTCAGAGCAAGGCAAGACAATATCTCCTTCTGACTAAAACCGAGCTGAAAATACAGCTTAATAATCTCTTGACGGTCCATTTTAAAACGTTTGTTTTTTTTGGCAAGTAAAAGGACTAACTTTCATATCGGTCTAATTAGTCAGAAGCACAGTTACTAATCTGGTCCAGGAGTAACTACATGACGACAGCGCCAGCACTACTGAAAGTGCCGTATCGAATTGGTAATTCGTACGTACGGTTTAGTAATTCGTACGTACGAATTAGTAATTCGTACGTACGAATTAGTATTTCGTACGTACGGTTTAGTAATTCGTACGTACGAATTAGTAATTCGTACGTACGGTTTAGTAATTCGTACGTACGGTTTAGTAATTCGTACGTACGAATTAGTAATTCGTACGTACGGTTTGGTAATTCGTACGTACGGTTTAGTAATTCGTACGTACGAATTAGTAATTCGTACGTACGAATTACTATTTCGTACGTACGGTTTAGTAATTCGTACGTACGAATTAGTATTTCGTACGTACGAATTAGTATTTCGTACGTACGGTTTAGTAATTCGTACGTACGAATTAGTTTTTTTTTTAACCATGTCCTATCTACACTTCCATATATGCGCACACGTTTGCGATATGCGATGTCCCTTCAGGGCCACCATAGAGACCAGAAAGACAACGCACATCATACCTAACTTGTATTCAACGCTTGCTTGGAGATAGTGATGGCATGCTGCGACCAGACCAAATCGCAACACTTGCCCAAGATCGCAGTAAATGGAAGAAGCTTGAAGTCGACTACTCCGCAGCCGAAGGATAATGAATACCAAACAATTCCTAGAAAGTGAAATCAATAAGTTTTCTACAAAAGAAGTCATAAAAGGAAAGAGAGAGGTGAAACAGATGGTGCAGCTTGACTAAAATGAATGTTGGGAATACCTAGGAACCAATATTGGTTATTACAGTCAATCTGGGTGTTTTTTTTTTTTAGAGCGTATAGGCTTAGGAATAACTTTCTTGGAAAAAATGACAACATTCATTGAGGGGGGAAAACTCTCGGAATGCAACTGATTTCAGTATTTCAACAAGCCAATGTTGCAATCAACAAAATTAAATTAATGCTTGAGATCTCAACATTGTGGCAAAGCTACCCATTGAACACAGATTAAATCAAATCAGGCTTTGCCCTTCATCGACATTTAAACACTGTGTTACCTCCCGAGTGAAAGTTGGAAATATCACTCTGGTGGGACTCGAACCCACGACCTCCCGCTTTCTAGTGCAGATGTCTTACCACTCGACCACCGAGCTAACAGGATCGGTTGGCTGGTTCAAATCTGATGTACATAGCAGCGGGTACCGCATAAACTATTATGCGGTGAACACAGATTGGAAACAAACATGCATTATATGGATGAAAAATCTCAATTGCCGAGTTAATGCAGAAGGCGTTGGAGCAAGTCATTTAATAGAATATCACCATTTAAACGCAATGACCCTAAAACCTGTTTCGTCCCCAAAAAAGCAAGCAATTTATTTTGTATTCCGATTGTTTGGAACAACAAAGAAAATGACACATAATACTTGTTTCAACAGCTGTCAACAACTGTAGTACACAATACAACCCTGCTTGGGCAAACAAAATGATTTATAAAATCTTTTTTTTATTTTTAAGACGGGCCTTCAAAAGGACTTTGTTTAATATTTTTAACTTTTAAACTGTTTTATCGCTGGTGATGTTGGAAGACAATTGTGACGACGACTCTCGAAATTGTAATTTGTTGGGCGAAAGTGGTTTTAGGGTCATTGCGTTTAAATGGTAATATAACAGATTGAGCTATTTCAGAATTTTTTCATCAGAAAGTAGTTTATGAAATTGGCTTTCCAGTCATTCTTTTTTGTGCTACATATATTTTTAAATATGAAATACATTTTTGGGGGGTTTGGGTTCCGCTTTCTTGACTCGCCCTGTATATCATCATCGGAGGTGAGATGGCCGGTTTGAGAAAAGTCGTGACCTTGACGCGACAGTTCGTTGCAAAAGTATTTGTATATCGAGGTATTAATAATTTATCAAAAATTTTTGTATTGATTATTTAAGAGGGAAATATCGAGGAGAATAGTGGAGAAAACTAACCATCTTGGCTAGGAGGATATCATTTAAAAGGGAATTATGGAGGAGCATCAACATCTTAGCTAGGAGGATATTTTTAGAAGGGAATTATGGAAGAGACTAACCATCTTGGCTAGGATGATATTTTTTAGAAGGGAATTATGGAGGAGACTAACCATCTTGGCTTTGAAGATTTTTTTAGAAGGGAATTATTTAGGAGACTAACCATCTTGGCTTCGAGGATATTTTTTAGAAGGGAATTATGGAGGAGACTAACGATCTTGGCTAAGAGGATATTTTTTAGAAGGGAATTATGGAGGGGACTTACCATCTTGGCTGGGATGATATTTTCTAAAAGGGAATTATGGAGGAGAACCATCTTGGCTAGGAGGATATTTTTTTAGTAGGGAATTATGGAAAAGACTAATCATCTTGGCTTCGATGATATTTTTAGAAGGGAATTCTGTAGGAGACTAACCATCTTGGCTAAGAAGATATTTTTAAGAAGGGAATTATGGAGGGGACTAACCATCTTGGCTTGGATGATATTTTTTTAGTAGGGATTTATGGAAAAGACTCATCATCTTGGCTTCGATGATATTTTTAGAAGGGAATTATGTAGTAGACTAAACATCTTGGCTAAGAAGATATTTTTAAGAAGGGAATTATAGAGGGGACTAACCATCTTGGCTTGGATGATATTTTTTAGAAGGGAATTATGGAAAAGACTAATCATCTTGGCTTCGATGATATTTTTAGAAGGGAATTATGTAGGAGACTAACCATCTTGGCTTTGAAGATTTTTTTAGAAGGGAATTATTTAGGAGACTAACCATCTTGGCTTCGAGGATATTTTTTAGAAGGGAATTATGGAGGAGACTAACGATCTTGGCTAAGAGGATATTTTTTAGAAGGGAATTATGGAGGGGACTTACCATCTTGGCTGGGATGATATTTTCTAAAAGGGAATTATGGAGGAGAACCATCTTGGCTAGGAGGATATTTTTTTAGTAGGGAATTATGGAAAAGACTAATCATCTTGGCTTCGATGATATTTTTAGAAGGGAATTCTGTAGGAGACTAACCATCTTGGCTAAGAAGATATTTTTAAGAAGGGAATTATGGAGGGGACTAACCATCTTGGCTTGGATGATATTTTTTTAGTAGGGATTTATGGAAAAGACTAATCATCTTGGCTTCGATGATATTTTTAGAAGGGAATTATGTAGGAGACTAAACATCTTGGCTAAGAAGATATTTTTAAGAAGGGAATTATAGAGGGGACTAACCATCTTGGCTTGGATGATATTTTTTAGAAGGGAATTATGGAGAACCATATTGGCTTGGATGATTTTTTTGGGGTGATTCATGGAGAATGTCAAGGATCTTCATGAGGAAAAAAAATTGTAGATGGAAAGTTGAGGTTTATTCAATGAACAATTAAACTGTATTAATTCATTGTTACAAAGATGGTCTTCCTGAGAGAAGAAAACGGAGGTCGATAAGGGATGTCACTAAGATAATTGGAGAGCAGAGATCGATGTCATCAGGTAGATGTCTTTCTTGTGCTTCTATACAAAGGTATTAACTTCAATTTAATTAATCATAATGGAAGAGACTAACCAAACTGGCTAGGAGGATATTTTTAAATGGGAGTTAATGAGCAGACAAACCATTTTAGCTAGGAGGAAATTTTTAGAGGGCATTATTAAGAAGACCAACTAGGATGATATCTTTCAGACAGAACTATGAAGGCTAATCTTCGTGGCGTGGAGGATATTTATATTGGGGACGACTGATGGTGAAGTAGGAATATTAAAACTATAACACCAATATTAGTTATTTCTGGAGTAAAACAAACACATTTTATTTTAAAGAATATAAAAAACCCGTAACTTTTTTGACACAAATTACCAATACAGTGAAATGTCGATAAGTCAAACCTCAAAGAAACAGGTTCAAAATTTGACTTAGGCAGAGTTTTGAGTTAAGTAGGATTGTATATCATTGTTATACTACTGAAGGGAATGGATTCTTGGTTTGACTTAACAGTTGTTTTGAGTTATCAGAGTTTGACATATCGAGATTTCACTGTATATATAAAATACAAAATGATATAATGATGTTAATGAATTATTAAGATCAATATACTTTAAGGAAATTAAAAATGTGATGGTGAGACCAACAATTTTTTTTTATTTGAAGAGGCAGTTAAAATGTATTAACATGGTATATGAAAACAAAATAATATAATTGTTTTTCATTGGATTTATATATTACAGGAATTTTCAATGAATTTGGTGAAGGGATGTATTTGGTGTGCGAAGATTATCGACAAGGCAAGTACACAATATGCATTTTTCAAGTTCTATTAAAATAAAAGTTCTGTTATAATAAAAGTGTCTTATTTAAGGGGAATGCGTTTATCCAAGCAATTATAACTATTTTGCCAAAGTAGATCATTCTAATGGGGGAAGGTTTTTCTAATCTTCTTTAAGTTTATTGAAAAATACGTTTCTTTAAACATTAAAAACAATTCATGCCTTGTGGATTACTAAGGGCGCTGTTTCTGTGATGTCATTTCAGGGAGACACTGTTCTTATTATCTGTTATTCTGTAGAAATTCTGAACCTAAATTGTTTTCACTGAAATATTTATGAGAAAGGTTTGTTCAATGGCTTACTGCCATGTATTGACATAACAACGAATTACTAAAGAAAAAATTATGACTACGAGATATCCAAATTTCTGGCAACTTTTTGTGCAACACTAATTGCAACGTTGTGGTTTCAGGAGGGTTCTTATGGAAGAGGATTCTTAAGGAGAAAGTGATCGGTGAGGTTAATGCAATTATCGGTTTGAAGTCAAATTGTTGTTATGAAGGTTTTTAGGTGGGATTTAGGTGAGACAAAAATTGTGTTGGCTATTTACATTATATTTAATGTACTGTTGAAACAAAAGAAATTATTTATTTACAAAAATAGCATGTAGATTGTCGAAGGCTGAACAGTCTGATAGTCGAGACATTCTTGCCTCTTCAATTGTGTTACATCATAACATGAGTGCTGTGGCCTCATGAAGTGCTGTGGCCTCTTGCTTAAGGGCATTGGATTCATGGTCTGCAGGTAAAGCTGCAGGTAAAGCTGCAGGTTGTGGGTTCGAGTCCTCCACCCAGGAGTAAATGGTTTTTGTTTGAATTTGATACCATTTTTTTAAGTGATGGGGCATGTATAATTGTCGTTAAGCAGGTGTTTTTCTGAGGACTTTTCGTGTGTGATACATGTTGTTGGTTGTTTTATAGTGCATGTATTTGATGGTGCCATATAGGAATTGTTTTTTGATATGCTGATGTTCTTTGGGTGTGTTGATGTGTTGGAAGGGTAGTAAGGATTTTGAAATGTGTGATTTGGTGAAACCGCATTTTTACGACCTTATTGTAAAGAGTTTAATGATGTGTTTGTATTCACGTATGGGTGCACTGTGTGTGTTGTTTCTGTGGCATTCTCCTTTGATGATACTTGAACAAAATAATATTAGTATTGCGATTGGAAGTAAAGTGTACGTATGTGAACTTTTGGAATGGTTTCTGGTAAATATGGTAATGTAATGTATGGTGGTTGATGGACATGCGTAGGTCTCAGAAGTTAACTATTTTTTGTTGATGTTGAATGTGATTGGTATGGATTTTGGATAGATGTGGGCGAGTAGTTTGATGAGATGTGTACGGTTGAACTCTTTGGTGCTTCGCATGATGATTAAGCCGTCGTCAATGTATCTTTGAAATATTAAAATGTTTGGATGTTTGTGATGGTTATGGAAGTTGTATTCTCTGTGAGCTAATATGAGCCTGCGAGTTGTGCTGAGTGCTATGATCCCGTTTGTATGCCTAGATTCTGGTTGAAGATGTGATTACCTATTTGCTAAGTTGCTGTAATTGCTCGTGAATGTATGTAGTTTTTTTAAATATGTATAAAATTCTGAAAGGGTATTCTAGCAAGGTTGTAAAAATTGTAATTGTGAGAAGTGTGTCATCGATATCTTGTGGTCCAATGTTGGTATGAAAGCTTATAAATTGAATGTAATCAAGAAAATGTCGTCTTGGTAGTGGATGTCTAGGGTCTTAAGAGCTTCAATCAATTGTAGTGAATTTGTGATAATTGGCCATGGAAAATAGTTTTCAAAAAATAGTGTTTAAAAACGCAATAAACATTTAAATGTTGTGTCTCACTTCACCAATGTCTTTGTGTTAGCTGAAGAAGATGTAATCCTTTCCCTCAATGAGGTTTAGAGAGGCCAGGTTGCTCTCAAAACTGCCACCAGTAAGGTCCTGATTGTCAAAAAAAATTACAAAGTTATTTCATGTTTAAGCGTTATTAAATTGAAAAATGTAGATAGCAGCAGCTGCATATGGTCAATGCTAAAAGTATAGAGTAAAGTAGGGGCTCAAAATGTAACTTTCATTTCAGGTCTTGTAGTGATTGAAATAATTATATTGTTTGTGTTATTGGTTTAAATTGTTTTCACTGTAGAGGAATGGAATTATTCTAGACATAACACTTTTCTAGTGTACACGAAACATAAAGTTAATCATGAGTTTTCTCATTCAGTTTGATTTGGGAAAAAGTGGCAAAGTTTAGTAACAATGCAAGATTATGTCAAAGTTAATATACAACATTTGCAAATATCAAAAAAACAGAAAAACAGAACTACCAAATTATTATGAAATACCTTATTTTGACTGTAAGTGAATAATAGTCTCAAGCATCCTGTAAAATCGTGGCACCTGGTGGGCTGTCATTTTTTAAGAAAAGTGGATTTTTTTTGGTATCAATTTCCAACATAGAAACTGACTTTTTTAAAATACTGCCCTCAAATAACCAAATTTAGTTAGTCCACATTTTGTTTGCAATTGATTACAAATCCGTGAATGGGTGCAAGCCAGCTAGTCTGGTTCCCTGAACTGACAATTCTCTGACGTCTATAAATTGGTCCGCTTCGTCTTAAGTAGGGTCAGGGAACCAGACTACAAGAACAGCACTTTTTCCTTGTTTTTTTCCAGCATAATGAACGCAAAACTTTAAACAGCTCAGTGTACCAATTTTGCTATAAAATACTCAGCCCAAAACCATCCATTTCTTAAAATTACAGCAAAAGCAAATGTTGTATATTACATTTACATGGCAGGGCACTTATTTCTCTACGGCTTTCATTTTTGCACATTTCAGGCATCATCCAAATGACTGTAAACTCCAAGTTCTCTTTAATTTCTTAATGATGACAGTTAACAATGAACACTTAAGCAAATAATTTGGTATACCTAGCTTTTTGAGCATAATACAGCTGATTTCTTTTTTCGATACCTTATTTACATTAATCTTGAAGTGCAATTATGAACAAATATCCAGCTTTTCGGTGAATTAAATAATAAAATATTTCATTGTCTCAACAACTCATTTTTTCTCCCAAGTAAACTTCAAAATAAACTGTGATAAAGTTGTACTTGCATTTTGTACTTTGTGGACAGAAACTTTTGAAGTGAAATCGACAACTTTTCTGCACAAAATCTTGACAGGAATAAGACACCTACCATTTTGACGCAGATGATAAAAGGTGGTGCAGCCTGACTGAAATGAACAATGGGCACACGTGGCTTTGGAATAACCTGCATGAAAAAAAGGAATTTTATTTGTAATAAAAAGCTGTATCCTCTATGAATGATCCCGTTTGCTATTTCCCAAGTTTAAAGCATTGTTAATGTTGCTAGCATCATGACTTTTGGCGTGGTCCCTGGCTACATGGGCATTTAGGGGTTTATGGCTTCTGACTGGCACCCCTTGAACAAAGACATTGACAAAATGGGGAACCGCCAACTCAGTTGGTAGGGCACTGGAATGGCAGTCCAGAGGTCACAGGTTCAAACCCTGCTCCTTTATTCAAATTTGAAAAACAAGGGGGGGGAGGGGGGGCCAACAGCCCCCCATGAAACCTTGTCTCCCCCAGTTGCCCCCCCCCCCTGAGATTTTGAGTTTCTAAAAAAATTATCATTGATCTACATGACGCCCCCCATGAAATGTTCCAGCCCCCCCCCCCCCCCAGCGCCCCCCCCCCCCAACTGAAAAATTCCTGGCTACACCACTGATGCTGACATTAGGAGGTTGGGCCTATCCCAGAGCCTAGCTTGTGAATGTGGAGCGGAGCAGCAGACTGCTGACCACATCACCTCCGAGTGCCCCCTCTATCACCCTCCAAACGAGTACCATGGCCTGATCGATGTTGATGCAGATGCAGCAACTCGAGAGTGGCTTCTCAGCAAGCACCCAGAGATTTAACTACTTTTTTTGGTTTCACATGCAAGAAGAAGAAGAAGCTAAGGAGAATTTTTTTTTTAGTAGAAACAATTAATTTGACACATGGCAAGGTTATAATCAACAAAAAAATTTATACCTAAATGTTAAAACATTGTGAGGAAGCTGTTCATTGAACAGATTGGATACAGACATGCATTATATGAGTGTCATTTAAAAGGTTATAGGATCATTTGCATTTATCCCAAAAGTAACCTCCCAAATTATTATCCTACAGCTTACTTGGATTACAGATCGTACTGGTACTAAACAACCCGTGAAATTAGTCTGACTGGCTTGCTGCCATTTAGAAGAAATCAAGAAATATAGGTGATTTCCAAAGATCAGTCAATTGACTGATTTTTGGAAATACAGAGTGCTATAGGCAAAATCATGTTTCATCATCAAAAGGCTGTGCAAAAAGTGTAATATCCACTGAGCTGAGACTTAGGTTAGGTTTTGAACATTCTACTTTCAATTTTGAGTGGTATTATTGGAAACAAATAAAATGCATGAAAAGCAAATGATTCAATAGCCTATGCCATTACAACTTTTGTTTTTGTTTGGGCAACAGTATTGCATTTCTTTTGGAGGAAACTGGCGTGGAGATTATTATATGTTGAATAATAGCTAGTATTTTGCAAAAGAAACTATCGTTTCAAGAACCTTCGTAAAGACATCAACTGGCAAATGCAAAAAGTTTGTGGCAAACATCATTATAGCACTCCGCACTAATGACATCAATTTTGCTCCGCGCCATATGCGCGCATACTCAGACAAACCTTCAAACAATCACGCGCGCACTGGCCGCACACATTCGTATAGAAATGGTGCTGCAAGCGTGCGTGTAATCTTCATGCGAGTAGTTCGTACAGCATGTTTGTCTGAGATCCGGGTACTTGCTTCTATTTTTAACATTAGAGCGGAGTGCTATTGCATGTGTACTTAAAAATTGAGCATAATATGACAAGATTTGTACCTTGCTCTCCTCATAGATATACACACCCTTCTCAATCTTCTTAACGTCAATATCACAAAATTGAGCCGCCTACAAATGATAAAACACACATGGGCAGTAAAAAATTAAAGGATGAAGTGTAACCTGAACCAATATGGCTCATCAGCCCAGAGTGGATGAGATGCCAGTCCATTGCAGGCTGCTCCCCAGCTTATGCTGGTGCCCTTTAATACTCATGGGTGGAAACAGGTAAGTAGGGGTTAAGTGGCTTGCCCAAGGACACAACATTCGACCAGTTGCTGGAATCAAACCCCAACACCTTATCCAAGGCAAAGCTGGGCTGGGTGACCGCTTACTACTTAAAAATTCTTGTGAAGGAAATGCATCCATCGCAGAGCAATGTGCCTATTCACTTGACATTATCAGTGTATGCACATTCTGTGCCACGGGTAATGCGCACGCCATAAAGCCCGGTTCATACTCCTCACAAATGCAAAGCCAATTTGACATCATGAAACACTCACTGCGAAATTCGCCCGAGTTGAAATATGTTCAACTTTTACGAATTCGCAGCGCGAATACTTGCCATAACGTCACAAATTCGCGTTCATTTTCGCTTTCGCACCGAGCATGAACCGAGCGTAATACTGACCCAAAGTCAATGACTAAAACAGAATCGTTCTATGACAGCTCATAGAAATTTGACGTCACCTCTGCCCTTGGATAGGTGGTGGGGATGTGCAAAACTGCTCTCAACGAAGGCAATTGGTACTGACTGGGGATTGTGGGTGCATGAGCCTGAGATGTCAATATCAGCTTTATAACAGCCAATCACAGTGTACTTGTTCTGGCCTTGCTAAATCAGCCTGTACCAGCCATAGACATCTTTAAAAAATACTGCAAGTAAAACTTGCGCAATCATCCATGTTTGTATACATGTACAGGAACAGGCAGTTAGTAAGGACAATTTTCAGTGACGGCCTTGATTGCCCACCTGGCAGGCACCAGTTCTCAGTTGAATTGGGAGTTTGGGTTGAATGGAGAGTTTGGTTGAGACACAGGACTAACATAATGTTAGAGTCATTAGTAATACTTAGCTGAGCTCTCCAGAGACCTCGTAAATATCCATATTGGAAAGTTTTTTTGATGTTGGCCTTCTCTCCACAGACCACCTTTCAAGTTGGATTAAGATTGATGACTGAAATTACAGTGAACTGGAACACGCACACACGAACACACAGAAGGAATACGCGATCTCAATATCCCCCTGTCTGGCTTCAAAGCCAGGGGGATAAAAAAAAACCTAGAAATGATGTTTGCCTGACATTTCTGATATTAAAACGCTGCGCCTATACTCGCCATGTTATGTGGAAGTTCATCATCGTTGCGCATTGAACACACAAGGGGACAAATGAACGATGTGCACGCATTATTTATGATCAGAATGAGCGTCGTGTATAACGCAACGGTTATATGACACAGCGTGTTGATATCAGAAGTGCACAACTTAAAAGCAGATAGAAATGTCAGTTCTAGGTTGTTAGATGTTTATGGTACCAGCAGGCCCTGGTTTGTGGAACTAATAAAAAGTTTGACTGGCACAAACGTGGTTCTTCTGAGCAACAAGTCAATGGTAGCTTATTCGTGTTCCTTTTACAAGGGAATATCCATTTCATTTTTGAAAATGGACTAACAATCCATGGTGAATTATGCCCATTTGAAGTTCATGTTGTCACAAAGGCGAAACAGAGATATTTCCTGTAAAAATGTTCAGTATTTCGCACTTCCTTAAATGATACAGCTCTACCTAGTACCTCAAAAATCACCTTATGGTACTTTTACAGTATTTTCCAGACATATTGAGGTTGACTTATTTGTAAAAAAATAACACCTGAAAATCGTAAAAAATTAAGTCAAATATGGTAGACACTGTCACCAACTGACCTTCTTCTGATTCTGCTCACCGAGGCTTCGATAGAACCTCCTCCCTTGTTTACCGGCATTCCATATGGTGAATGAATCCCACTGGCTCAGGACTCGCTCCTCAAGGGCCTTCATTCTGATGTCCCACATTGTCTCTCTACAAGGGCAAGAAAACGATTTGTGAGCAAGTCAGAAGTTGTTCTTGACCTTCTCTATGGTGATGGCATGTTGATATAAATATCTTATATTGCTATGGCATAGATACTTTTGACTTTAATAGATACTATCGACTTTAATAAAGGCAGATAGGATCATTTTCATTTATCTTAAGAAGTAACCTATCAAATTATTATCCTACAGCTTACTTGGATTAAAGATCGTACTGGTACTAAACACCCTGTAAAATTGTGTTGTCTGGCTTGCTGTCATTTAGAAGAAATAAAAAAATGTAGGTGATTTCAAACTATCTGTCAATTGACTGATTCTTGGGAATAAAATATGGTATGGATGAAATTCTGTTTTGCGATCAAAAGGGTTGTGCATGGTTTTGCACTGCTTTCTGGAAAAAGTTTAATATCCACTGAGCTGAAACTCCAACAGGTTAGGTTTTGAACATTCTTCACCAACATTCTGGAACAGGCTCCCCCTGCATATCCAAGACTCACCCTCAATAAACTCATTCAAACTCAATTAAAAACACAAAAATATTCACACAGCAGACAGCACTTCGAAATGCCCACAGACATTTAAGTGCTGTGTTATTTATTGTTATTTTATTATTATTAAGACTCCTCTCAATTCCCATCTGGGATGCGTTTTTGACAATTTCCGGACATTGTATCGGGTATAAGTTGCAGGATTCTGAACCACTTCCCTGCAATCTTCCCACGATGAAATTATCAAGCAGTCAAAGCAGTTGCTAATGAAAATGAGCGTCAGAGTAAGTGGCAGCAGGGGGATGGTATCTGTACTTAAGAAGGCATTGGTCAACAAGGAAGACCAAGGTTGAAATTGTCTTACCACCAAGACAGCTACGGTCTGTCTACTGTGATCATTTGTTATAATTGTCGTACTTAGTAAACAAAGGGAAACAGATGCTTACTGGGAGACGGAATGAGTGGCAGAAGTGAGATGGTATCTGTACATGAGAAGGCATTGGTCAACTCGGATGACCTTACCACCAAGACGTAGATGGTCAAGGAAGAACAGCAGGTCTTCAGGCATTCCCTGGTGATAGAGAAAAAATGATCATGATGGATACTGGGCCAATTATAGCAGTCGCTTAATGGAATTTCTCTGCTTGCTATGAGCTCCGTGCATGACCAAGAGAGAGTGCATCTTGCCTAGCAACGGTGACTTCTTTGGTGGGGCATGCAATTTGGTGGTTCACGCACGCTCTTCCTTATTTATTTAATATACGTAATAACAGGGGATGTGTGCAGACTGCTCCCGATCCCTTTCATTTGGCACAAACAAGATGGCACCTGATTAAAACTGATTTAACGGCTTCCCACCAGCCTCTCTCTTTTCAAACAGTGAAGGGGTACTTCTGCACAAGGCAGATAGCACAACAAAATTGCAACTGAATATGTATGAGGTGTAGTAAACCAAATATAACATGGTTTATTTCAGGTGGATAGTCGATATTAGCTACCCTCGGTATTGAAGTTGACAAACTAGTTCCCAAGGCGAAACTAGTCAACTTCCAAACCCTCGGGGAGCTAATATCAACTATCCACCCTCAAACCATGTTATATTTGTACACTGTCACATTGGTATTAATTGATTACTGGGAAAACTATCAAATTCAAACGCGTAAATTTATCACATGTATAACAAATCTGATTGTGACAGAATCTGACAGAATCTAACAGACTCTAACAGAATCTAATTTAAGTGCTTACCTTGCCAATTTCATCAAATGCACCAACTCTGTTGAATGTTTCCCTTGAGCAGAACCATGTAGGCATGATAACAGTTGGCCCATGAGCTGTGTAGATCTGAACAGAATGATAATTCACACATTTTCATCGAGCCATACAGATGAGCTATCTTGAACCTGGTTACAACCATAGATCTTCAGTTACTAGAGTGCATCACTAAACAAGTTACACGAGTGCACTCGTAACTCATGGCCGTCAATAGGTGGGGGATGGGGGCGGGGACAACTCATTAAAGTGGGGGGATATCATATCGTTTGTCCCCTCCCCCACTTTTTTTGTCCGCAATTAAAAATGGTAGCGTACATAATAATTATAAAGCTTAGAATAGCTGATTTAATGATTCCAAACTGTTAAAAAGATTATCTTTTGCTAAAAAACGTGGTTTAAGTGGTCAGAAATTGCCTCAGATTGCACCAGAGCGTCTAGAATCCATAATTTTCCAAATGCAGCAGGATACAACTGTGGCATTGTTCAATGGGACTTAGCTCTCATTGTCTCAGAATTGGCCGTTTATGCACTGGTGTTGGTAGCTGAATGCATCAAAGTGCACCAGACTTTTCCACGTGACGTGCTGTGTTGCATCTGGCAGGGTTAGGGTTAAGCATGGGTTAAGGTAATTTTACATGAACTGGAATGTTGATCTCAAAAAATTATCTCAACATTCCTTCATCAAATATTGACATTCTGAAGCAAAGTTGTTTGACTTATTTTTTTCTCTGAACTTTGAAATAATGGATAAAAATGAGTAAGCTCTCGGAAGGTCTCATCTACAACATTGGTCTCATTTGGGCTCTACGACACGCCCTCTCTATTCTTTCATCACCTGTGTCATTAGCTGTTCCTGGCTGATGGAATTGGCCCACTTGGTGTAACGTTCTGTTGAACCCGCTGGTAGTCTGTTAAACTGGCAACCTGTAATCTATAACAAGACCGACACTAGCCATATAGGATCAGTTGCATTTATCCTTAAAGTAACCTTCCAAATTATTAGCAAAAAGCTTACAGGGGTTTAAAACCGTACTAAACACCCCATCTGGCTTATTGTCATTTAGAACAAATCAAGAAATGTAGGTGATTTCCAACGATCAGTCTACTGACTGATTTGTGGCAGGGGCGTCAATCGCTTCTCAAAAGTGGGGGGGACATACCTTGATCAGAAATAATGCGAGCGAAAAATAATGATTTAAACATCATTTTCGAGGTTGAAGTCATTGAATAAGCTATTATATTCTCAGCTAAAGGCGTGGGGTTCGGGGCCCGCTTAAGGGCCCCCCAAAAAAATTGATTCTTGATGCTCTATGGTGCGATCTGAGGCAATTTCTGACCACTTTAACCAATATTTTCCCAGCAAAAGATAATAATTTAAAAATCATTTTCGAGGTTGAAGTCATTGAATAAGCTATTATATTCTAAGCTAAAGGCGTGGGGTTCGGGGCCTAATTTTGGATTCTAAATGCTCTGTGGTGCGATCTGAGGCAATTTCTGACCACTTTAACCAATATTTTCTTAGCAAAAGATACATTGTAGTACATAATAGGGCCCTGTAAATGAGGCACGAGTTCAAAAATCTGGGGGGGGGGGCATTTGAAATTGTGTCCCCCACCCTTCAAAAAGTGGGGGGAACATGTCCCCCTGTCCCCCCCCCCCCCCCCCCAGGATTGACGCCCATGATTTGTGGCAATGAAGAGTGCTATAGACAAACTCGTGTTTCGTGATCAAAAAGTTGTGCATGGTCTTTCACTGATATATCGAAAAGTGTAATATCCACTGTACTGAAACTTCCACAGGTTAGGTTTTGAACATTCTTCTTTGGATTTTGAGTCACGGTGTTATTGTTGGAAATGAACAAAATCGCTGAAAAGTATGATCTCATATGCCCTTACAACAGATGTTTTTATTGCCAGGATCGCGTTGTGGGAATTTTTCTAATGTTGTAGGAAGTTTTCTAAAGTTGTGGGTTGTCGTTCAACTGGTCCCCACAAAATACGGGCCAAGTGTGTGGGTGTGGGTGGGTGCGATATTCCGTTCAATAATTCTTTCTGAAAGTAGTGAGCTAAAAGATATAGTCCATCATTTGTAATTTGTGCATTTTGTTCGTTTGAAGCAACAAAAGTGTTCAAAATCTAATGAAGGATACTGAACAACTAACCTGATGAAGTTTCAGCTCAGCCTCAGCTGTATATTCCAAGAAAAACAGCATTCTAGGATCTCAATTTCAAATCAAAAGTTGCTGAATCATGTTTTGAATTGCAGCTATACGCGATGTCGCGCACTGATCCGACGAATTATAAATGAAGTACTAATTGAAATTTTCCTATGGTGCGTCTTAAGACGCACCGTTGGAAAGGCCTTCTTTCGTTGATTACTTCAAAATGATAGCTTGCCAGAAAGATTAATTTCACAGGGAGTTTAGTCCACTTACTATCTTTCAACCAAGTATGTTTTTCAACAATAATATGCCAGTTACTTTTTCGGATGGCTGTAAATGATGGACTATAGCTTTAAAAGCCATGTCTTATCATAAAGTTAAATAACCTGATTGACTTACGGTGAATGGACGGTCAGCCGTTGCTGCCAGCTGCATCTCAATACGGTGACAGTCCATCACGTCATCCTGGGTAGACAACAACACACAATTAATGCTTTGGCTTTGATTTGATATTGACTTTCTATACAAATGTACATGATGCACTCAGATTCAAAAGATCTGAATTCAAGACAAGAGTCTTTGTGAGCAGGGCCCAATTTCACGGCGCTGCTTAACAGTAAGCAGAAAAGTTGTGCTTACTTTAGCAGAAAATTTGGCTAGCACTAATTCATGGCGTGGATGTGCTAATGGTGGCGGGCGCATGGAGATTTCTGTTGTAAAATCACTGATTAAAGCAAGATTTTCCTCCGAGGTAAGCCTGCTTTTTGGTTACTGCTTAATATAATTTTTTAATATAATTTACTTATAATTGACTAAATATAATTTCGTTTGAAACGCACTTTGTAGCCCAATTGGGTGTATTCTGGTCTGTAATGTCACTTTAACCACTAGTTTTTATCCAATTAACTTACTGCATCCAGGAAGCAAAGGAAGGCACCATGACTCTGGAGAATGGCACGATTCTTGGCATATCCAACTGCAAAGTAGGAAAGGATGAGCATTATTAATTCATGTCTTTTATTCATTAATCATAAATCAACAATAACAACCAAAAGACATGGAGGAAACCTAGAACATCATGAACATGAAAGACGAATCAAAAGAAACAGTCTAGATGTCAATCAAGCAAGGAACTAGAAATTAATGTGGAAGCAAAAAATCACTGTAATCAGTATAAAAACACCAGTTTTGGAATAGAATTCCAGAGTCCCACCTTGACGAGTCTTACGATTGTAACAAAGGTCAATATTTGAAACAATAAGTGGGCCACTTACTTTTTCAAATTGAGCTTTTATTTAAATAGATATTGTCATCTGTATCTGCTACACAGTGATGTAGTGGGGTCCATGACAAGTCCAGCCACAAGTAACAGGAGTTAACAACAGAAAATGCCCCTTATCGCGAGTCATTTGTAGATCCTACGACGTGATATATTACTGGATGACTTTGTGATGGACTTGTGATTGACTTGTGATGGACTTGTGTTGTGATGGATTTGTGAGGACTTGTGAGGACTTGTGATGGACTTTTGATGGACTTATGATGAATTTGTGATTGACATGTGATGGACTTGTGATGGAATTGTGAGGACTTGTGATGGACTTGTGACTGACTTATGATGGACTTATGAGGGCTTGTGATGGACTTGTGAGGACTTGTGAGGACTTGTGATGGACTTATGAAAGACTTGTGATTGACTAGTGATTCTTAAGTGATGGACTTGTGAGGACTTGTGATGGACCTATGAGGACTTATGGTGAACTTGTGAAGACATGTGGAGTTGTGAGGACTTGTGATGGACCTATGAGGACTTAATGGTGAACTTGTGAAGACATGTGATGGAGTTGTGAGGACTTGTGAGGACTTGTGAGGACTTGTGATGGACTTGTGAAAGACTTGTGATGGACTTGTGAGGACTTGTGAGGACTTGTGAGGACTTGTGATGGACTTGTGAAAGACTTGTGATGGACTTGTGAGGACTTGTGATGGACCTATGAGGACTTATGGTGAACTTGTGAAGACATGTGATGGAGTTGTGAGGACTTGTGACGGACTTGTGATGGACTTGTGATAGACTTGTGAGGACATGTGATGGACTTGTGAGGACTTGTGATGGACTTGTAAGGACTTGTGATGGATTTGTGAGGACCTGTGATGGACTTGTGAGGACATGTGATGACTGGTGATGGACGTGTACTTTGAGAGACTTTTGAGGGACTTGTGGGGACTTGTGATAGACTTGTGATGGAATTGTGAGGACTTTTGATGGACTTGTGATTGACATTTGATGGACATGTGAGGACTTGTGATGGCCTCAACCACAACACTAGCTACTTACTTCCTTTAGGCAATTTATCATTATGTCCATCAATCACAACAGCCATACCAGCAGCTTCTAGTCTGGGCTTCCAGCTTTCTATGATCTCACTTGACTTATCCTTGTAGATATTGCAACAAAACAAGAGTACAGGTTAAATAAACTTTTGCATGGGCGGAGATACTTGCTTGTTCAAATGGAAAATCATGCCCAAGAATACTTCAACAAGTATGCTGTACGGTGCTCTGAATCCAACTTTAGTTTTTGTAAATGTTTAGCAAATCTTTCAAGCAATCCTTTTAAAGGTTTAAACATTTCTCCAACACTTTTACAAGTTAGGCTTGGGCCTGTCCAAACGAGAACAGGCACTGGACATGGATCTTGGAACAGAGCTGCATATCGATCAAGTACCACGGTGGTTGCAATGGAATTAAAATATATTCATTTTAAAGAGTTCTGAATATATATATTTGGGAAAATCTATAAACAAATTTGCTCTTCTGTATGTAAACGTAATATCTGTACCAAGAGTTGCTTCACAGATGTATTTTTTTCTGTCTACTTACTGTGCATGCATCTAAGAAGACAGACAGTTCTAAACCTCCAGTGAATTGTTGGTCGAGTACTGACTGAAGGCATTCATCCAGCCAGGCTCCAGCATTGTGCACAGGTAGGATGATTGACTGTGGACAACAAGATACAATTTTTATTGAAGTACAATTAATTTTATTTTTCTTTCTGATTCATGGCTCTGTAGGATTATTTGTACAGGGAAGTAAAGTCCGAGAACCAATCGGTTGACAACTGACCCATGCGCAACGGTTGACTTCGTAAATATAGCAATGGCGCTAATCAATAGCACTCCGCACTAATATTAAAAATAGAAGCAAGTACCCGGATCTCAGACAAACATGCTGTTCTAACTTCTCGTGTGAAGATTATGCGCACGCTTGCAGCACCGTTTCTATGTGAATGCATGCGGCCAGTGCACGCGTGATTGTTCGAAACTTTGTCTGAGTATGCGTGCGTACGGCGTGGAGCAAAATGTCATTAGTGCGGAGTGCTATTTATTGTAAGATGGTTGTGAGGCACTACATCGCATGCTCAGTTGTTATAAGCAACGTTTGACTGAGCCGCTTTAACTAAACAAAATTACCTTTTTTTAAACATTCCGGCATGATCTGGCATGATGATGCAACAAAAGGGAATAAGCAAATTCGTAGAAATAATGTGCCATTTTGTTCATGGGGCAAAAATAGATGCGATACTGGAATGGACGCAGAATTACTTGGAAGCGCAAAAGTTTTTTACATGCAATTGCATGCTCAGCAACACATGTTCTTTTTGCCCCGTGAACAAGATGGCGCACATTACAAATTTCTTGGACTATTCAGCATGTTAATAGGAGATTCCTATATGTAAGTTAATACTAACCACATCCGCTGTCATGGCAACGTCTTGAAATGTCTCGGTTTAGAAAACTGGAATCTGACAACAGTACCTGTAGGTAAGATCACACTGGGTGACTTTACTTTTAGCACTAAAAATAATCACACTTTCATTAAATAAATCCCTAATAATAATTAGCTTGAGAAACTCATGCTCCAAATGCTCATCAGGAATTGGACTTTTAACTATTAAGTCATTTAGCCTATTTAGTCAAATTTTAGCCCCATAAATGTGGCCAATTTACTGGACTACCTCCGTAAATAGAGGCCACACTTCCACCATGTACAAAAACATGTCGAACTTTGTCAAATTTTGATTTTCACATTAAAGCTTAGTTTGTAGTTTATTTTTGCTTTAGAAGCATACTCACACTCTTTATTAGCTAATCAGAAAGTATTGCCTTTTCCAGATTTTGAAATTTTGATACGCCAACGTGTGCAAACAAATCTGAAAATTTCACGAAAAATAGACATCTGAGAAGGGCAGCACTTTCTGATCAGCCTATAAAGAGGGTGAGTATGCTTCTAAAGAAAAAATAAACTACAAACTAAGCCTAAATGTGAAAATCAAAATTTGACAAAGTTCAACATGTTTTTGTACATGGTGGAAGTGTGGCCTTTATTTACGGAGGTAGTCCAGTAAATTGGCCACATTTACGGGGCTAGTCAAATTCCTGATGGAGCTGGAGTTTTTCTTAAGCTAAATATTATATTTTAAACCAATCAGATATTTGTTGGATGGGGTGCAATTTCTGTGAAAAAAGTGTCCCCCACTGATACACATACAAGCAGACTAGCTTGAGTAACTCCAGCTGACATGCTCATATTCATTCACATGTAGTGCTGGAGACATAAACTAGTCGTGAGAGTGTGGTAGCAAGAGACCCTAAAATAATGGGCTCTCACTAATTGTCGATTTTCACCTCTAATATCCCACCCCAGATTTCCTTTACATACCTCATACATTCAGCAGTCATTCACGAAGCTAATGATCGACTTGAAACAGACCACAAAAAGTTCAATTTTCGTCCGGTGCGTTGTCGTGGAAAGCATTCTCGTTGTTTTGCTTTCCGCGACAACGCACCAGACGAAAACTGAACCCACTTGCGGCGCCTGAAAGCGGTGTGGTACCCACAAACATTGGGCGCGCAGATTTTTTTCGATGTCATCACGTGATGCATGCATTTACATAATTAACAAAACAAAATGGACGACAGCTGTTGGAACTGGCGTTTTTTTACGGACAAGCCACCGAAATCGTCAAGATTTTTCACATTTTTTTTTTGGAGTCTGTTTCAAGTCGATCATTTGCTTCGTGAATGACTGCTGAATGTATGAGTATGTAAATGAAATCTGGGGTGGGATATTAGAGGTGAAAATCGACAATTTTTGAGAGGCCATTATTTTTAATTTTTAGGGTCTCTTGCTACCACACTCTCAGTCTCACAACTAGGTTATGTCTCCAGCGCTACATGTGAATGAATATGAGCAGGTCAGCTGGAGTTCCTCAAGCTACAAGCAGACAAGCAATTTCTTATCATGTTTGCAACTTACAAGTTACATTTCCACTGCCTACAGCTACCCCCCCCCCCCCCCCGGCATGCTCGGCCGCCCCCTCCCGATCCCCGCTCCCATCCTGCACCCCCCCCCCCCCCCCGGATCACCGCCATACCGGTATGTCTTGGTTTAAACTGATAAAAGAACGTTCCAGTAGACAAGAACGATCATATTTAAGTTTACTTACGAGGCAAAAACTTGATTGAGGGTGCTTTGGTGCCGATGACAACAACCCGTCCGGAGCTCGGAAGCATTGGTCTTGTTTTGAAACACGCGCCCTCACTTGTCAGACCTTGTCATTAATGTCAGTTCGTGTGTACGGAGGCCGGGAGATGCCACACATTTTCAGGATGAATATATTTTTGGACAGTCGCTAAAATGCAGCCGGGCCGCCGACGCCGGATATTTTTTCGGCAGGGAGTGGGTTGGAAAGGGGGGGGGGGGGCGTGGTGGTGGTGGTGGTGTCTGGTAGGGTGTAGGGAGAGAGGAGAAGAATGTGTAAAGGTGCCAGCTGAAGTCGCCGTGGGACGCGTTGCTGTGAATCGGAGCCAAGTTTGGAGGCTGGTGCATGATAGTCGTGCAACCCTCAAACAAATTCCTCAACGACCATCTCTTTTTCATAAGACCCCTTACACAGAACATTTCCTTTAGGAAATAATGTCACAATTCAGCTTATCCTAGGATGATTGATCCTAGTACATCACACATTGTGGTTTGTTTCACATCATTCGTGCTCGCAGGATACAGTTGTAAAATACTTTTTTTGGTGTAAAAGTAGTTTGAAGTTGTTGTTTACAGCTTAAAAATTAATATCATGTTGTTTGCATTTACAACTTTTTTGTTAGCGTAAATAACATCAATGTTGCAAATGGCAGAAAAATTCCCATTTATTTTACGATGAATTCTCCGTCAATCGGGTTTTATTTTTTTTACCAGACAAAAAGTTTACATCGAAGAAGCTAGGTTATAAGCAGGGCTGTCAAGAATAGGAATAAAAGTACAGAAAAATGTCATCATGAAATGTGTTCATCCACCGTGAAAAGAAAATGGTCACTTAAGGGCCTCACAAAATGCGTTTTTAAATGCACTTTAAATTGGAATATTCCGGACAAACTTTACAGTGTTACAGCGCCCCCTTGCTCCCCCCCCCTCCTTGATGCGTATTGCGGTAGGCCCTATACTTAAAAATCTGATTTTTTTTTCTCCAGTTTTATAAGCAATATTGAGCGATGTCAAATTTGGGGATGGATATTAATCTCCGTGAGTTCTTCCGGCGATACTGATACTGACACGTCCCAATTTGTGGAGTTTGGGGACTACATGTATATGTACAATGACACCAGAAAGCTTTACACCTCTGCCAAGGAGGTTATGTTTTCATCGGATTTGGTTAGTTTGTTGGTTGGATGGTTTGTCTATTAACAAGATAAATCCAAAAGTTATGGACGGATTTGCATGAACATTTTTTGCAGGGTGGTCCTTGTTACAAGTTCAAATCAATTAGATTTTGGAAGCGATCCGGATCTTGGTCTGCATCCAGGATTTTTTTAAAGGATTCTTCACCTTTTATGCGAGTATTTCTTGGGTGAACTGACATTATGGCGGCGGGGAATTGTTTAGCCTTGGCGGAGGCTTGGTGTGCATGCGTTCTCTGAGTGCTTTCTAGTTGCTTTATGTCACTGCTGTATCATAACAATCATCTTTATAAAAAAATATACCAAAAAAAGCACAAAACTCTAGAAGCAAGTTATCGCCGAAGAGGTTTTCGTGTCTCCGTGTGGATATGAATGTGAAATCACGGTGAAATTTATAGCTTTGTGCCTGAAGTGACTTTCAATGCCATGCACAGGATGGACTCCACCCGTGGGTATACAATCAACATGCGTCATGTTTTCTCACGAACCCACAGCCTCATTTGTTGACAAGAAAAATTGCCTCTATTCAAACGAGCCCACTGGCCCATGGTTGAGAGTGGGTTTACACAATGCAATTTACATGTCAAACGAAAATGAAAAAGGATTGTCCACGCTTGAGAGATCATGGATTGTGACAGAGCAAGGCTGCGCCTCCTGGTACGCTTACGTACGTACACCCAGTTACGAAATGACTGCACGATTTACAATTGTGGATTTTTATATAAAACGACGAACGGCAGTCTATGGTTGAACAACGAATACTGAAGTACGACTTTACCGTGAAACGCATCTTTGAATTTCCCAGGAATTATACATCTTAGGAATCTGGTGAACATTTTTACGAGTATCTGGCAATCCAGTACGATTTGCGTCCCTGCCGTTTCCGCTGGCGGATACAGGCATTGGTGACGGTACGGGAAATACCGCACGTACTTGTTGAATCGCAATAGGTGTACGGAGGACCGGTCACGATGGAATATTATCGAAGTGGAATTATGTATGTTGCAGTTACCATTGCGCTGGCGCTCTTGGGAACCGTTCAAGCTCAAAACGGTAAGTGTTGAATTATCAATTAACACCTATATACTCGTTACTTTCTCGCGATGTTATTGTGAATATCAATAATGCGGATTTGTGTTCCATCACCGCACCCGAAAGAAATATAATTATTTTCAACAATGGGGAAAATTGGTAAATATTTCTCACATGTCTATAAATACCATGAGGCCTGCTTCATTTGTTCTAATTTTGTTTTCGTTGTTGGCTGGTTTATTTTTAGTAATAACTATCCTTTTCGAAAGGGTTCACATTAGCATTTCGACTTAATTTAACTGCGTCTTGTATTCTATACTGGTTGGAATTATCTGAATGAAAGTAAATATGTGCAGTAAATTTTACTGAAATACAAAGTTACTAGGTTTAGTTGTCCATAAAGTATGTAGAAACGAAATTTATATATTATGTTGATATTGCAGTTTGTCGATATAAATAACATGTACTTCAAGTTTTCTGATGCTCATTATCATTAAAGTACCAATAAATGAAATATAAAAGTGAAAATTTGAAACCCCAGTTTGTTAAATTGACTTAAACACTTGTTAAAAAGCCGATGGAATAATTATACGGACATTGTCATGAACATAAGGTAACGATGTATTCCTTCATATGCTAAAAAGTGATATAAAATGATATCGAGAAATGGGCATTGGTCCTAAACACTTTAAAATGTTGAATTCGGTGCGGAGTTAGGAAGTTATGAAAGCGAAAAGAATATGTAATTGTGAAGTTTTTATTAAGTTAATAGGCGAACGTACATGTATTCTGTTTTTGAACGCCTGTAAAATGTACGTTTGTCTTCGTATTTGATTGTTATATAATCACATTCCTTTTCAATGCGGTGACAACATACCTTCTTTTTGACTTGCTGCAATATCATTAAATTTTATGACACCATTGGAATGGGAAGTCGTAATGTGTTGTTCATATAATATGCATGAACTACATGCATATTCGACCTCGAATTTTCCCGATACATTGTTACGAGATTTATTCATCAGTTTTTGGTACAGTTCACATGAATACAAATGACTCACACAAACACTATGCCAACATGGTGGGGTAGATTCACCACTCATTTCAGAAAAAAACCAAGTTTACTAACTTTTGTAAATTAAATTTTAGTTGATTAGAACTAACCACAACTTCTTGTAACAGTCGCTATAATGTCCATGCTCTTTCAGATGTGACACCCCAAAACAATAATATTTCAATTCATTTGCAAGGTATGAGCTTTCGCCATAGGCCCACGATAACTAATAGAGTTAGTTCAAATAAACGTAATGCCATATTTTCTTAAATTGCACACTAAATATACGTATTCGCAAAGGCTAATAGCATAACAAATTCTTGTGGGTATTCTTTTTGCAGATGCCTTACAGTAGAATAAGAACACATTGAAATCCATGAATGACGTGGAGGGTTAAACTTTCGTTATACGTAGGGGACATGTGCGCGAATTCTTGGACTTGTCCAGTACATATTTAGTACTGTCAAATTGGTATATTAATTGATCTAGGTCTTTTTGTTGTTTCAATTTACCTGGAGTGTAAAATATTCGTTTGATTTACACCAGGCACACCAAAAACATCATATCGATGTTTAAGTTGACGGCATTGAGCACAATTTAACTGAACATATAAATGCACCAGAAAGCAGGGCAGATTGAAATTTTTATACCAAGATACTTTTTATTGTCTAGATGTGCATTAACTAGTGCATGTACAATGTATTCTATATTTTCTGATAGCGAGGAATTGGTTTTTATAAAGGCTCATTTGTTGTCAGACTTTATATACGAGTTACATTCCGCCCTAATGCTACGGATAGTGTAACCTTGCTAGCATTTACATGTAATGTCTGAGAAAAAATGGCCGCCTCCATCGCAGCACTGTATACCTTGGTAAATAAATAATGGCTTTCCCTTCCCACATCGCTTCCCGTGTTGCTATGGATACACATCCTTAATTAACTATGTAATCATCATTTAATGAGACAGCCAAGCGCCTGCGCAGAGGCAGGTCTCTCCGAGCACTTGCAGCTGTAGGTTTTCCTACTTCGATCGTTCGGCTATCAATGCGAAGACTATAGTCAACGAATGTATACAGCGTGTCCCAAAATACCCGCAACATTTTTTGCGAGTATTTATTTTTATATCATTTTAGAGCTTGGAATCTTAACTTTGTCCCTGGTAAGTATTGATTCGATTTTTGAAAGAGTTTTAAACTATTTGTGTTCGAAAACAAACTAAACCGATTTGAAGGAAAATCGACGATGCGGTACATCAGATGCAAACTCGAGTCAACAAGCTGTTGACATGACAAAATTAACATTTGAATTATATTAAAAACACATTGAACTTGAAACGAATGATAATATATTGTGAATGTATTTAAGGTGTCGTCTCGTGGATCGAGAAAAAAAAGGAAACACAGAAAGTAAAAGGCAACGAGATCGTCACATCATGAACACGAAGCATTTCCACATTAGAAAAAAATGCGCATGGTTGATTTTCCTTAAAATCGGTTGAGTTTGATTTTGACATGCCTTTATTTGAACACAAATAATTCCAAAACATTTTTAAAAATCAAACCAATACTTACATGGGATAAAGTAGAGATTCCAAACTTAAAAATAATCTAAAAATAATGGCAGTACGTGTTTCCGCGGCGACGCTAAAGAGCCTCGCCAAAAAAAAGTTGCGGGTATTTTGGGACGCGCTGTATAGTAAACGGGTGTAAACATCGCCAATATGTCACTTCCAAAATTCAAGAAAGCTGCTTAAAATTCGCCAAGGTGTTCAGTATACATGTACACATCAAATTAGCTTAGTGTACCCTCTTTCAATCTCTGTCCAATTTATTGAGGATTAAATGGTGACTTTTGGACATATTACCATTCAAAAACTATCACCTCCCAAAAAGAAGTCCTGGAGCCCATCATCGGCCGTGCATTTCAAAAAAAAAAAAAAGAGGTCCCTAACTTCATTACAAAACGGAGCGTTTTGGGGTTCACTTTCGCACATATTCCGAAATAACATCTGAAATACAAGTACAGAGCCGAAACCCTTCTTTTTGTCCCTAACCCTCAAGTGCAAGGACCATAAAACTCTATTTTAAGAGATATAACTGAGGGCGTACAAATGGTATTTTTGTCAACCTAGACAATTTTGGGCCTGTTTACTGGCGCGGGCTGCATATATTTTGCTGGGAGATTTTTTTAAAAGTCCTCCATTCATATAATGGCTAAGCACCGACAGCCTCGGTTTCATGCTTATTTGGGATTCAACTACTTTATACCGGCTATGAAAATGGAAAACGATTTCTGAATGAGTATCATGCTACTGGCTTCGACGAAATCAAATGAACTTATCGGCCGAACTATTTGGATTTGATTGAAGTTTTTTTTGTCTGGTGATTTGACAAATAATGAAATGGAACGACTACTTTTGATGATTAAATATCCTATATGACATGCAGCCAGCTGGCATTATTGATTTCCGGTAATTAAATTGAACGTTTATTTTTGGTTAAAATGGGCTGGAATTACAAATTATGACAGACATTTCTGTTGCGAAACATAAGCCATCCCGAAACACCAGAGTATCGCGAACATCAACGATACATTTCGAATGATACAGATATTATAGGATCATTTGCGTTTATCTCAGAAGTAGCCTACCAAATTATCATCAAAAAGCTTACTTGATTGAAGATCGTACCGGTACTAAACACCCCATGAAATTATTCCGTCTGGCTTGCTGTCATTTAGAGGAAATCAAGAAATGTAGGTGGTCGCCAACGAGTATCCGATTGAATGATTGTTTAAATACGGTGTCTATTGGCAAAATCATGTTTCGTTCTCGAAAGATTCTTTATGTTTTTTTTCACTGTTTTTGGAAAAGTGTAATATACGCCAGACTGAGTCTGAAATTTCATCAGGTTAGGTGTTGAACATTCTTCTTTGTATTTTTGAATGATGTTGCAATCGTAAACGAACAAATGCATGAAAAGCACAATTCCTGAAAACGACAAGTATCGGACACAAAAGGCCTAATCGCAACCGGAAGATTTTTTTGTAGCCTACGGATAACTAAATTGCATGGCATTGTGATATTGGTGATAAACTTTTTCCGGGATCAAAAAGTTCAAAAGCTTTTCAGAACGCTCCAGGTGGTGTTCCATGTACATGATGTAATGTACTCCGTGGAGTCCATCGGGTCGTCATGCTTGATCTTCTGAAGTAGGCCTACAATGTACAGCACGTGAACAGTTCTAACTTGTAAACTAATGAAATTTCTCATAATCTAATACCATGGTATAACAATGAACCACGTTTTAGACATTGTAAATTCCTTGAATGTTGAATTTTTAATAGGAAAGTTCTGTCCAAATAAATAGATGAATAGTTTTTAGTATTTTTTGAAAAATAACATATACCAATTTCTTTTACACGGCGTTGCATTTTTCAAATTTCAGCCGAAAAAAATTTCGTGGAAGTAATGTCAGGAATGTCTGAGCCTTTACCACACGTTTGAAAAGAATTTCGTTTTTCAATTGTAGTCAAATTTTCATAGCACTGTGAATGGCTTGCCTTTATAACCCAACCTTTTCTGCATGGATGGACATCTCTAAAAAACGATGTGTGCAGACGTCACTATTCCATGATTTACATAACCATTATGGGTTGTAGAATCGGTAATTGGGTCATATTGATGAGGTCATTTTTTTATTTTGAATTCTCTTTTCTCCCCCGGATGAAGGACACGGTCTGGCACGATTCTAACCGAAGTTTTCTTCTTTTTCAGGGATTTTTTTCCCCTCATAATCATACACAGAGGTTTCCGACGTATTTCTGAACAAAGTTTAAAATATTATGTTTGCGCCACTGACGAATATCGCTCTGCGAAATATAGTTCGGAAAGGGGGTTACATATATTTTTTTACCGGTCTTACTTCGCTTCGGTATAAAAATAAAACGTTTAAAATTAAACGTTTATAATTAAACAACAATTACCTTTTCTGACCAATCATTGTGATGGTTTCTTTTAGGATTTGTGGGTTATATGTTCTATAGCGCCGTATTTTCAAGGGCCGGGCGGTAACACCCATATACCTTTTCCAGGTATCATTGCCGTGCATTTTTTTGTTCGTGCCGGGCCTTTATGGGTTTGTTTTCACACCAATTTCAAAACAATTGTAGGATGAAAATGTTCTCCTAAAATGTAAAATGTTTGACTCTGAGTACCGATATTTTTTTATTGACCGTGTATAGGAACACGTATTCCTCAGCCTTTATAATTACGAACGGAAGAGATTATTAATGTTCATAATTACAAAACACTTTGTCTGATTGAGCGAAAACTTAGAATTAATCTCTTTACTTGCATATAAATTTCATTGGTTTTTTTTAATTACATTGAGATCAGAAGGACCGTAAGATGACCAGAAAAATTGCTCTTATCTTATACTGATATTGTACTTTATGACATCGTGCGGTAAACCTCATTTACTTTTTTCACCAAAAGCACTCAAAATTTAATAAACGTAGTAAGTTCTATTAACATATATTAACATATATGGAAGTTGAGAAACTCGGTAAACTGAGAAACCCAAAAAAAATAGTAAAAACAAATCAAAACAACAACAACATCAACAACACGGAAAATGTGTTTTTTTTTCTTCTTGTGAGCCGGAAAGACGGTATACAAATGCGTCCATTCTATTTTATTCTATTTTATGCAAAAACATAGCCAGTTCGGCAAAGTTGTACATGGTGAGATATAATATAAAGACTTGTGTAATTGGACAAGGTTTTATTAATTTTGTCATCTTTATATTCTCCAGCATGTCTGAGCAACCCTTGCAACGGGAGGGGGACTTGCTACGAGCGACCCGGTAGGAATCCCGATTTTGCCTGCGAGTGCGTCGACTCTTACATGGGCTACAACTGCAGTGTTACAACAGGTGAGTGTGTAATGTTGGGGAATGTGGAGTCTAAAATATTGGTATTTGTACTGTTTACTGAAAGTAAAAAATAAAAAATAACAGATAAGGAATACATGCTGAAAATTCCCGGGTTTGATTTGTCCCGGAATCTGTCCCATTACATATCATCCATGGTACGTGACGGTTTTTTTCTTGAAAAAAATACTTCCCTCTTTCTAAGGTGTCCCGGTCAAAATGACCCTGAAAAATGATAAAAGAATTCGAGCACCATTTTGTCCCGGAGAGGTCTCAAAATCGGAGTATGTTAATTTTTACATTCCTGTAGCGGTCGGAATAAATTTGGTAATCGTTTTTGTTTAGGACACCGTTCCCATATAAGAAAACGAAAAGATACTTTAATTTTTGAGACTTAACACCTAAACATGTTGCTATGATACAAGCAGGTAAAGTCACTTTATGTACGTGTCTGGAATCATCCAAATATAGTTCGCTTTAGATACGATGCATGTTATCAGCTATATAGCTTAAATTTGTGGAAAGAGGGCAGGGATTTGATTTATGAACGGAACTTTTACAACATTAATGTGTCCTAAAATACATGATTACGCTCATTTGCTATATTCGGGAATGGTAATCGATATCTGTCGATTTAAAATGGCATTAAGATTCAATTTAAAGCTTGTGTATTAATTTTGTCTGTGTCCTTTTAAGGTTTGTTCCTTTTGCACGATGTCCAGCGGTGTTTTGACTGGCCCAACAGTTGCTCCATCAATACTTTCCAGTCGCCCAATTACCCAAACACATACACCCGGCTTCACAACTCATTCTACCAGCTCTACGTCCCCTCAGCCAACTCAATCACCCTCACCTTCGCCAACATCTTCAATGTCGAGGAGAACAACAAGGATGATTTGTACATCGGGACGGGGCTGGCATTCACCGATGACGTGCTGTTGACCAACGTGTCGGCGGGCCAGTTCCCCTTGCGCTTTGCCGGCACCGTGGCCCCACAGCCGCTGACCATCGACTCGGATACCATTTGGATTCTGTTCGCTACCGATAAAAACCAGGAGTTCAGTGGTTGGAGTGTGACCTGGACAGCGGGTAAGTTTGCTTCGCATCATCTTCTTGCGTCCCCCTTCCTTAGATCTGTACATATTCAGCTTTCTCGCCGAGATTTAATATGAGCCAGACTTGCAAATCGACTCCCATGGACTAGCTCCAATGATAATTACGCGTAATTCGAAATAAATATTAAAAATACTCACAATTCTCCAAGGTGTTAGAGACACCCGTCAAATTAAAGCTTATTTCATCATCTGTCATTTGCTGTTCATTTGGGGGGTAGGGGAACTAATGACTTTGAGAGAAAATTCCATCCAAAGATGATCACCCCTAAAAGCAGTCCTGAAGCCCATCACCATGCCTACGCTCCATTGCAAAATAGAGCCATTAAGTAGGGCCTAATTTCATCCAAATTTCACAGAAATACGAGCTCGCAGTCCTGTGCACGGCTTCAACCTTTTTATATATATATATATATCTATATTTGTTTACAATTCCTCAAGTTCACGGCCCTCAAAATGCTCTAAACCCTGAGAATTTGAGGCCATACAAATTGTGATTTGGCCCGCGAAAACAATTCTGGGCCTACAGATCTGCACTAGGGCGTCGCGGCATTACGTCAGCTTTTCAGTAGCACGTGCATTTTCATCAGGTTACTATGTACCATTCAGCACTCCAGACTCAAGAACCATTTCTGGGGGGGGGGGGGGGGGGGACCTATTCCAGTTTCAGAGAAATTGAGTTGTATTTTCCCCTTACAACATAACCGCTCATTAATGCTCTGAAAATCCCCCTGGCGTTTCACTTATAGTGAAGCTGTTCAGTCAAAATCTCTCAAATTAAAGATGTATTTCCCAGCTGTTCAAATTGGATTTTATTTTCTCCTAACGAATTTTCAGTTTGTACGTAATTTTGTTCTAACGAAAAAACATCTTGATTTCAATTTGTGGCGTCTGCAGCCCTCTTAAAAAGGCTTTTATTTTGGGCTCAAATAACTCGCCCTGCGACAGCCGAATTAATGTCTGGCAGGCAATAATTAGAATTTTGTGAAGACATTATTTCAATAACTGAACGTCGGTAGATTTTTTGGGGTTCAGTACGTGTCTCATTCAAAAGTGATTAACTTTTACATTGCTAGGAAACTAGCAGCTAAAAACAAATCTATTTTTTCGAGGCAATTCGAAAATAGCACAGGGAATGCACTTTAAGTGAATATAGACCTATTTGTTTTAAAGTGCATTCCTGTGCTATATTCGAGTTCAGCGGGTGTAACTTCTGGCAATTAGCAACGCATTTTTCCAGCAGTTGCATTTTAGACTTCGTATCTAGAAATGTGCTTCGCATTTGATCAGGGATGCTGTTATTTTTTTCTATTAAATACCTTGCCGCATTTCCACCAGACTATTGGTAGTTATTACACATGAAAAGAAAAAAGCGACACATTGCGGGCGTCGTGGCAGAAAAGAAACACCATATAATTTACTGAGGCCACATAATGTTTGTAGTCTCTTGAGGGCGCGCTTTGTATACAAACACGCGGTGAATTTGTCATGTTTGATGTTCTGCTCGCCGTGATGATGGTGCGTGTTCAATGTTGGATGTAAACATGCATCTTTCTGAGTTTTTTTACTTCGATTTTCCTTGAGTTTAATCGGCACTACTTTGAAAGTATTGTCAGAGAAGAATAAATCTAAGTTTTCTGAATTTTTTTTTTGATGTGCCGTTATTCTGCAATTGGTCAAGTTGGTTGACTCACTTGGTCATCGATTACTCCTAGAACTATGAGGCTCCGCGTGAGCGGAGCACGCGGAGCCTCATAGTTCTAGGAGTAGTCATCGATCATGTTCGTTTGAAAACTTGCACTTGCAGTTGCACTCCCGTGATCATGGCATGGCGATTAACTTAGATTAGAATAGAAGCTATGCAAGAGTTAGATGAATTTAACAGCTTTTGAATCGACATTTATTTACATGGAAAATACATGGGGCCTAGCTTGAGTAACTCCAGCTGAGTGACATGCTCCATATTCATTCACATGTGAATGAATATGGAGCATGTCAGCTGGAGTTACTCAAGCTACATGGGACCTACATATACGTAGCAATGGTAAATAAAGGGTTTGCTTGGTTAAGAAAGCAGAACATTTTGTGCACCAATTAAAAAAATGTTTCACGAAATTATCTTTGTACAGTCTTGTAAGTTGTATGTAGATGGAGTACAGTCGTTTTCCTAGTTTTGGATTTTTCCTAGTTCCGGATAGCTTCAAATATAAACCTACCTCTTTCAAATTGGTCTTCAATACTATTTTTTCTGACAAAGTTTATTTTGAAAAGGAAAATGTAAGCTTCTTGATACACAAAGATCTTTTGATAATTAATATCTCTAGAAAAGGAATTTTGGCCAGATTTCCAACTCGCACTTTGACATGTTTGGATGGTTTGTAGAAAATCACTGGAGCTGCGAATCGATGATAAATTTTCTCCTCAGTACATCACTTGGATTGTGTGATTTCAAATATTTTGTTCGTACTCTACAGTCGTATAAACTTGTGCATTGCATCGAATGTTTGTGTAATCAAAATAAGTTTTAGAAGGCTTCCTCCGTCTGCAGACGGAGGAAGCCTTCTGATTTCAGAAGTAGGTCAAAGGTGTTTGGTTTGTGCGTGTTCGTGCGGTCACGCTGCAGACAAGAGTTTCAAAATCATTTACTTTAATTCTCTTTTTAGAATGTGCTGGAATTCTCTTGAATGAACTGTTTTTCGAAAAATTAAATAATAATTTATCAGAAAATGTGCTCGAATTGGGGTGGTTCTGGCTGAAAAATTGCTTTTCTCACGTGCTTTTGTTTTTCGCGCGATTTGATTGATTTGGAACTGAATAAAACGATCCGGAACTAGGAAAAGTGGCATCGGTACTTTTGATGTCGCAAAGCCAAAATTTAAAGAGCTTAAATTTGGAAAATTATTTTGTAGTAGGCCTATAGTATCTCCATCACTCAAGGTAAACTGTTTTTATTGTGTCACTTGAATTCGTGGAAAAGTTAAGCCGAAAGCAGCCTGAATGATGTTTGCTATCCGGAATCAGGAAACAAAAAATGTAACTTTCTCGCTATGGCAGTAGCTTGAGTAACTCCAGCTCTATTGCCTAAATGTGATAGGCATTAGAGCTGGAGTTACTCAAGCTACTATGGCAGCAGAAGTTCATACCCTGGACGTCAGTCGTAATGCAACAAAGACATCATCCAACCTAGGCTATGTGTGTACATGGTCGTCAGTAACTTACACCCAGTAGGTTGTCAGTTTTTAAAGACTTTTGCATTCTCAAGCAATACGTTAATTCATGTGACACTAAATTTCAACACTACTTTATAACTTTCTTTGTTGATTTTCCAGTTTGAGCAATGCAGTTTTGTGCGTTCATGGTGCATCATGGCACTCCACCGATATACTGTCAGAGTTTTTCATACTTTTTTTTATTCAAGACGGTCAACTATAGACAAAAGCCTAAATGTTTTCTTTATCTTCTTATCATAGCTGTTGATCCATGTTTTTGGACGCCGTGCCTCAACGGGGGCGTCTGCATACCCAACTACGCCCTCAACAGCTACACTTGCCAGTGTTCATCCTGCAGAAGAGGGACCAGATGTGAACTTGGTAAGTACGAGAAGGCATTCTGGTCTAAGAAAGAATAGGCGACTGATGTGTGCCCAAAGAACATTTATCAATTTCTATGAAAACTGTCACATTATCAAAGTTAAAGTTGGTCTTTACCATATGCTGTTCAATGAGTTCAATTTTTGTTTGCTTGACAAATATTTAAAGGGAATATACATCATTTGCTTTTGCTGTAATTTTCAGAAATGGATGGAATTGGGGGTTGGAAATATAAAGCAAATATAGTTACACTGACTTTTTGGAGGTTTTGGGTTCGAAAATGCTATAAAAACCAAGAAAAACGATCATTTTCCTGTAGTCTGGTTCCCTGACTCCATATAAGAAGAAACAGAGCAGTTTACATACATTGGGGAATTGTAAGGTCAGGGAACCAGTCTAGCTGGCTCGTACCCGTTCATAGGTTTGTAATCGATTGCAAACAAGTGCAATGGTCAATTGGGGCCAGTATTTGAAAAAAAGCCAGTTGTTTCCAATGCTGATCGGCCGATCAGCGTTGGAAATTGATACAAAAATACCACTTTTCTTGAAAATGACAGTATACCAGGTGCCATAATTTTACAGGATGCTTTAGACTGTCATTTACCAACATCCTGTTAAGGTATTTCGCAAAAACTTGGTAGTTTTATTTTTCGATGTTTACAAATGTTGTATATTCCCTTTAATATTTTTGTTTTATTCATACAGAAAAACTTCCCCCCTTTTTTTTGGGGGGGGGGACATTTTCAACCCTCTGAAAACACACATTTATTTGGGGTTGCTGTTTGGCCTGTAATGCACTAAAAAAAAAGATACATTGGAATTGATGTCAGGCTGCAAATAACTTGAAAAATGCACAGTAATTATCCATAACTAAATTTAAGCATTGTTTAATGTCTCATTCAAAATTTAATAATTTTGTACTGCTAGATAAACAGAGTTTCTTTTTTTGATTTGTGTGAACAACTTGACGATTCGAGAAAATGGATGTTACTGCAATATGTAAATGAGTGTTTCAAAAAGAAAGATTGATCCTGAAATTTGATACTTTATTTTGTGGTCATTTTGGGCAGCACATAAATCAAACTTTTTGAATTTGTTTCAAGCTGTTTGGAATAGATTGGATTTGTTTGGAATTGATTGATATTTTTCCCCCACAGCATTCGATCTTTGCGCAAGTTCCGATCCTTGCCTGAATGGAGGAGAATGTTTCCAGAGCGTGGACTGCAGATCAACGTTCTGTCGATGCACTGAGTGTTTCCAAGGGATCACATGCCAGGAACGTAAGTTGGACCTCCATAAAATATCACTAAAAACTGGGCTCCTTTTTAAATTAAAGGACTTTTTTGTTGCATTAAATATTGTGTAAAAGGTACGTACATGTAGGAGTATCAGTATATTTCCAGAAATAGACCTACAGATTTAATGAGAAAATAACATACTCAAAATGAAGATAGGTATAGTACCAAAAAATAACAATGAATCTGCCTTATATTGTATCTTTTCAAAGAAAACAATCATAGAAACCTTGTTTTGAAAAAGCATGCCAGTGGACACACTTTTTCTATGTGTGTTGGCAACGGAATCTAGTAAAAAAATTTTTAAAATGGACAAACAGCAAATGATCCATTATACGTACCATTTTGCAAGAATATTTGCAATGTACATGTAAGTGTTCTTTTTAACCTAAACTGCCCTGAATCCTTCAAAATCCTCATTGCCAAGGTGGAGGAATTTGGAGGATTGAGGTTACATGGCAAAAGTGCGTTGCTGATTTCGTAGAATGCACTTTGTCAAGGTCTTGGGCCGGACCTTGTGTTGTTTTTGCTCAGCCATGCATAAATATAGGCCTACGTTATGCTTGATATCCTCTGTACAGCTCCAGGATGTCACTGGCCATACCTCAACATATTGACAGTCACTGCTGCAGGATTTTGCAGGATTGTGGCTACATCCTGGCGAAAGGCCTAGGGAGTTAGGGTTAATATCGGTTTATGTGGCATCGGTTTATTTGGCAAAATTCAAAATTACCTTTTTTACCATATTTACAATTTAAGGTTTGACAAATCAACTCTGTCCCCCGCTCTTCTTTCGCCAAAAAAAGAAGAAATCCTTGATTACCATTATACCTGAAAAATATTTCCAAATCAACTAAATTTACGAAATGAAGTGCAAACAGCAAAAGTTGTGATTTTATTTTCACCCTATTGATTCATTTCTAAATCTCAACAGAGTGATTTCAGACAATGCATCATCAGACTCATCTTTTCAGCGCAAAATTTTATGGGGCTTTGCAAAAATTTAGGCCTATTCCCTGCTCTACCCCCGCAAAGTAAGGTTTACAATAGTCACCAGCTAATAGCTGGCATTTTGAATGCTGTGGGGGGGGGGGGATAAGGTTTTGTATACATGTTTAGTGCAGACTGTCTAGACATAGATAAAGGACACAGATGAGGTGCATACATTTTTGATTAAAAAACTTTGTGTTGTTGCCTATCATTTCATTTATTTTGGATTCGATCGGTGGATCTACGCGATGGGTCGATCATGCAGATCTCTTGCGTGATTGGTTGATACTGAATTTGATATTGGTTGAAACATGCGTTCTGTGCCAAGTTGTCCTTGCAGTCAAAATCAATCAAGTGACTGTTTTCAGCAGTTAAGAATTCCCATCCTACGGCAGAATTGACTGACTGTGACTGTTTATGTAACTTTTGTAACAGCTTTACTTTGACTGGGGGTAATTGATAAACCAGCTGTGCCAACAACTTGCCTGCTTTGTCTGGTGACTGAATTTGTCTAGACACAGCGCTTGCTTGACATTATGATCTGACTGTTGGTGACTTGCCTGTGTTAAAAGTATAGCAGGGGAAGTGGATGGAAATTTTGAGTGTCTGCAGCTGCTTAAATAGTAGGGGGGTTAAAAAGAAAAGGTGATCAAAAGATGGCGACATGATCGATCGATAGCGCAGTGCGATCGACCCACAGATCATGCCCAACAGTTACTTTTTTTGTCATGTGATCTGTGAGGCTCAAAAACAAATTTGCGATATTTTAACCTGACCTTCATGTACCTGGCATTTTTTTAGAAAAAAAATTGCCGACTTAAAAACTGTTTATTACAAAATTTTGCATAAAATTTACAACAAAAGTTCATTTGAAAGTAAAAAAGTCTGAGTTACATTTTTATAAACAAGTTGTTGTGTGTGTTACTGGTTAATGAAACAATTAGGCCTAACTAGATTAATTAAACATAACATTGTTAAAAGAACCCTTAAGTGAACAAAGTAAGTATAAAAGACCAACTGACAAACAGAAACAGTTACAACATTATTTGCCTACCTTCCTACCTATCTGGATCATTTTTAGTCTGTTACCATAAACACACATTTTTTCCCGGCCTAAATGCTGGCCTAAAATACACATTGAATGTCACCCATTCCCACAAAATTGAGCATAAAGTCAGACTTTTTGAGAAATTGGATATTTTTAGTTCAGGATTCTGCAGAACAAGAGCTCTGTATAGAACATTTAGAGGTACCGAGAGTTTAGTAGCAGAAATATAGACTGCCAACTTAATTGAAGTTGTAAAATAAATTTTGAGAAAATGGCATTTAAAACCCAGCCATTGTATTAAAGTAAATAAACGATTGATTTTAAAACGGGATGAAAATACGTTTTAAAGATGGTTGATAGAACAAAAACGAAAAACACAAACACGAACAAAAACAAACAAACAAATTGGAGAAACAGGACTTACAGACTGATGTCCACCTGTTTTTGCTCAACACATTGCTCATCAGTATTTTGTTTTAAAAAAACTCCAAGAGATGAGCCCTGGATGTCCAAACTTGATAAATATTTCAATCATTTTTTCCTTTGCAGGTAAGAACCAGTGTATGAACCCCAGCAATCCTTGTCAGAATGGTGGTACCTGTATCCCCCAGGGTATGGGCTGTGGCACGGGAGACCTCATATGTCAGTGTCCGACGTGCTTCCAAGGTCCCCGGTGTGAAACGCGTATGTATCCAACCATTTGTTAAGGGTGTTAAAGCTCCGTTTCAATTCTAATCCGGTACGAGTTCCGTACTAGTTGCAGACATTGCTTTGGGTAGAGGTTGCAGGATTCTGAACAACTTCACCGCAATCTTCTCGCAATTAAGTTATCAGTATTGGTGAGTCTAGCAGTCATCGACAATGAAGGCACTGTTACTGTTATGTCATTTTAGGAAGACACTGTTCAGTTTGGAGTTTTCTGTTCAAATTGTGAACCCCAAAATTTGCCCTTTGAAACTATTTGTGAGAAAATTTGCTCATTGGCTTACCAATGAAAAGAAAATTGACGACATCAAAATCTCCAAAATTCTAGCAACTTTTGGTGCTGAAATAGCTGTCACATTCAGGTTTCTGTCTGAAATGACATCACACTTTTGCTCATGAATATGGAAATTTGCATTAGCGTAAAAACAAAACACCATCAAAATACCTTTGAAAATGGCAAAATGAAAATTCAAAATATGGTTAAATGAGACGCAAAGGTGCATTTTCAAGGATTGCATTCATACCTCATTTCCATAGATGCTTACAGTAAAAGCCTAAATTTTCATCTTTTTATTTTAGCGGTGGATATCTGTCAGGTCAACAATGTTTGCCAGAATGGCGGCCAGTGTGAAATGGACGATACTTGCTCCCAAACCTCTTGTGTTTGCACTAACTGCTTCACAGGCCCTACGTGTAACATTTGTAAGTATCCTAATGCATCAATGCTCGTTAAAGTTGGTGTATACATGCTTTTGGGGTGTGGCACCTTGAAAAATAGATTTTCAAATTGAATTGATAATTTTCTAGCCTTAAATTTTTGTTATGAGCTTTCAATGAGACATTGCACGAAAAAAATTGGCCGACAACAAGTAATCGATTAATCAATTTTGACTTTTGAGTTTGTTCTGAATAGTGTGCACAATTTCTGAACTGGAACTTTGTAAAGCATATTGAGACTCTGGTATAAAGCGCTAAGTTCCTGTTAATGGACCCTTAAGAAGACCTTTTTTTGTCATAAGTTATACCTTCGGGAGACACCAGACATTAATTTCACAACTCCTATTTAGAAGCAAAATTCTACAGTCGCAAATAGGCTGGATCGATTGCTCATGGCCCAAAACATAAATGTATCAACATTTGAGGGGGTGGCTTGTGCGTAAAGCACTCGCCTCTCACCAAGGTGACCACGGTTCAAATCCTGGCCGCGGATCGCATGTGAGTAGAGTTGTGCATTGGTTCTCTCCTGTGCCACGTGGGTTTTTCTCCGGGCCCTCCGGTTTTCCTCCCTCCGGAAAATCAAAACTTTCGATCTCGGGCTGTGCTCCGTGGTCATATATGGGTCGATGTGGCCGGCAGCCATAGGCGCCTTTACGTGCCGGCGGCCTGACCACGTTGTAGCCGCGTCCTTCACAATTCAGCGTACCAGCTGCGAGTAAGGATGATTTGCCTCCCAAATTATTATTATTATTATTATAAAAATGGGGTTAGGGGTCATTAAAGTTGAAAAAATGTTTGTTCACAAGTCTATGGAAATGTCTCCCAAGTAACCCATTATCGGTATTAATTATTGTATATTATTATTCTCTCAGAGTTGTGTGAATTTTTTGAGGTACATTGAGTGGCATAGTTACGTTCTATCATATTTCACCAAAAAAGAAAAGAAAAAAAAAGTAGTCCATTGCTTTATTATTAGAAAGAAGTTTAAAGTTTATTTAATGTCGGATCGGAAAAAATAATATAATTTAGTACCCATATCCTAACATGCATGCCATTTTTTAGGCAACCCTTCAGCACAGAGGACCATAATGTCTGTAGTCTCAAGGACTATTGAACACAAAGTGGACAGCTCCTTTATGGACGAATCAAATTGAAATGCAAAGAATTAAATAACTTCTCCCTGTTTTTGTTTTCTCAGACCAAGATGCCTGTGGCAGTTTCCCTTGTCTCAAAGGAGGGCAGTGTGTTGTCAGTCCGTCCGACTGCCAGGATTTCACCTGTAATTGTGAGGGCTGCTTTGAGGGCGACAGGTGCCAAACAGGTATGCTGTCAGTTTGCTTCTTAGGTGTACAAAGGCTGATGTGATGGACCTTTGACGGTCATTCATTCATTCCTTTTGACTGCTCTAAGGCCTCATTTGCATTTCATTTGCTCTTCATGCATTTGTGAAAAGACTTGTGGCGGACTTGTGATGGACTTGTTTACAACACTGCTCATTGCAGTCTGGTTCAAGGCATGGACATGAAGGATTATTTGCTTTTCATGCGTTTTGTTCGTTTCCAATAATGACATCAATCCAAATCCAAAGAAGAATGTTCAAAACCTGACCTGTTGAAGTTTCAGCTCAGTGGATATTACACTTTTTCGATAAAACAGTGAAAAACCATGCACAACCTTTTGATCACGAAACACGATTTCGTCCACAAAACTCTTTATTCTAAAAGATCAGTCAATCTTCCAATATCGCCTACATTTCTTGATTTCTTCAAAATGACAGGCAGATGAAATAATATAACAGGGTGTTTAGCACCAGTATGATCTTTGAAATCCAAGGAAGCTTTTTGATAGCAATTTAGTTCTTTACATTTAGGATAAATGCAAATGATTCTGTGCGCCTTTAAGGTCAAAAGTTAAAACCCATTCCAAAGTTGCGCCAAACCAAGTTATTCCAAAGGTTTGATATAACTTAGACATTTGAAACACTTATGAGTTACTACTACAGGGTTGGCGATTTTTTTGATTTAAAACAAAAATATTTGAATATTTTGTATATTCGGGACAGCCCTAGCCAGTGTGAAACAAGCTGATATTTTATAAAATGTATTAATAGTAATTTTGCGCTTTGATGAACAAAGATTACTTACTGTTAGTATGTTAGAACTGGCTATTAATGTTTACAATTTTAAACTGTTTGCCTGTTTGATTTGACAGCTCTGAACCCGTGTGCCCCCAATCCATGTGTCAATGGCTTCTGCAGGGGGTCTACCACTGGCGATCCGTGCCGAGAACACGAATGTGTTTGTCCGTTCTGCTTTGAGGGAACCAACTGCGAAATCCGTAAGTTATGTTGGGTAAAACCTCAAAAACAGGAGGAAGTTTGAATAAGGTACTATGGCCTGACTCAATTTATATTCGGGACGAGTTCCAGACAACTTCTTGACATTGTGTCTGGTATAAGTTGCAGGATTCTGAACAACTTCCCGGCAATCTTCCCGCAGTGAAGTTATCAGTATTGGTGAGTCGAGCAGTTGCTCATGAACATTTCCCAGGAACGTGTCTGGGACAAATTTTGTAAAGTAATGGCAACATTCCAATGCCAAAACTTCATCACAAAACACCTTGATCCTGGCTCCCTGCATTATAATCCGCTAGGCCATTGGTTACCGGTGATGGAACCATGCAATGAGCTCCGTTTCCCAATGGTCAACTAGAGAACTGGAACCAACCAATCAACAACATGAAGTTCACTTGAGCGCAGGATGGTTGTACTACTCTAGTCGACTATTTGGAACCCCGGAGCCTGGGGCATGGTTCCCTTGCTATAGTTACCAATAGCCGAGTGAAGTTAGTCAATCTACTTTTAGCAATAGTCCTCTCTTGAACTTGTTCCATGTTTATTTGTTAGTTTTCAAATGTATTTCCAAATCGCGATATATCCATTTGAAATAAAGGAAAAAGGTTGCACGGCTATGACGGCTGTTTTTAAACCTCATGTTTTTTCGGCGAGCTGTGAAGCAGATGCAAGCTTATGTTATACCAATTTCCATTATGGGCGTCCGTTTGGTCCGGCTGTCCACATCCAGATTAAAATGTTTTAAGTTTTTGCTTCTAGCTAATTCGGTAAAAAAAGAAGAGAAAAGAAGACATACAGTTTATCAACATTTTCAGGGGGAAGGATTGGGGGGGGGGGGGGTTGTGGTGATGGTGGTGATGTGGTACAACACACATGTAAGGACCTTTGTTGACTTTAAGTTAGCATTTAAACAAACTGATCTCTACACCTTGATATACCATCCTGAATCCTGATCCCCTTCCATCATGCCCAGCCCCAACCTACCTTCAGCCTCCCTTCCCGCCTTCAACAGCGAGCCATGGCGGCTTCGCCATTCTTGTTTAATTTTATTGTATTCTTAAATTGACAAACTGACCCCTACACCTTGACACAGCATCCTGAATCCTGATCCCCTTCCATCATGCCCAGCTCCAACCCTATCTTCAGCCTCCCTTCCTGCCTTCGACAGCGAGCCATGGCGGCTTCGCCATTCTTGTTTAATTTTTCTTATTGTATTCTTAAATTGTGTTTAACTACATGTATATAGCAGCCGTCAAAATTGACTTTGAGTAGCCAGGAGAGAGCAGGCTTTTAAAAGGAAACAAAATGGCGTGTATCGCATTTGGGAAATGAACTCTTCCTTTGCATTTATAAGACTTCTTATTTTTTTGGTTTCTTCTCGATTCTTAACAGCCAAGAATCCTTGCAATTCTTCACCCTGCGTTAACAGCGGCACGTGTGTACAGGATCCTAACTTCTGCCTGGGCTTCTCCTGCGAATGTCCAGCTTGCTATGAGGGAGAAACCTGCTCAATCCGTAAGTAACTCGCCGACAAATTCACTCTCTTGATTGGTCGAGACAATGTCACATGGTATTCGGCAGCGTATCCATGTTTTGCGGGGGGGGGGGGGGCAAATACCGGGTGCGCCAAGAAATTTGTGGACGGACCACACTGTGCTGGAAGGTGGCCAGGGATTTGTTCCAGTCACCATTCTGGCACAAATTTTAAACTGGACTTAAACTGAAATGAAGTTTTCCTGTATAGGCTAAAACCATTTTTGTAATATATTTTATCTGGTTGTCTGCAGCTATTGACCAGTGTCAGTTCAGTCCATGCCAAAACGGTGGAGTGTGTAGCAACGATCCCATCGACTGTAGCAGCTACACATGCACGTGTCCCGTCTGCTTCAATGGAAATAACTGCGAAACCCGTAAGTTGAAGTTCAGGACTGTATGACTTATATTTTTCAAATAAACATAATATAGGATCATTTGCATCCATCCCAAAAAGTAACCTAACAAGTTATTATCAAAAAACTTACTTGGTTCAAAAAGCTTACTTGGTTTAGCTAACCCTCCTACTGTTTGAACGGTCACAGACAGTCGAATAGCCCATACTTCCCCTGCCCTGGCTTTTACACAGGCTAGTCACCAACAGTCAGATCATATTTCAGTATGTAGGTGATTTCCAACGATCAGTTTTGACTGATTTTTGGAAATATGGACTGCTATACAGGGTGAGTCAAAAAAGCGAAACCCAAATGTCGGGACAATTGTTTTGGTGAAGTTCTGCATGTAGCACTTTGAAAATCTAGGATATAAAAGCCAAATTCATAAGCTTTCTTTTAGTATAAGAATCATTCAAATCACTCATGTGCTTTTCAAGTAATACAGAATTTTAAATACAACCACTGTTTTAAAGTTCTGTCCACGGATCACACAAAAGGTGTGCGTTCTTTCAGCAAAATGAAAATGATTCACACACATCCCTATGTGTTTTGTTTTTGTTTTGCTGAAAGATTACTTACCTTCTTGTGATCCGTGGACAGAACTTTAAAACGGTGGTTGGGTTTTAAATTCCGTAATTTGAAAAGCACATGAGTGATTTGAATGATTCTTGTACTAAAAGAAAAACCTATGAATTCGGCTTTTGTATTCTAGATTTTGAAAGGGCTACATGCAGAACTTCACCAAAACAATGGTCCCGACATTTGGGTTTCGCTTTTTTTGACTCACCCTGTAGATGAAATCGTGTTTCATGATCGAAAAAGTTTTGCATAGTTTTAACCGTTTTTTAAAAAAAATTGTCATATCCACTGAGCTGAAAGTTTAACAGGTTAGGTTTTGAACATTCTTCGTTGGATTTGGAGTGGAATGAACGAAATGCATGACAAGCTAATGATCTTTGAAAAGCAAATGATGATGCCTTGAAACTGTACTTAGACTGCAGTCAGTGTGCTTCATAATGATGATAATGCTTTTTACTCCTAGGTATTGAACAATGTTCTCCCAATCCGTGCAACAACAATGGATTCTGCTCACCGGTGGGCTCATCATGTGAAGATTATACTTGTACTTGTGTCAGCTGCTACACTGGTCCTACATGCGACACATGTAAGTTCTTCCTGTCCGTGTGGACTCTTTGCAGTCATCTGTCACGTGTCAAAGTGAAATCGGTTTTGGTTTTCCATGTAGCCTGGATTTTGAAAATTCTCCATAAATAGCGTTCAATACTTTTCTTGTTAAGGCCAAAAAAAAAAGTCTCCGGTTTCTGGTATGGAGCTTGCCCAAAAAGTGGTGCGGCGACGCGGCTTTTTTTTTTTACCTGTCTTTTTTTGCTTCAAATGTCGGCTGATGACTGCAAATGGTGCAGACACCTAAATTACTTTAGTTGTTACATCGTAGGTTGATTTGTTCCGTTGTATGTCTAGGTCATTTCTCACATACCAGCTTTTTCTTTTTAACTACAACTTTATTGTCATCGGTCAAAACAAAAGTCTGGATATCATACTTGCACTTGATGCGCATTGTCGGAACATGCAGCTTGACATGTGAGAAAAGCATAGATTGTTGCCAGTTTGCGAAGTGAGCAGCATCTATGGCGGAATCTGCAACAGTCAATTGAGTAATAAGCAGGCCTGAAAAAAAAATCTTCATTCTCAAAATGAGAACTCATAAAAGTATTAATGCATTCAATATCGGGTTTGGCCCGCCACCAACTTATTTTATAAACACTGCATACTCAGTGTTGTCCCAAGTGATAGTGAGAAATAAATTCACAAACTACTCGGGCGGGACTCGGACTCACGACCTCCTGCTTATTTGGGATAAAACCCAATATTAAATGCACATCAACCGGATGAAAATGCCTTCTTGTATTAGCAATATGTTGTATTCACTTTTTTTTTCCTCAGTGCAAGATCCGTGCAGTGTCAACCCTTGTCAGAACGGCGGTACCTGTAACCCTGTGTCATGCTCAGAATACAGCTGCAGCTGCAGTGGTTGTTACAGCGGTCAGAATTGCCAGCTGTGTAAGTCATAATTCCCCCACCCCTCCCCCCAAAAACCCCAAACCGACAAACAAAATTAAGAATCCCACTCTTTCTCCCGTTGCTCGTTGCCATCTGTCTGCCCGGGTTTTGATGACTTTGACTTTATTGATGAATACTGACTCTGTGCTTGGCCAGTAGATGGTGCTTCGTCACCACATTGCGCTGCGGTTTGCGGGGGTATATCACGAAGTACGCGTGACTTATTCTATTCTGAATGTGGGTCATTTTAATAAGATTTTGTAAATGCAGGACACATTCTTTAAAGCCTTCTGGAGTAACTATGTAAACCTCCAAGAGTGATTATGTAATGCAAAGTACCAGCCCAACAAATAAAAAAATAGTTAAAGCTACAGTCCATCATTTGTAATTTGTGCATTTTGTTCGTTTGAAGCAACAAAAGAGTTCAAAATCTAATGAAGGATACTGAGCAACTAACCTGATGAAGTTTCAGCTCAGCTTTAGCTGTACATTCCGAGAAAAACAGCATTCTAAGATCTCAATTTCAAATCAAAAGTTACTGAATCATGTTTTGAATTGTTTTGAATTGCATCTATACGCGACATAGCGCACTGATCCGACGAATTATAACAACCGCGCGCGCGTGTGCGTCGTTCCAATACTTGTGCGCGCTGCGCTGAATAACAAAACGAACTACTTATTTAAATTTTCCTACAGTGCTTCTTAAGAATCACCGTTGGAAATGCCTTCTTTCGTTGATTACTTCAAAATGACAGCTTCCCAGAAAGAATAATTTCACAGGGAGTTTAGTTTCCTTACTATCTTTCAACCAAGTTTGTTTTTCAACAATAATTACGCCAGTTACTTTTCGGATGGCTGCAAATGATGGACTATAGCTTTAAAGTCAATTTTAGTGATACTGGCATGGCAAATTACATAGGTCAGGTGCAACAGGGACACAACAAATTCACACTTTTTGACCCCAAATTCTGGAGTGACCCTTGTGCACAAGCTGTTATGAACATTTCAGACGAGACTCCAAAGATGTCCCAAGCAACAGCAACAGTCAATTTCTCAATGAAGTCCAACTGTTCACGTACTAAATAGAAATCTTGGGAATATTTTAGTCTGGTGCAACTCTGAACGGCATGGGACAAACTGGTTTCCTAAGTTCAAATATCCCTAAATGACGATACATGGAAGGTCACTTGAAGGCATATAGGATCATTTCCATTTATCCCAAAATGTCCCGAATTATTATCAGTGAGCTTACTTGGATTGAAGATCGTACTGGTACTAAACAACCCCTGAAGTTATTCCGTCTGGCTTGCTGTCATTTGGAAGAAATCAGAAAATGGAGGTGATTTCCAATGATCAGACCACTGCCTTATGTTTGGAAATATAGAGTGCTATAGACGAAATCATGTTTCGAGATCAAAAGGTTGTGCATGGTTTTTCACTGTTTTCTAGAGAAGTGTAATTTCCCCTGAGCTGAAACTTCAACAGGTTAGGTTCTGAACAATCTTCTTTGGATTTTGACTGGTGTTATTATTGGAAAAGAAAAGGATCCTATATGCCTTTAAAATGAACGGATAGATTGCGAAATACTGTAGTAACCTGCATAATAATAATGCTACAGGATAGAGTCTCTGTTTTGTACTAAGGCTCGCATTTGTTTGTAGATTTCATCTTCATCAATATTTCATCTTCATCTGTTTTTTAGTGAGGGATCCTTGTTCTCCCAGTCCATGTCTCAACAACGGCGTGTGTTCTCCCGTGAGTGGAAGCTGCGAGCTGGCGACTTGCGACTGCCAGCTAGGCTGCTTTGAAGGATTTTTTTGCCAGACAAGTGAGTAATTGAACAGCGTAAACAGTTCTAAAGAGGTGTAGAGATTTGTTACTGCAAATATGTTACACATTGGGATTTGCCATGTGCCCGGTCTATAAAGTGACTGTTCACTTCATGGACATCATGAAATTAATCTCATGTACACTGCCTTGCATATATTGCGCGCACGTGAAGGGTGCTTGTGAGCCTCGCAACAGAGAACTGCAACCTCTCCATGTCATGTCTGGCAAGAAAGCTCACAATAATTATAATAATAATAGAGACTTGTAATGCGCCATGTCTGTCAGATAGTGATACCCCTGGCGCAGAAAATGTCCCTATTTACTGTGCTGTCAAAGTTCGTGAAACATATACAAATTAACCAAATGAGATGCATCTTATTGAAAGAGAAAGGTATTGAGTTCATTCTTGAATGCGAGGTAGTAAGTCTTCTTTCTCAGCTTGATGGGTAGTGAGTTCCAAAGGGAGTGCTATAGATCACCAAGACTGATAGTGTTTCCTCCATGATTTCAAGGCTAAGTTGGAGACCTCTAGAGGAACGCAGAATGGTTGCACGCCTGTCTTTGCTATACAAATCCATACATCACAGAGCAGCAATAAATTCTGACCATCTTCATCATACCTCAAGCACGACGGGTGTACAAACTCGCACAACAGGATCAATATCCTTTATACAACAACCCGCAAACAAGGACAGCTGCAAGTACTCCTTCCTACCAAGAACTACAGCAGAACGGAACCTCCTGCCAGCATCTGTGAGAGAGGTCCCTTCACTTGATGCATTTAAGGACAATCTACTGAAACCAAACTTGTCGAGTATAAAAAGCAGAGCTTATTATTAGTGCCCCCAGCCACACACACACCTGCAACCTATACATCCCATAACGGGAGATTGCTTGCAGTATTGATCCAGATCCAAATGAAATCATGTTTCGTGATCAAAAGGTTGTGCACAATTTTCTGTTCACTGTTTTCAATAAAAATGTAATATCTACTGTCGCACGGGTAACCCGTGCGACAGTCTACTACTCAAGCATATTTACCCTGTGTGTGGATACTCGCATGCAAGCTTGGCAAACAGCAAAAATAGTGATGTTGAATGGACCAGTGAGAATTTGGCTCTCGATCATGAATATGTATAAGGTACAGTAACAGAAAATGCCGCCTGGCTAATTTATACGCTCAGCGAGAATTAGTGTGGAGCCTGTCATGGGCAATGTGCCATTCATTCAAAAAACTACTTTTTTTAGGAAATATTTCTTTTCTGTAAGCAATGTGTGCCTAGCACCTCCATGTTTGATGTTTATGAACATGATGTCATAAAAATAATGAGAATGACGTTGTACATGAAATTTGCCTGTGGATATTCTCTTGTTGCAGTGATTGATCCGTGCAACCCTAACCCCTGTGAATTTGGCGGTAGATGTACCCCAGACCCTGTCAACTGTTCAGCCTTCACCTGCGAATGTACAGGATGTAATACTGGGCCAACATGCAGCCAAGGTAATGTAGCACTTGCTGGCTTTTAATGCCTGTTTTTAATCTGCGACCAATTATTTTGTGGAAAGAAGTTCTTCACGAATATTTAGCTCAGACCTGGCCGATGTGATGAACTTTAAATCATGATATGAAGAAAAGATTTGTAAAAGGAATGCATGCTTTAAGCATTTTTAAAAGTGGCTTTATATCATATTGCCTACATTGTTGACGATATTTTAAACCAGCCAATTTATTTGCTCCTTTTTCTCAACAAGCACCGTCAGTGAGCTTTCCATAATGGAGTACTGTTTAATATTTGAAGAGCATTTAGTATATGAAATACGTATTAATTAAACCATATATTTAACTGATGTTAACAAGTGTATTTAACCTAAAAAAAGAAGTTCTGTCGAAAAACACACTCTTCTTGACAGCTGGTTAAAAATGGCTTTGTTAGATTTTTGAAAAGTCTCGAAAATGGACTTTCCTTGGCAAAATTATATTCTTGAGAATTGGAAAATGTCAGCGAAGTTTTTACCAAGACATTTTCTGAATTGATACATGTCTACAAATCATTAAAAAAAGCCTTAAAAATCACCGTTACAGGCAAAATCATGATCTGAAATTTTACAGTATATTTGAGACATTATTTAAATTTGCAACAAACTGAAAATAACCATACATGTACTTAGTTTTGTAAAACTAAATTGTAAATTTGTAAATTTTACCCTACAGTGTTAGCCCCTTGCGCCAGTGATCCATGCCAAAACAACGGGGTCTGTAGCCCTACCTCCTGCACTGAGTATAACTGTAGCTGCCCCATGTGCTTTGGAGGCACCATGTGCGAATCCAGTGAGTCACATCCGGTTTTGTATTTGTAACATTGAAAAATCAGAATTATGGACTATTATTGTCAAGCCTAGTCAAACAATATTGAGCACTTATCTGTTGGATGTTGTTCAAAGCAGGCCTATAAAGAAATCAGCATGCTCAGTATTTTTTTTGGGTTTGTTGGATTCTGTTTGATTTTCAGTTAGATATTTTTATAAGAAATTCCAAATGTTGGTAGTATAATGTGTTTCAAATAAATAAGTCTTTAATTGCATTACATCGTATACACTGCGTTTATTGATAACATGTAAAGTACCTCTGTGTTGCGCGCGCGTAGGGCCGGCCCGTGCGCCTCGCGACTGAGAACTGCAGCCGCTCAGTCTCATGTCTGGCAGGAGTGTTCGCAGTAATCAATCTGGTTACACAATGGTGATTTAATTTATTTCTTGAATAGTGAGTTATTCATTAGATGGAATCTTTGCGTCGGGGTGATGCAAATCAAATAAGGTTTTGCCCTTCACCGATGTATGAACACTGTATACTCAGTGTCCCGAGTGAAAGTTGGAAAGAAATCACTCGGGTGGGACTCGAACCCACGACCTCCTGCTTTCTAGTGCAGATGTCTTACCACTCGACCACCAAGCTTATGGGATCAGTTGGCTGGTTCGAATCTGATGTACATAGCAGCGGGTACCGCATTTAACTATTCATTATATGGAATTTTGCGTTGGGGTGATTTAAATCAAATTAGGTTTTCCCCTTCAGTGAGTTAAAAACCTTTTTGACTTTAAATATGGGCATGATATAACAAAACAATTATTGACTGCTGTGATGTGGGATATGTCTTTTTTTTAAACCCCCATGGGATGCATTGCACCCTCGGTTCCTCCTTGGGTGCTATGCACCCCTCTGAGGATAAAAACGCCATATTCACACAGCACAGCAGTCAACAATTGTTCAGTGCCATACTGTTGTTGCCTTGGAATGACCAAAAGATGATACCCTTACAGACGAACTCTGTTACTCTGATTTTAACAAAGCATTTATATCTTTTTGTCTGTTTTGCCAGGAATTGACCCATGCTCATCCAATCCTTGTCAGAATCAAGGCGTGTGTTCATCGGTTGAGTCTTCGTGCTCCATCTTTCAGTGTGCATGCGCCGGATGCTACACAGGGCCCACTTGTGAAATTTGTATGTTTATTGATAACTACAGCACAGCCCGGTGTGCCAAATTTTAAAAGTTTTACTCCAACGAGGATTTCAATGATGAAAGTGATAACAAAAATATCATAATTATATGTAAGCATTCAGGCAAAATGAGATGGAACTGGGAACAGGCCGTAGTGGAGAAAAAACAAAATAAAACCACATGATGTGATTTTTTTTTTTTTCAGATTTATTAATATTTGTAATCGTTGATATGTCTACTTCACGTATTTTACAGAAATAGTATAAAACTCATGGAATAAAGGTGTTTGTAAAGAAAAGGCAATTGGCATCTTTCGTTTTCACGAACACAAAACTCGAAACTTTAAAAGCCTTTTTATCAGTATTTAACATTTTGACATGTCAATTAATGCAAACTTTAAACAGCATTAACTTGTCAATGGAAAGTCTGATTGAAGTGCAACAAACAGTATTGTAAGGAGAATTTTAGTCTCTTTCCTAAGACCTGCAAACCCACATTTCGACCTCTGCCCTGTTCTGTCTCATTTTGCCATGACACCTCACATATCACAGTAAGCTCAATAATGTTCACTTTGGCACTGTTATTTTTCTTTTATCACATTGAGCTTCCGTTTCTAGTCATTGTGAATGTTCTTGATATGTTTTCAATCTGTTGTTTTGTTTTACAGTGCAAAACCCTTGCAATAACCACGCGTGTCAGCACAATTCCGTGTGTTTGCCATCAGCGACAGTGTGTTCTGCTTACAGCTGTGAGTGTGAGGATTGCTACACTGGACAGTTCTGCGAAATGTGTAAGTATACATAGATTAACCCTGCTAGTGGGAAGTCAATATTCAGAGCAATACTTAAACCCTCCTAAACTTGGAAGGTCAGTTTCAAGTGAAGGGATATGAAGTGTTAAGAGTAACTGTGTCACTCAGAGAGTCACTGCACACCCCCCTCCCTAAAAAAAAAACACCGGAGAGAGCAGTGAAGCATGACCGAAACTGCCTGCCTGCCCTGAGCTAAACCACACAACAGAATTGTGCAGGGATTTGAAGTGCGACCCATACTCCACTGAAGATGACGTCAAAGCATTTTGAAGTGTGGGTGCTTACTGTATGGGTAAAAGTGGTTTTGCAAAACTTAAAGGGTCGTGAAGTGCAGAAGACAAGGAGGGTTCGGATGACCGTGCTTTTGAGTGGATGGTGCGCAAACACACAGTGCTTCTTCGACCAGGGTTTGTAAATTGCATGCTTTTCTCCAATTAAGAATGCTTGTGACATGCGCATGAGCATTGCGCCATTTCAGTGTTGTCAACCTACTGCCTCTTTGTAACAGTAAAGGGGTACTTAAAAATTAAATTACCTTGAGAATTTTCTTGCCTGGCGGCCGCGTAAATGAAAACACTAGTTGTTGGTTTCTTTAAGGTAGCTTTGAAAAGCTAAACAATTTTGTCATTAGTAGGAAAAACACATCTAAAAGGAACTTTTGAAAGTATTATTTTTTAGTAGCATATGCCTATTTATTTTAATATAGAAACAGAGAACATGATGTTTGTGTTCTTAGGCAAGACACTTTACTACAATTGCCTCTCTCTGCCCAGGAAGTATAAATGTGTACATGTGAGGGTGGAGACCACATTGCACTGGTCTCAAGCTTTTAGCAGAATAACAGGTCTCGTGGCCTTATAAACAGGGGTAATAATTGTGGAACACTTTACAAGGTATAGTATACAACTATTGACTGCTTCAAGTGGTCTTGCACAGCTAGCCTCCCGAGTTGATCCATGGAGCATTCTGTTTTCTTGAGGCCTAAAAGCACAAACGAGGGAAATGGAACGCTCCATAGATCACCGAGGAAGGCTATATACTACACCATGAGTTAAAGCAGTCAATATTGTTTCATCATGTTTCAAAAGGAGTATCTAAATGAACATTCGTGATGCGATCAAGCTAAATGAGTCGTTTGTCGACCCTGGTCAATTTTTATATTTTTACAGATTTGAAAAGAGCACAACCTCAGCTTTACTGCTGTAAAAACCGCATGCTGATACCATCTTTAGTTCGAAAATTATGGAAGTCGGAACACCAAGAGATGTGCTGAAGTGATGTGATAAAGTGGCATTATTTGGCCTGAATCTCCAAATGAAAGTTCCCGACAAACGACTCATTTAGCTTGATCGCATCACATTTTGAGACACTCCCTAAGATGCAAAAAAAATGCATTGATTATTTGATTTGTTTCTTTGTTTCTTCTCTTTTCAGTGATTGATCCCTGCAGTAGTTTCCCGTGTCAGTTTGGTGGTGCCTGCACTCGCGCTGGCTTTCCCAATTGTAACGACTACACCTGTGACTGCCAGGGCTGCTTCAGTGGCCCCACATGCGAAATAGGTAGGTCACTGTCGTATTTACATTCGTATCGGTTTTATTGTTTTATCAAGACAATGTCACACTTGTTTGGGACAGGTGTTCCAGAGTCTCGCAAAACCAAGTTATTTTGATGATATGCATTAAGAACACGGAAACAACTTTGTTGAAAGATCAATTGTTGCAGTTGTTTGGAACACCTCCAGAGACTAGACAATGGAAGGTACCCACATTCACGGACAAATCCTGGAAAATCCTCGAATTTGAAGCTGCCATGGAAAATCATGGAATTTTATTTTACAAGGAGTCGTTGAAAGTAGATGTTTCAAGAAGAAAGTCGTGGAAAAGTCATGGAATCCTGCACAACCCATATGTGATGATGCGTAATATTAGGCTATGGCAGTCTACCAGTTTGCATTCCAGTTTACTATACTTCCTCTTTATGCATGTATGCTCTATATTTGGCCCATGTTCAAATACACCATGGTGATGCTTTTGTGGTGCTCAGTGCCCAGGCTGACACCACGTTATGGGGAAGTTTTTTATTGTAAGGCAAATTAGGACCACGTTATGGGGACTTTCTGCTGTCCCCACAGCATTTTCGGTCTCAACAAAGACCTCGTACAGACGAGTGTATGTCCCCACAACTACAGAACAAGACTATGTGGTCTTGCGTCAAACTGAGAGGCTGAAAGGGAGTGGCGTCCCTTGCCTCAGTGTGATGACTGGCCAGTGTATTGGAAATAGGCTCCTCAGATGCTAAACCAGCATAGGAAATGGTCATGGAAAGCCTGAATTTTGTCCTGTAAAAGCCATGGAATTTCATTGGGAATTTCTGTAGGAATTCTGTGATGGGAAAATAATACATAAAGGGTGCCGGTCTAAGACCAGATTCTATTTGGGTTGACCTGAGCTTCTAAGGTATTCATCATTGTTTCACAACCATTTGTAGATTTGTTTCCGTAAAACAATTAACCCTCCTATGCAAACTTTCTGTGCCAAGTTGTCCTTTCAGTCAAACTCAATCAAGTGACTGTTTTCAACAGTCAAGGGCTCCCAGCCTACATAAATCACGATTGACTGGCTGTGACTGTTTATGTAACTTGATGCAGCTATGCTTTGACTGTAGTTGATTGATGTAAGCCAGCTGTACCTCCCACTTATCTGCTGTTGTCTGTTGACTGAATTTGACTAGTCACAGTGCTTGCTTGAAATATGATCTGACTATTGGTGACTAGCCTGTGTAAAAGGCATGGCAGGGGAAGAGGATTGTTTTTGACTGCCTGTGACTGTTCAGATAGCAGGAGGGTTAATGAAATAATTGACCGTTAATATTGTTTGATTATCTACAGCTCTGAACCCATGCAGTCCAAACCAGTGTCAGAATGGAGCCTTTTGCTCGGTTACCTCCTGCACTACCTATACCTGCACCTGCGTTGGCTGTTATGAAGGTTCTGACTGTCAGAATGGTGAGTCTTTACCCCCATCTTAAAGATAAGTCATGACCCTATGTGTAAAACTACACTGTCCTCTCTGTGTTCTCTGTAAAACAAAGACATTGACTTAAGCGGGATTTGAACTTGGTCGCGTCAGTGCAACATGGTTGTAACTGGATTCTGCAACAAAGTCGTATCTCGCGCGAATACGCTACGTTCAACAAGGTCGTATCTCGCGTATCTCGATGTCCATTGACTGTGTGTGTACATCCGGGTTATTTTAAGTGATATACAACCTTTTGACATTAAAAACTCGCCTTTCACGGAGATGATGTCACACCCCATTTAAGGAGATACGACTTTGTTGCATGGACACGACGACTTGCCACCTCTGGAGCACAGTGCCGGTGCTCTACCAACTGAGCTATCCAGCCCTATGTTGGCGGTTCCCCATTTTGTCAATGTCTTTGTTCAAGGGGCGCTAGTCAAAAGCCACAAACCCGTATATGCCATGTTAGGCTATCAGCTTCAGTCCAAAAATTGGGCCACCTTATCAAATAATCGAAAGTAGCAATGCTCATAGCAAATTTTAGCAAGATATTAGCATCTAGAGTTGGAAAATGTGTGATAGCTTTGCAGTGTGAGCAGTCGCATTTTTTTTGGTGTTATCACTTTTATTTATTTTTTTCAAAATGGCTGTCAATATGCTCGAACTAGATTAATTATACATGGGAACAAACATGTTTTGGCTGCCATTGTTTTTAAAAAGTGATAGCACCCAATTAACTGCCACCGCTGCAATGCTATCACATATTTTCCAACTACATTTGATACCGACCAAACCCCCTGGCTGATGGCCTGTGTAGCCAGGGATCTAGCGCCAAAGTCACAATGCTAACAACATGAGCAATGCTGCAAACCATGGGAAATATCAAAAGATTATCACTATTTTATGTTTTAGTTTAAGAGAAAAGTCTCTTTTTTATTTTGGCGCTGCAACCCTACCATTAAAAGCTTTTGTTTTAAAATGGATTTTATGCTTGCATGTACCAACAGATTCACCTCAATTATTGTCCACTGGCAAATTCTTTGCAATTTGTTCAGTAATTATTCAATAACTTTACATGTTGGCAGGGTTTTTTGGTTCAATGTCTCATTTAGAAGTGAAAAACTTGTGCATTTCTTGATAAAAAAAAGAGGAATCAGAAAAATGATGTTTTCTTTCGGAGAGAACTTAGAAATTTCACAGACAGTACATCTTTAATAGATTAGCCAAGACGATTCTGTTTTTTTTAATAATAAAAGAGCCAGAAAAAAAACAGGCTGCAACTTTTCCTCGGATCCGCTGATTTCCTCATTTTTTTTGTTCTCATGAGTGCCATTACAAATTGAAAAACACTGTACAAAGTCTTGTGTGGTTTGGAGTTTCCTTGTTTTTTCTAAATTCCCAGTTGCAATTAATAAGCAGAGTTGAGGCGACTGTTCTTAAGTTGATGCTGTAGTCTACAGAACCCCTTCCCTCTGTGATCTGTGAAACATTGGTAAAAAGAAGGACAAGAAAACAAGAGCGCCACTATTTTCAAATGAGGTCCAGACACTGTCACTATAGGTCTCGTTCAAATGACGTCATTTCCTACAGACCATCCTCATGCATCGGCATTTTGAGCGTCAACTTGCATAATGTGCATCGGCTGCGTCGTATTTCGAACACAATTCGAGCACCAAGCGTGCGTGTTTGGAACATTTGCAACACTGTGTTATGCGTGATTGATTGTGTAAAATACGCAGCTGCAGTTCTCCTACAGAGATGGAAGTCATTGAGCGAGCTCTATTGTAACTAGCATGCAACCAACCTCTGTGTGATAGTTTGACTAGTCCTACTATGATCGACAAGCCTGGGTTCATGTGAAGGTAGTCCACCTCTGATTTACTATATTTTTTCTGTGAACTTGCCCTGTATTGACATTTTGTTCCCTTTGTACAGTGATTGACCAGTGTCAGCCCAACCCGTGTGAGAATCAAGGTGTATGCAGTCCGGTCCTGGGCTCCTGCAGTGCGTTCACCTGCTCATGTCAGGGTTGCTGGACGGGGCTCAAATGCCAGATACGTAAGTTGAAAATAAAAAGACGCTGTACGATAGAAAGATCTATTAAGGCCTTCCCATTATGATTCCACCAATCCATAGCATGATTAATGTCCAGCAAAAAGTCGGACATTCTTTTGCATATGAAACATGCAGTGTGGCATTGGAGAGACATGCGAGTTGTTGGCCACATGTACAGTGGATGGGGTTTAATCAGTTGGTCTATTGCAGTTAATCTTTTGACATGCAATGCAAGGTCATTTCTTTCAGATAGGTAATTGTTAAGTAAAATTGTTCCGAAGATTAGAATTAAGTACACGAAGGGTTCAGTGTCTGAAGGACATCGAGAGATTGATTATTGCAGTCTTCTGTCAACAGGAAATGGATGCATGAAGTTTGCCATTTGGATAGCAAATCTATTTGGGCCAACTTGCATTGCTGTCAATACTTTTTGCCTTGATGCGACACTGGAATGCCAGTCTGAAAAGTGTTGTTATGGTAATCATGCATGTGAGCAGTTTTCAAAATAATGCTTAGATGAGATAGCAAAGAGTCATTTTGATATTAATGCAAGTGCACATTTCCACAAAAAGATTGGATAACTTTCACTTCAAAAAAGAAATGCAAAGTGTTTATAAAGAATTTTGTTTTTGTAAACAAACAATATGAACAAATTTTCAATTCGTTTATGGATATTCCCATAAAAAACAGTGAAGTAAAGGCAAGACTGTCTTGAGGGAAAGTCAGACCTGGTCCCACAAAGCTTGGACAAAGTTGAACAATTTTTTGGTTTTTAGGTTTTTAGGTTTTGGCAATTTGTTTTCTCCAGAACCTTAAAAATAAAATTGGTCAACTTTGTCATATTATATGGCTCATCAGGCCAAATTTTTAATCCATTGTAGCTTTCCCCTTTGGTATGAGGGATGAGATTTTCCAGGATTTTTCCAGGTTTGTGGATGTGAAGAAAAACCTAAATGGGAAGTGAATTTTCACCGAGTGCCTGTTTGGTGCAAACACATAAATGTACCATAGATAGAGCCAGTATTGCTCGGGGGCCTCCGCCACATGTTTTTCGCGAAATTTTGTTTACCCCCAACCTCATACCTGCGGTGCCCAATATGTATGTAATAGTGTAGAGATGAAATGGGGGTATTGTGTCTTGCCCAAGGACACATCATATGTCCAGAAACTGGATTTGAACCCCTGACCCTCTCATCATGAGCCCTGTATGCCACACTCCCCCCCAAGAAGAATGCAGATTCATAAAATGCTTTCCTGAACTTCATTTCAGCCCTGGATCAGTGCAGTCCCAACCCATGCTTCAACAACGGACTCTGCGTTCCCGACAGCAATTCCTGTTCTAACTACACATGTCAATGTGATAGCTGTCACACTGGTCGCTATTGTCAAACTGGTAAGCATGTCAGGTCAAAAAACTGAAGTCCATGTCATATTTTGTCCAATATACCCAATGGTGGTAGTTCATGTGGCACACAAATGTACGGTTTGACCATAGAGCTATATTAAATTACTAGAGCACTAACTTGTCATTCTGACGCTTTGAAGCCGTCCTGGGCGCAGACATTTTGAATTCACGTGCGTGTTTGTAGAACATTATGAAATTAGATGGATTGAATTTTAAAAGTGTACTCTACATGCAATGCGCAAGTAGAACATACGCAAACAACTTAAACGCGTCATCGACGGTTAAAAAAAACGTGACGGCACAAAGCATCTGCAGCGAATACGCACACACGTTGCGCTGTTTACGTAGAGCAAAATGACACACTCATTTGCTGATCTCGCGTTTCGGTTTTGGGTATATTGGCTTCGATAATGCACCAGTATGGAATACAAATGCAGATATGCAAGTAGCCGTACAAAAGCCGTACAGAATTTGTAGGTCTCCATAGGTTTGTGCACAAACGTGGATACGCCCATCAGGCATTATTTTGTACACGAAGTTAGCGCTCTAGTAATTTAATATAGCTCTATGGGTTTGACTGAAAATATTAGTTCACTACAACCAGAATTTTATTGTAACAGAGTTTGTGTTTGCAAGAGTCAATCATTGTGGGCCTTTTAAAACTGCAAATGATAGTTGTTATAATAATATGATGGTAGGGGAAAAATACGGCTTGACAAATTTTGTTAACCAGTGTTAAAGACGGTCAGAGCATACTGACCGGAACGTCAAGTTATACCTCTGGTTCTTTTCAGAACCATTCTCTTAGTTGAGAAATTATTCCCACATGGTGTTTTCGCAAACCTTTCATTATTTATTATCTCCACCATGCAAAGCCTCAAATCTTACTTAACCAGTGTTGCCAAATTAACCAAATAAACCCAATTCCATCTATAAATCAAAAACCCAAATAATAATTGTGACGTATTTTATCAGTAAACCTTCACAAAATATTTTCATGATGGTATTACAGAAACATAGGGATTGATGAAATAGTTTTTCTTCCAACCAGATGTGGACCCATGTCAGAGTTCGCCGTGCATGGTCGGAGTCTGCAGCATCTCTACCGACTGTCTGAGCTATGACTGTACATGCCCGGGCTGTTATACTGGCAATAACTGCGAAACACGTGAGTTGAGAAACCCCAAATCTCAAAACTTGAATGGCCTTTTTCTCAGTATTTGACTTTTTTACTGTTTGGTCAATAAATATGATTGTTATATCATGTGCTTGGATACTTTAATTTATTGGTCTAGTACTGCCAATTGTCTGGACAATACAAATGCATATGTCACACACTGAAAGTGATTTCGCACTGCATTCATTGCGCGCATGTGTTGAACCTGCCAGCGCGCTAGCTTTGCGCAATGAGAACTGCAACGTGGAACGCTCAGTCTCATGTCCGGTAGGACATCAATACCTTCAGTTATCAAAGGTTACATGGCAGTGATTTAACTTATTTCTCACACAGTGAGTTTAATACGACCATTTATATTGTTGAGTTATTGGCACGATATAGCAAAACAATTGTTGACTGCTGTGATGTGGGATATGCCATTATTAAACCCCCTCAGGGTGCATAGTACCCTCGGCTTTGCCTTGGGTGCTATGCGCCCCTCGGGTGTTAAAAATGTCATATCCCACATCACAGCAGTCAACAGTTGTTAAATACTAAACAGCCAAAACTTGTCAGTTTAATGTCCGATTGAAGTGCAATAAACAGTGTTGTAAGGATAATTTCATTCTCTTTCCTAATAACTGCAAACCCTCATTTCGACCTCTGCCCAGGTCTGTCTCATTTTGCCAGAACGCCTCACATATAGCTTTTATTTTGTAATGAAGAATGCCCAGTCATACTTGACTGCAGGGTTGCATTTAAAGTAGCAATGGAAAGACTAATAAACAATCCTGTATGATGCAAGCATACCGACAATATGAAGACTTTATTTCCAAACCCGCAATATATCCATTTGTCAAAAGTGAAAATTTACATGTTCATCAAAGTTTAAAGAATAAAAACAATGTAACAGCTGTTTCTAAACTTCATTGTCCTTCGCTTTATTGTCTTAAAATTGTGTTTAACTATATAAAACCCGTCGAAAGTATTTTTGGGCAGCCAGGAGAGAGCGGGATTCTAAAAGGTAACAAATATTGAAAGAATTGTTGCCATTTCTGGTGGCTGCTTCTTAAATTTTGTGCCTTTGCAAAAGTTATAGAGGTATATTTCCCCTTTAAAATTTGTTTTTGTTAATTCTTCTTCTTTGCACATAATGTTGTGCCTTTGCAAAGGTTATAGAAGTATATTTCCCCTTTAAAATTTGTTTTTGTTAATTCTTCTTCTTTGCACATAATGTTGTTTCACATGGTTGTATCGACAGTGTTGGATCCCTGCAGCCCAAATCCTTGTCAGAATAGTGGGGAATGCTCGCGGCGCGACGGCACATCGTGCACTGAAGCCGTGTGTATATGCCAGCCCTGCTATACCGGTAACAACTGTGAAATTGGTAAGTCGGCACGGAACAAGCGATTGCCTCTACTCTAAATCTCTTTGTATTCTTGAATGCTGACATCAATTTAAAGGCATACAGGATCATTGGCATTTATCCCAAGAGTACCTCCCGAATTGTTATCCAAAAGCTCACTTGTAGTAAAGATTGTACTGGTACGAAACACCCCTGTGAATATATTCCGTCTGGCTTGCTGGCATTTAGAAGAAATCAAGAAATGTAGGTGATTTCCAGTGATCAGTCAGTTGACTGATTTTTTTAAAATAAAAGTTGTATAGACGAAATCATGTTTAAAATGATCAAAAGGTCGGGCATGGTTTTTTACTGTTTTCTCAAAAAGCGTAGTATCCGCGGAGCTGAAACTTCAACATGTTAGGTGTTGAACATTCTTGTTTGGATTTTGAGTGGTGTTTTTATCTGAGAAAAAAAAAAAAAAAAGGGCAAATGATCCTCTATGCTTTAATACATATGTTTGAATCAGTATTTAGAATTGAAAACTGTCTTGAATAACATTAAAAATTAAAGGCTTGGTTTCTTTCCCCCATAGCTCTGAATGCTTGCGTTGATAATGGCAACCCCTGTTTGAATGGAGGTACATGTTCCCTCCTGCAAGGCTCCTGCTCACAGTACATCTGTACCTGCGAAGGCTGCTACACGGGCTCTCGATGTGCTACATGTGAGTATTACGCATAGGGAGTTTGCAAAATCCCGGCTTTTTTACTTGGTTTGCCTTTTCCTAGAATGTTGGCCTCTTAATTTTGGAACAATGCAAATCTAAACAGGTGGTTACTTGAGGTTTACCTCAAGGTTTTATGAGGTTTTACAGGGTGTTACCAGGTACCTCAGGGTTCAACCTCCAATTAGCGCTTGTTTTAACCAAATGGAAACACCCTAGAAGTTTGGCCTCTAATTAAGGAATAATGCAAATCTAAACAGGAAGTAACTTGAGGTTTACCTCGAGGTTCTACAGGGTTTTACGAGGAACCTCAGGGTTCAACCTCAAATTAGCTCTTGTTTAACCAAATGGAAACACCCTAGAAGTTTGGCCTCTAATTAGGGAACAATGCAAATCTAAACGGGTAGTAACTTGAGGTTTACCTCAAGGTTCTACAGGGTTTTACGAGGATCCTCAGGGTTCAACCTCAAATTAGCTCGTGTTTAACCAAATGGAAACACTCTAGAAGTTTGGCCTCTAATTAGGGAATACTGCAAATCTAAACAGGTAGTAAGTTGAGGTTTACCTCAAGGTTTTATTAGGTTTTACAGGGTTTTTACGAGGTACCTCAGCGTTCAACCTCCAATTAGCTCGTAACCAAATGAAAATACCCTAGAATTTGACCTCTAATTAGGGAGTGATGCAAAACTACATAGGTGGTAACTGGATGTTTACCGCAAGGTTTCATGAGGTTTCATGAGGTATCTCAGGGTTCAACCTTTTATAACCTCTTTTTTTAACCAAATAAAAATACTCTAGAATTTTGGCTTCTAATTTGGGGATAATGTAAATCAAACAGTTGGTAATTTGAGGTTGACCTGGAGATGTTAAGAGGTTTTACGAGGTACCTCAGGGTTCAACCTCTAATTACCTCTTGTTTAACCAAAATGGAAATACTCTAGAATTTTGGCCTGTAATTAGTGGATAATGCAAATTTAAACAGGACGTAACTCAAGGTTTACCTAAAGGTTTTAAATATGTTCAACTTAACACCAGTTTAATGCATGAATTTTCATGTGGTTCACAGAAACAATGGAAAACATGGACTGTTATATATATTTTTTGGGGTGTAATTCCTTAACTTCATTGGATCAATCAAATTGTTCATAGTTTTTGTTTAACTGAAATATCTTCTTTTCAGCTCATACATCATTTTTGGTTACACTTCAATTTCAAGTTCTGCCCAGAAGTGTCTGTTATGGAGAGAACACATCACAAATCTTGTCCAGCATTTTTCATGTATTGTATTGTCTTTTTTTTTCTTTTTCAGTGTTGGATCCGTGCCTTGGTGACCCTTGTCTGAACGGTGCTTCATGCCGCGCGACCTCGTGTACCTCATTTGAATGTGTCTGCAGTGGTTGCTGGCAAGGTGACCGATGCCAAGAATGTAAGTTATTCTTGTCTAAATTCAGTTAAGTACATTTCCATGACAATGGGTACCTTGCCGTGGGTACGAGTACGAGTACTTTGCCATGTCTACGAGTATGAGTAAAAAATTGTAAGTTATTGTTGCCTCAATTCAGTGCAGTACATTTCCATGAGTACGAGTGCGAGTACTTTGCCATGAGTATGAGTATGAGATAAGATATGCTTGCCTCAATTCAGTTCAGTACATTTCCATGAGTACGAGTACGAGTGCTTTGCCATGAGTAAGAGTTTGAGTACTTAGCCATGAGTACGAGTATGAGTAACAAATGTAAGTTATTCTTGCCTCAGTTCAATTCAGTACATTTCCATGAGTACGAGAATGAAAACTTTGCCATGAGTACGAGTTTGAGTATGAGTATGAGGCAATCGTTTACTTGAGTACAAGTACGCATTTCTATGAGTATGAGGAGAATGAGTATGAGTACTTTTCATGGTTACAAACATACACATTTTAGTGGGTACACATGTTGATACAAGCCTTTTGCTGTCAAAGGGCAGGTTCATATTCGGCGCGAAAGCAAACGCACACGCTAATTTCTGAGGTAAGGGCAAGTTTTCACGCTGCGAATTTGCAAAAGTTGAACACATTTCAACTCGGCAAATTTCGCAGCGAATGCTTCGTGACGTCAAAATTCGCATTGCATTGGCATGAAGCATGAATCGGCCTAAACTAAGCATTGAACCAAAGCAACAGCCTTCAACTATAGAAAATTGGTTCTTTTCCTGCATGTTTTCATTAAAGAATTCAAGCCGGAGAACATTTCCATGAGTACGAGTGCTTGTTATTTTTTTCTTGTGTTCCACGAACGTTAGTAGGATGACAAATTCGCCATCAAGCAGACTTGATGCACAGTAAAGATGCAAAGCGTTAGTTGTGGTAACGGTTCAGCTGTTATGCCACGCGGCCGGAAAAATGTGCACATCTTTATAAAATAGCATACGATTTGCGCCAGGCAATGTAAACCATGCCATATGGGATGGTTCCACGTTGTTGTTGCTATGCATCAACCAATCAGGATAAGGATTCAAATTTGCTAGAAGGATGTGTTAAACAAACACAGTGGTTGATATACTTTTTCTCAAAAAAAAAATTTAAAGCAAAGTTTCATTTTGTCTATTGATTGTTTTTTGTTTTCAGTTATCAACCAGTGCCAATCCAAACCTTGCAACAATGAAGGCTTCTGTAGGCCAGTGGCCAACTCCTGCGACCAGTATGAATGCAGCTGTGCTTTGTGCTTTACGGGACCTACATGCGATACCCGTAAGTAATAATAATAATGTGATGCTTACACAGTGCTTTTTACCAAAGGTCTCAAAGCGCTTTACTAAGTATTACCCCTGTTCATCAGGCCATGAGACCATTTTTCTGCAGCAGCTCGAGATCAGCGCAATCTTGTCTCTATTTTCATAGGTATCCATTTATACTCCTGGGTGGGGAGAGGCAAATGTAGTAAAGTATCTTGCCTAAGAACACAAGCACCATGCTCCCCGTCAGGTTTGGAACCCATGTACCGTTTTACATTAGTCGAATGCTGTAACCATTGGACCATGATGCTTCATGCAGCCATTTCAATCCAGTCCATTTTTCATTAAATCATGTTATGGAACATCATCTCCATAGCACGAACAATGCTGACTATCTCAAGCTAAACCAGTGTTTTAAGTGCCTTTTTTTAATGCAATCCTTGAAAATGCACCTTTGTGTCCCATTTAATCTGATTTTCAATTTCTGTTTTGCCATTTTCAAGTGTATTTTGTGCCTTTTTTGGTCTTATGCTAATGCAAATTTCCATATTCATGAGCAAAACTGTTATGTCGTTCCAGGCAGAAACCTCAATGTTACGGCTATTTCAGCAGAATTTTGTATATTTTGCTGTCGTAAAATTTCTTTGGTGATTCGTTGTTGTGTCAGTATGTGACAGCCAGTGAGCAAACCTTTCTCACAAATGTTTTCAATGAGCAAATTCCTGGGTTCACAATTTAAACAGAAAACCCCTAAACTTCCTGAAATGACATCACAGCAACAGCGCCATCATTTGTCCAGAAAAGCATGGAATATACAATTAACCGAAAAGGGATGTCAAATAGTTTTCAGACATTTAAGAGGAGTATAAAGTTGCACAAAATGTGTTCCTGAGAAAAATTTCATCTCAGGGATCTTTTAAATAGCTTGAAGTGTCATAATGACAGCATGTATTTCTACAGTTTATCACATTCTCATGAATGATTTCGGTCCACATTCAATATTTTGTACTTTGATTTTTCCAGCAATTGATCCGTGCATCAGTAATCCTTGCCAGAATTTTGGCACCTGCAGCACGGCCCCAAACGCTTGTACCCAGTACATCTGCACGTGCCCCACATGCTACCGGGGAACAAACTGTGAAATTTGTAAGTATATAGCACCTAGAATGTCAGTTTGTTCCTGTTCAGATTGTTTTCAACCTCGTCTCTGTGACATCAAGCAGTATGCTCCCACTAGCTGCTCTTTCGCTTTGGCAGTGGACATTTGCATGTGGGCAATTCCATTGTTACAGACGTTAGCAGACGAACGTTGTTGAAACAACAAAGTAAATTACTTGAAGTGAAAGAAAATTTTATATATTTGGTACCACACTAGCTTAGGCCTTTAATAATGTACAACAGGACATGCTTTGCTTCGTGGAATGGATCATTCAATCTGTCAGGTTATTTAATCTGTCTCATCAAATTATTCTTACCATTGCACTCATAAACATTCATTGTTTGTATACTATTGTACCTTATGCACGTAAGGTGTTCCAGAGTCACACCACACTAAATTAGTCTGAATATTTGAATTGAGATAGATGTTTTTAAACAACTAGGAGTGGCTACACAAAATATTGTCTGTTGCAGTTTGGAAAATAGTTCAGTTCGTTTGGATAGACCCTAATCGCTCTTTTAAGTATATTTTTAATTGGCGGGACTTTATAATGCAAATGGTTGTTAACTACTTTTTAATTTGTGTATTTTGTTTCCCCCCTGTACAGTCCAAGACCCGTGTGACACTCATTCATGTCAGAATGGCGCCACTTGCCAATCGGTTGCCGGCAACTGTGGTGACTACACCTGCTCCTGCCCATCCTGCTACACCGGGCAATACTGTGAAACAAGTAAGCAGAACAATACTATGTGGACTGCGTGCGCATATACCCCCTCAACGCTCAAACTTAACTTTGCTCACGTGAAGAGTTTACCAAAAATGAGTTGACTTACCCTGCCATTAGACTGGTTCCTGATCCCTACCCTGATCCCTACCCTGTACAATACACCATCAATACTTGGGGCGGGAACCAGTCTACATTGCATGGACTGAATTATTGTTCATAACTTAAATGCGGGCCAATTTTAGTGGCAAGATGTCTCAACCAAAGTGAAACAACTTTTTTAAACCCAGAAAAACAGGCAATTTAAAAAAAAAGAATCTATTTTAGGGATGAATCTTGAAATCAGCACATGCCAGTTCTTCTTTAATAAATGTTTTACTATTTTTCTGAGTTCAGTGATTGTCGAAAATGGCCTGAGTATTTTGATTGGTCACATTTACAATTTAGATTTGTTTCTTTTATCCCAGATATCAATCCTTGTAATAGTTTCCCGTGCCAGTCGGGTGGTACCTGTACTCGTGTGCCCAATACCTGTGAGGATTATACATGTAGCTGTCGGGATTGCTATCAGGGAACCAACTGCCAAGTGTGTAAGTTAATTATCTTGTTAAACAATGGACGTAACCCGTTTGTTAGGCCAATTGGAGCAATTAATACAACACAGCGTGTCACCAAGCATAGGCAGAGAAGAAGCTGTTTATTCAGATATACAGTCAACATCAATGGACCATATTGGATTAAGAGTGAGGTAAAATCTTGATTTTTGAAACTTGTGTAGAGAAATGAAACCAAGTTACTTTCTAATTAATTCCAGTCTGCTTCAATGAATAATTTGAAATTTGTAATTAAACGTTCCCTAATGTTTAAAGCCAGATTAAAAAAAAATTGTTTTTGCCTGCATAAGTAGTCTGGCGCCATCCCATTCAACAGTTAACAATTAATGAAATTCATTCATGGAACTCGACAAAGTGGCCACCTTTGTGATTTAGGCCCATTACATGGTTCCTAGCCACTCTGGAAGTAAAGGGAAAACTCAGGTAATTGGGGAAAAACACAAAAAAATCAGGGAAAACTTGGGGAACTTGACATATGTGCGTCTTCTGCCAATTGTGTCCACGTTGTGTCCATTGACTGACTGGCTACATGTATGGTGGCTTTTCTTTGCAGTGTGAATATTATCAGTATGTTATCAGTTGCTTGCTGCAACCACCTCTTGACTTCCCAGCAATCTCGTTAAAGTAAAATATTTGTCATGGATTTTTGGAAATTTCCCAGGGATTGTCTTGGAAAACTCAAGGAATTTTGTTTCCTAAAGTGATAGGAACCCTGTATTACATACTCGCTTGCATTCAGTCATTGGTCCATTCGTGGGATGCCTCACAAATACTTATCAGTCTTGTCATTAGTCACACGGAAAATGTCTAGCTGAAAGGCCGACGTCGCAGCAAGTTTTTCTGCTGTAAATTCACAAAAATTTGAATGCATTACAAATGCGGCAAATTTTGCAGCGAATGTTTTATTACATCAAAGTTGCTTCGCATTCGCATTCACTTGAAATTTGTAAAAAGCAATATTATTTTGTGCGTATTGTTGACTGTTTTCCCATAACGGGCTGCAAAAGGGAGAATCTCCCTGATAATCTGTACAGCTAGGTGGTGCACCGTATTTTTTCTCTGTTCATACTTCAAGCAAGCCTACTTGTTAGGGTAAGACACAACCATTTCCAGGGGTGTGAAATCTCAGCTTTAAAGTTGATTTCAGCTTTTGTGTGTGTTGGATTTCAGCTTTTTTCAGCTTTTTCCCTCACTTGCTGTGTACAAAAGTATTGGAGATTTTCTAAGTTCAGCTTTTTGTACACTTTTTTTCAGCTGTTTTCAGCTATTTTTATCAGTGGTCACTCACACCCCTGCATTTCCATTGAGTACTCAAAGTCAGCTGATGCCTAGTATGCAAAATAAACAGTGGTTTTTGCTCGCATTTAGCTGATAGCGTTTTCGTTTTGGAACCATTCCTTTTTTTTGGGATCTAGTTATGGATCAGTGCAACCCCAACCCTTGCCAGAACAACGGCTTCTGCACTGGGGTAACAGGGACCTGTGATCAGTACCAATGCCAGTGCCAACCATGCTTCAGTGGGGATGATTGTTCCACAAGTAAGTTTCTTTAGTTATATTTCGTCACCGTTTTCACGAACAGCCACATACTATATATTATGTTGATTTTGAAGAAAAGTGTTTTCGAGATAATCGCAAAAGAAGTTTCTCATATTTTAAAGAGGTTGTGGAATGCTCGAAGACATTTCCGTCATTTTTCGGGTATATGTAGCCTAAGGTGTGATGAAATAAAAACCACTATTGTTTCTGTCATAAAATGAGTACAAAAGGTACTTTTGAGAGCTGTTTTTCAGGTCCAGTTTCGACCCGAACGTGCAACTGTGTAAAAGTCGTCGCTGCGGGCAGCAAACAAAACACAGTCAATCGTGACGTAATAAACAGGACTCCCGATGCACAGTAGCATACACGAGTCCTGTTTATTACGTCACGATTTACTGTGTTTTGTTTGCTGCCCGCAACGACGACTTTTACACAGTTGCACGTTCGGGTCGAAACTGGACCTGAAAAACAGCTCTCAAAAGTACCTTTTGTACTCATTTCATGACAGAAACAATAGTCGTTTTTATTTCATCACACCTTAGGCTACATATACCCGAAAAATGACGGAAATGTCTTCGAGCATTCCACAACCTCTTTAAAACTGCCAGAAATACTACTTTGCAACAACTTTGTGCAGCAAGAAAAACCATCACACGATTCTACGAGAGCTGAATTTTTACATGAACCTGGTAATAAGACTTAATACAGCAGTAATGGGTGAAAATTTAGTAAAGATATGTGGCTCTTCGTGAAAACGCAAATTCAGGTTTGCGACATATTGGCCCTTTCTGTTCAATGTGTATTTCCATGGGCCCGTGTGAGTATGCGCGCACAGCTGAAAATGTAACAAAGATATGTGGCTCTTCGTGAAAACGGAAATCTCATTTGACCTACTTTTATGTATTTCCGTGCAATGGGTTTTGTATGCGTTCAAAGAGCCAAAATGTATGTGGCTCTTCGTGAAAAGGCAAAATGCATTTATCGAGATTTGGCCCCTTGCAACATTAATGTAACTTGGAAATTAATGATGTTTGGCTTGCAGAAACATGTCAAAATGGTTCAGCACACTGTTTTAATGCAAAATATTGAAAAAAAAATTGTAGTTTTTGACATGTGTGGCTCTTCGTGAAAACGGTGACGATTTAATATATAGACTGTGTGCACAAGTACCCCCTCAATAGTTATAAAGAGATTTGGGACGGACCACCGACATCTCAATTTGTGGAACACTTGGGTGCTATTGGCCTGGCTTCCACCCTTCTTTTTCTGTAAACCCTCAAGGTCATGGCAGCAAAATGCTCTAATAGCAATATGATTGACGGCATGCAAATTCATGATTTGGCAGGCGTAGGCAATTTCGGGCCTATTTACTGGCCTGCAACCTTATGCATACAAATTATTGAATACTTTATGCAGTCATTTAGGTGGTGTATGTTATACAGTGAAAATTGAAACCTTCACCATATCAAGTCTTTTATGGCCAGAGCTCATTAGCAAGAAATGGGCTAAAATATTCCTACGGCCCCGAATCCCTCCAAATGAGTACTAAAGTGGGCCAGCAGGTACGCCATCCAGTGGCATTGTATGCATTCCAGAATTATGCATCCTCCAGTAAAGTTCAGCTGGAGTCAATGGCATGTCCACACTGACAGTACACACTTTAATATTCACTTAAGGTCCACCATAATCATATCCAATTGTGACCCTCCCTTTTTTTTCCTAGGGCTTGACCAGTGCGCACCCAACCCATGCCAAAACCAGGGGATATGCCAACCGGTCGGGTCCGTCTGCGTGGATTACTTGTGCCAATGTCCGACTTGCTATGAAGGAACACTCTGCGAAAATCGTAAGTATTGAATAAGTATAATTGAGTACCGAGTTCCAGTAGTACGTGGCTTCAAACCTTGTCTGGGAACACAGTGTTTGTGTTCTTGGGCAAGACACTTTTCTAGAACTGCCTCTCTTAATGCTGGAGTATAAACATGATAAATGGGTATCTGTGAGGGTAGGAACCAGATTGTGCTGACCTCAATGAAACCCGGTCCCATGGCCTGAAGAACAGGAGTAATAATTGTGAAGCACTTCAAGATGTTTATGTTAGAATTATAAAAGCACCACAGTATGATTATTGGTCTTATTGATATTCTTGATGATGTTGTTGTGGTGTTTTTATGCCCCGCGGCGAAGCCGAAGGGGCATACTGTTTCCGCCTTGTCCTTCCGTGCTAAAACAATAGAAATCTTGTATTTATTCTGAGATCATAGGGATTAGGGATTAATTCATATAAAACCTACAGAAGACACTAATGCTGTCAATGAACGTTCCATGTGACCAAGGTACATAAGTTGATGTTAAAAGAGTGGTGTTATGTCATGGGAACAGTCACGGTTGCGGGGCATTTGTGTTTGTAAACACACCTGACTTGTTTTGTATTAAAGTTGTTCATTTTTGGTGTTGGTTTTTGCATTTTGTTGTGTGTTGTCGCCATTTGTTGTTTGTCGTTTGTTGCTATTTGCATTTGTTGTTGTTTGTGTTTCTTATTGTTGTTGTTTGTATGTGTTTTTTAACTTGAGGTTGTTTCATACTTGTATATTTTAATGGACACGAGTTCTGACAACCTAAAGCCTTTGATTATTTTATTTTTCTGCTCAGGTATCGACCAGTGTGCCACTAACCCCTGCCAGAATGGAGGAACTTGCGTTCCAGAGCCTAACTCCTGCTCAGCATATACGTGTCAGTGCCCTGGTTGCTACGTTGGATCAGCGTGTCAAATTTGTGAGTATACAGATATTAATTATAATTACGTCATCGATGCAATTATATAAAAGATGTAGTTTCTTAATGTTGTTCATAAGAATATGTATTGATTTAAAATAGCAAATGTGTTGTTTTTTTCCAGCGAATGTTCCTATCCCAGTCTTCTGGTTATTTATCTAAATTTCTTTTTTTTTTACAAGTTCTTTTGACCTCTGGCAGCTTTGAATTCGAGCAATATGCTTTATCCTGTACGGTACTTTTCAATTATTCATGAAATTCAAGAAAACCATTAACTTTTTAAATTTGAAAATGAAATAACCAACATTTCGGAATGTGTTATACGCCGTTCTATTAATTTGTATTCATGAATACCTGAGACAGTGTATCCATTCTTATTGGTCAAAAGCCCCTCATGTGGGCGGTTTAAACCTTAATTCCTGTGTTCTACCCCACATCGCGTAGTACAGTATTCGCGACCAGCCTTCTTAGCCAGTTATAAACGTACTTGTTTGAAACCAACCCAAGCACATATTTATTCTTTTATAATGGCATATATGTCACATGAAGTAATAATAATAATAATAATAATAATAATAATAATAATAATAATAATAGTGGATATTTATAAAGCGCACGTATCCACCAGGACTGGTGCTAAAGGCGCTACATCATTATTACCCCTGCTCATTGGGCACATGAAACATTCCAAATACCATCTCAGCTCCCTGGGGAGTATACAGCTCGATGCAGCCTGTTAGGTGCAAAGAAGCTAATTCAATCACAATAACCATCTCTGCCCTCACAGGTACCCATTTACTCCTGGGTGGAGAGAAGCAATGAGTGACAAAGTGCCTTGCCCAAGGGCACACACACAATGACCCATGCCAGGACTCGAACCCACAACCTTCTTAGTAGCATTGTGAGGTTGTCACATATTTTCCTTTGGTGTTATATCATGGAAGTTGACCAAGTTTCGCACTCATTCTCTTGTTCTATAATTCAGTGCAAGATCCATGTGGGACTCAGCCATGCGTGAATGGTGGTACTTGCTCCAGGCTAGGCGGCACGTCCTGCACCCAGTTTGAGTGCGCATGTCCGTCGTGTTTCAGAGGCGACAGATGCCAAGAAAGTAAGTGTAAATGTCCGACTATCACATTGTTACTTTGATTGTTTTAACAGCTTTGTTTTTCTTTGATCTAGACACAATACTCAATGCACAAGCATGGGAACTCTTTGAATTTAAAGCTATCATTGGGTGTCATACAGAAGTTATGGAATTTTGTTCTTTTACAAGGAGTCAAGGAAGGTACATATTCCAAGAAAAAAGTCGTGGAAAAGTCACGGAATCCTGTACAACCAATATGTGATGATGTGTTATATGTGCATATGGCAGTCTTTCAGCTTACTAAAATTACTTCCTCTTTATGCATTGTGACCGTGACTACATTAATCTGCATAGTTTTTCATGAATATGCATGAATACAAGACACCTGCAACACTTAAGTTTTCATCAGATCAATGATATCATGTAGATGTCTAGGTGCAAACTTTTATGTGTCACATAAAATATGATATGACATTTGACATTGACAGGCATGAGATTTTTCAGACTTTTGTCTGAAATCAGACTTTTTGAATCTGAGAGAAAGCCATTATTATTAGAGAAAATGCATTTTTCAGACATTGCATCAATTTTCAAACTTTTTTCTCAATTGACAATCTCATCCCTAGACATGGACTATTGATATAGATAATGAATATTTATAAGCAGCTTCATGCATATGCATGATGGAAGACGCAAGGGTTTTTCATTGGAGCAATGATTTCATGTAAATGTCCAGGGCCAAATTTGTATTTGTCACTTGTTCATATCTTTTTCACATGGGAGTGGTTACACTCCTATGACTATTTATGACAAGCTTCCTCATGAATATGCATGATGGAAGTCACCTGCAACATTGAGCTTTGTTTTAAACAATAACTTGCTGCAATCTGTTTTTTGACTCAGGGGAAAAATGACAAAAACCTCTTTTTTTTCATTATCATGAATATGTATGAAGCGAAGTCACTTGCAACACTGATGTGTATTCTTCAAGCAATCCGTATTTGACATGGAAGTGTCAATGCAGATTGTATCATGATTATTCATAAGCAACTTTTCTCATCAATATGAACTCTGAATTTATAATTGTTTTGTCAATTGCAGCAATCATTGCCTGTGAACAGTCCCTGTGCCAGAACAATGCTGAGTGCGTCAACTCCAACGAGGTTGGCAACTGTGTGGACTACACGTGCTCCTGTAGGGGATGTTTCCAAGGAACCTTCTGCGAAACACGTAAGATAATTTTACAAGACACAGTTTTATTGGCTTCATTTTATGACTCCCAATAATATTCCGAAGAAATAGTGTTACCAAATTGATGTGATCACCTAAAAATAACAACTTGAAGAACCTGTCAAGCAATGTACATTGTTTTACATTTTGGCATATTTGGCGGGTAATCATTGTTTTGCTTCTAACCAGTTCACGCCGGGGTTATTTTGACAAGAACAGAATGAGGCGCGGGATTCCTTTTCACTCGACCTCCATGCCATGCGAGTTGAAGCCATCACCCTTGGGCAGCACCCTCATATTTCCAGCCTTGTTCGCTGCAGTCGGATCGCTGACAGATATATCCGGCCTTGCTCCCTGCGTGTTTATCCGTATACTGCAAAACTTTTGCGTGTATACACCGCCTCCGGCGCGAACTGGTTAAGCAAACATTTTCCGGAATGAATAAACTTTCTGTGTTTAAAGGTGAAGGACACAATTAACAAACATTAAAAAAACAAAAACGAAGCTGCCAAAATATTATGATTGAAAGTAAATAATGGGATCAAACATCCTGTGAAAATTCTTGGCACCTTGTATGCTGTCATATTCAAGAAAAGAAGAATAGCCATCATTTCTTGCGATGGTTAGAACCTGACCATCCTGAGAAAAAAAACAGCTTTTATTTTTACAAAGACTGCTCCTACATGTAGCTGACTGAATTTATTGTTTGCAATCAGTCACATACACTCAACCAAACAAGAAAGTCCCCCCTTAATACTTTTTTTGTCTTACTCAAAAACTACTGGGCACATCTTGCTCAAATTTCGACTGTTCAGTACAGAAATTCCTTAGCAATCCAGCCATGTTCTTTGTTTGGCCCAAAATAGTGATAATGTGTACAAAATTATGCAATTTATGACAAATGGTACCGGAAAAAAAGTTGTACTTTTGTTTACGTGCAAGGTGAGTGTGAACCACAATGTGCATGTTTACAAAAGTGCAACTGTTTTCCGTATCATTTCTCATAAATTGCATAAATTCGTACTTATTATCACTATTTTGGTCCAAATAAAGAGTATGGCTGGATTGCTAAGGAATGTTTGTACTGATTGGTTGTTATTTGAGCGAGAGGTGCTCAGTAGTTTTTGAGTTAGACAAAAAAGTATTGGAAGGGGGAATTTCTTTTTTGGTTGAGTGTATCTGTGAACGAGAATTATTTTCCGAGTGGCAAACTGGGATCTTACCGCAAGAGAGCGCTAGTCACAACATAATGATGAATTTTGGAAGGGAGGGCTATCAATGCATAGCTTGCTTTGCAACAGTTTTAAACAATTCTTTACTGTTTTGTTTTTTCCTAAACCTATTACAGCCATTGATCCCTGTATAAGCTCTCCATGCCAGAGTGGCGGTACATGTAGTCTGCGACCAAATTCCTGTACCGAGTACACCTGTAACTGCCCTACGTGCTACGTAGGCACTCACTGTGAAATATGTAAGTCATATATCATACAATGTACATGCATAGTCATCGTAACAGTAAACTATTTCTCTTGAATAATTCAGTTCCAATGTTGGTCTATTTGATCAGGAAAAGCACCAAAAATTTAAGGAATATTCAGAGAGTGACCCAGAAGGGAAAGGATTTTTTCCAGTTTGTCCAAGTTGTGTCCATTGACTGACTGGCTATGGTGACTTTTTTTTAAAAGTTTGACTACACAACTTCTTTAAAGTCAAAATATTTGTTTCTGTTAGTTCAAATGTATTACATAGTTCAGAAAATCGGAGAATTAGCAGGACAAAGCTTTAAACGCACCATTTTGAGGTAAGTTTAACAGACGTAAACACACAAGTTTGCTTAAGATTTGCATTTGTATCGTGAACACCCAACCACCCCCCCCCCCACCGCTTTTCAAATTTCCACAGCTGGCCACTTTTTTAAAGGATTTTTGGTCATCCCCCTACCCCCATTAGCCTACATGTATTTACATCACTGTTTCTGTTCGTAGATTGGTATATGCAGCATTCTTGTCAACAATGACTGACTTGATCTTTTTTGTCTTTTTCCCCGTATCAGTTCTCAATCCCTGTCAGGTCAACCCTTGTGCTAATGGTGGTAGCTGTAGAGCCACATCGTGCATTAGCCAAACATGTGATTGCACAGATTGCTACGAAGGCCAAAGCTGTCAAACTCGTAAGTTCCCTTGTGTGACAAAAGTAACCCATGTCAGTGTTGTACGTTAGTGTTGAAGTCGTCAGCTTAGAGCAAGTTTGAGCGACGACCATTGGTATAGACAAGTGGTTGATTTGAGGACATCTTACAACTGCGCACTAATAGTGACGTGCGAACGCCTCCTATCAAACGCTTGTCAATATGTCAGCACAAAACCCCTTGATCCTGGTGCCCTGCTGTGCATTTTGATGCCCTCAGCTGTTGGTAACCAGCAGCAGAACCGTTTAACAGTAAGATTGATAATCAACATAGTCAACAAAGTTTTAATCTTTATTATTTTTGTTTCTTTAATTTTGAAGTTCTTATTTATCTTTAATCCCAATTGTTACTTGTGTTTAATTTTCTATTTAAATTCATGTAATAACCATACAATTCAGCTTTCAGCTGCGATTTGGTCTAAAAATGTGAATGATACTGATTGACATTTCTCTGTTAAATGTTGACATTACTTAGGGAAGAACCAGTGTGAGCCCAACCCGTGTGCCAACAACGGACTGTGCGTTCCTGATGCCAATTCCTGCGAGACTTTCACTTGCCAGTGCAATGGCTGCTTTAGCGGTGATCGCTGCCAGAATAGTAAGATTATACTCATTCTTTCTGATAAAATTGTTAGTTTTCCCACGGCGGGTGTGAAACTTTTGCTTGGTTGGGTTGGTAGGTGGACACTTTACCACTCGGCCATATATTGTATTCATGTAACTCCAGTATTACAGCTTTGCATTCGAAGACCAGTTTTGCAAACAGTGATGCGCATGCGTCTAATTTGCATATTTTTGCATATTAGATCACGCCCTATTCGTTTTTGTTTTCTGGTGACATATTAAATTATCAAGATTCCTTGAGTCTCCGACGGTGAACGTGTATACCCGTCAGTGGTTCCCATTGGTTTTGTACACACCGTGTTTTGTACACACCGTGTTTTTAACTTGAACTTGGCTGGTGTACTTGGCCTGTTGTCATGGCAAAAATAGCTCTGTGGTGGAGCCTGGGAGTGTTGCAAAATATGAAGTTACGGTGAGAAACTAGTGCACAAATATTGTACCAATGACTCTCAAGAGTCAGTATTTGTAGTGCTTGACTTAATTTTAAAATTTGGCCAACATATCTTGTCTTCCTTGTAATAAAATTGTGTTTTCTGGCTAAAATTTATCCATTTTACTTTTGTATCCCTTTTACTTCTGTTTTTTTGCTTCACCAGAAAATGAAACTAACCTTTTTGGAATGGAATTCCACATTTGAAATGGAAGTCAGCTTTTTGGAAAAAAACAACAATAGTTTTTGCCCCCCCCCCCCAAAAGCAAAATTAAACCATTTTGTAAACTTTTCACTAACCCATTGGAATGGAATTCAAAATTGGACATGAAAGTTAGCACTTTGGGAACCCAATAGTTTTTTCCCAAAATAGATGTAAAATTTAATAATTTATACTGTGGATTTTGAAAATAAAATGACCAGTAAAATTAGCAGTTTTGTTTATTTAAAGTATGTTGTAAAATTGTCTTATAAAACTCCTCCTTTTTGATACAAGGAAACATGTTCTTACACAGGTTTATAGCTGGAAGGAATTTAGGATTCCCCGATATGGGAAAATACTCCATTTTTTGGCAGCGGATAATCATTGACACTTATGTTGTTTGCAGATATCAATCCGTGTCAGCCCAACCAATGTCAGTCCGGCGGAGCATGCAGTCCGCTACCTGGTGACTGCTCCCGTTATTCATGTGACTGCCCAGCATGCTACCAAGGTGCTAACTGCCAAGACCGTAAGTAGGAAAAAACAAGCTGCTTTGTAACATTTAAGTGCACATATGTAGTGATGCAGACCAGTAAATAAAAAAATAATCCCATAAATACTTATGGAATAATACCCATAACTCTCAAAAGTAGCTTGAATTACCCTCTTTTGCTTTCTGTTCAATTTTTAGGGGCTGATCAATAAATTTGTGTTTTTTGTCCACTTCGTGCTCAATTTAATGAATTAACTTTGATTTCTATTACAGAAAATACGTAACCTCCTATACCTAAAAATGCATTGGAAATGCATTTGCAGGTATAGGTGGTGAGTATTTTCTTATTAAAATAGAAAATCCCTGCAGATTTGGGAGAATCGCCAGGACTATAGCAATTGAAGAAGACAAATGTAATTTTCGGGACGAAACTCAAAAATAGCTCGGGGGAATGCATCTTTAAATAACAAAACTGCTTGCAGTAAGGGCGCTCCGTGCAAGTCGTCTATACATGTACATTTTAAAGATATTCAGCAAGAATGTTTGTTAAGTTTTTGTGAAAAACCTGATTTTATTTTTTTTTTAACAGGGATTGATTTGTGCCAGACGTCCAACTTTTGTCTGAACGGAGCACCTTGTACCCAGAGATCAGACTGTTCTGGTATTAATTGCACATGCTCGCCGTGCCACACTGGAGATTACTGTGAACAACGTAAGACTTGCTTATGATCATCTCTGACAGTAGTTTTTATTTATTTATTATTATTTTGCAAATGGGCTAACCTTGGCAAAATTATGCCCATTTGAAGTGATGCCACCCTAATGCCTGTTAAAATAGATTACTTGCCTTTGACGTTATAAGGAATCACTTTTATCCATGAACCTCTATCACAACGTCTGGGGAATCTTTAAAAATCTCCCCCTGACAAATGATGGAAAATAATGGACATGCGCTACCTCTGCAAACACGGTCCATTTTCGGTCGCAAGTACTACGTACGTTGCACAAAACCCTGGTAGCATCTTGTATGCTACAGGCTGAAATTTGGAGTTTGGTTCGGAGCTGTTAAAAGGTGTTGAAAGTGCGCTGCATACGTTATAGGCAGAACAGGTGTGCGATCGCATTAAATGACCGCTATAAGATTCCCAAGATGTCGTCGTGATATTGGTTCAGTTGATAACGCCCTCTTTTGCTGGGTGATCGCATTATACAACAACGTCTTGACCTTAGACTAATCCAGACCTTTTGATTGTGTGTGTGCTTAGGTATCAACTATTGTGCAAGTACTCCATGCATGAACGGAGGTATCTGTTTGAATGAGTGCCCTGGTTATAGCTGCCTGTGCCCTGCATGTTGGACTGGCCCCAATTGCTCCATACGTAAGTATACTTAGGGTGTTGTTCTTTTTCAAATGCGTTTATCACGAGAGACATTTATGTGTTATTACACCTCATACATGTTCATGAACCAAATGGGCTTCTTTCATTGGTCCATTTGTGCGAGTGACACACATACTGTCACCCAACTGGTCGATAGTACCGGTGAGTGAAGCAGTGCTTTATGGGAAGGCTAGCAGCAAATGGTTTAAATTTAAAAGAAAATATGATGTAGTGAAATTTCTCTTAGTTCGCGTCGGAGGACGTGATAACATGCACTGGCTGTTTTATACACAGGCATGGCTGACGGGTTAAGACATCAAATATTGCCTTGACTCGCCTCTGAGTGACGTCTAAATACGCTAATCCCTCGTGTCTTTTGTATTCACACGCAAAGTCCTTGAAGTCTGTGGAGGTGGACCGTGTATTTATCTTGAATTGGCTGCTGTGCATGGCCTATTGTTCGACAATTTACGCTCCAGTGCACACCCCGGAGTATTGAAACATACAAGGTTTCAGCAAGAAATATTGACAAATACTGTTGAAATGACTCTTGCGAAGAATCAGTATTTGTGGCGTTTGGCTGTATATCAGAAGTTGGCTGGAAATTTTGCCTTTTGTGAAAATTGATATTTTCTGCAAAAATAATCCTAGCGGGAAGTGGTTAACTATTCCAATGCAAGAATATAAAGATGAACAATTTCATTACTTAAGACAGCATTTTTCTGGGTTACTTTAAAATTCACAGACACACATTTTCCATGTGTTTTTTAGTAGTAATATAGATTCCTAACAATCCAAAAAGTGGAAATTTTAAAAACTTTAACAAGTTTTTGAAAATTTCGTCATGGATTTTGTTTTCAGCGGTTACTGCCTGCACTAGTCTGCAGTGTCAGAATGGTGGAGTGTGCCAGGAATACTGTACCTATGCAACCTGCAACTGTCCGACGTGTTATGTGGGCACCAATTGTCAAACCAGTAAGTTACCTGTTCATCATCATTTGCATTTATTCAAAAAGTAACTTACCAAATTATTATCAAAAAGCTTACTTACATGTAGATGAAAGATCGTACTAGTACGAAACACCCTGTGAAATTATTCCGTCTGGCTTGCTGTCATTTAGAAGAAATCAAGAAATGTAAGTGATTTACAACGATTATTCAATTGACTGATTTGGAAGGAAAGAGTGCTATTGATGAAAAGTATAATATCCACTGAGCTGAAACTTCATTAGGTAAGGGATTGAACACTATTTGGATTTTGAATGGTGTTATTGTTGGAAATGAACAAAATGCATGAAAAGCAAATGATCCTATGTGCCTTTATGTCTATATGCCTTTTTGGGCTCAAAACTTGTTTACCTTGAAGTGAAAATAGTTAGAAAGATCGTTAAAAAGTAGAATGCAAATGTTTAATACATAACTGTACCTTGTGAATTGGCTATTTTGTGTTATTACAGCACAAAGTAAATTGGGGTACCAAATGTTGGTCTTCAAAGACTGAAGTTGTTGGAGCACTAGTCATTCTAGTCATACATTTTTAAAATGCTTTTTATGTACGCTTTGATGGCTATGTATAGGATTCTGAAGCTAGCGTGTGATTTGATATATGGTGCTCCAATAAGTATAATTTGATGTAATTTTCTGAAGAACTTTTTGAGACAAATATTTCTAAACAGCTTTCATGGGAACTTTCACAGAAACTTAAGACTTGTAGATTTGCCCAATTTTGATCAGTAAAATGGCCCTTTTAAAGTTGTGTTGCTATAACTTGCGCACCTGCGTAAATTGCGCCATAATCTGTTGCCGACTTGCGCATTGGCGACTTTTTCTGTGTCATAACTGAAATTTTCCACAACGTGCCCAGTAAAAGTCTTGAGTAAGTGGGTTTTTATGCCAAATATTGTCTGAGGTTTTATAGAATTGGTTACAAATCTCCTACTTTATGAAACTGATTTTGATTTTTTTTTCTTTCCATAGGATTGGATGCGTGTGCAGGCAACCCATGTGTGAATGGAGGCGCATGCATACAGTCCCCAGACTGCCTAACTTTCACCTGCGATTGTCCCAACTGCATAACAGGAGACAACTGCGAAAATAGTAAGTCATCCTAAAATTGGCCACTCTCATGCAAGGGCCCCCCACCCATCCACCGAAATAAAAAGTAAACTGAAAAACGAACAATAAAGGGCAAGTTCAATGAAGGACCAATGGTTAACTAGTGGTTGGTTCGTGATGTACCTAGCACATGTGTTTTGAAGTGCGAACAACTCTAGTCAAACTGTTGGCATGTCAACGACCGTGAGAAAATGGCGGTTGCACGTCGGCTGAAGAATTTTTTAACACTTGATGTTTCTGGTTATTTACACAAATAATAGAGATTGTGTAGTTTAGGACACCTTACATAATCACCATTACTATTGTACAATGGTGACAAAAGCGACAGACTGGTAAACTAACATGGAAAAAACTATGCATTGAAAACAAAATTTAGTACTCACACACAGTTTTTGTTCTGCCATTTTTGATAGTTGGTCCCCTCTGCACTAAGCTATGAAAAATTGCTATTGATAACTGGCTATAAATCGTGGCGCCACCAGCCACGGGAAGCTGGTCCTGAATGGTCAACTAGCTGGTCCAGCCATCGTCGACAAGTGTATTACTTCAAGACCAGATAAAATATACGTGTGTCACTTTGTATAATGTGGGTTTCGTTGTGAATGTTTTGGAAAATTTCTACAGTGGAACACCGCTATAACGAACATCGCGGGATCGTTTGGTATAGCGATTTTAAGCCGATACTTATAAGCTTGTGGTTTTCACATATTAGTGGCACCCTCTTTTGACCATTGTTATAGTATAGTGGCATTTATGAACCATGCGCTGAATCGCCGAACTTGTCCATTCATCTTTTCAATTCCGGAAGCAGAACTTCACCCAGGTAGTTACTGAAAGACGACTTTGAACACCTGTGACTATTGAATCATGTAATTACACAGTTTTTGAGCTTATACATTGGTGGCTTTTCCCTTCCATTCCTTGGGGAGGTAATAGCCACTTGTCCCTCTTTAGTTGGCATTTTTCAACAACAAATTCTCGGTACGTTTTGTACACAAAAATCGTGAGCCAAGGATGATGTTCGGTATAGCCGAATGTTTGGTATAGCAGTGTTTGGTATAGTGACATTCCACTATTTACGGAATTATAATTTTTATTGTTCAAACATTTAAACCTTTAAATCCATATCCATATTTACCGAAACAGTCAATATTTGTATACTATTCAATGAATTTACTTGTGTTTTTATTTTCTTTTGTTATAGTCTATAATCCCTGCTCGTCTCGTCCGTGCCAGAACAGTGCCATTTGTGTTCCAGATTCTGCCAACTGTGCAGCATATACCTGTTTGTGTCAGGGCTGCTGGGATGGCACTCTATGTGATCTAGGTACGTGATTTGCAACTCAAAATATTGCCTGGTATTTATGTAATAGTCTGTTACTTTCAGCAACCATCTCAAGAGTTTTTTCCGTGTGTAATTTTTTCAATATTAATGTTATCCTTGAAAATGCACCCTTGTCCCAATTAACCTTATAGTCAATATTTGTTATGCAATTTTCAAGGGTATTTTGGTGTCTTTTTGGTTTTTATGCTAATGCAAATTTCCATATTCATGAGCAAAAGTGTGATGTCATTTCAGGCAGAAACCTCAATGTTAAGCTAGTTTCAGCACCAGAATTTTGGATATTTGGCTATCGTGAAGTTTCTTTTCTTTGGTGATTCGTTGTTGTGTCAGTACATGGCATTATTGCCAATGAGCAAACATTTCTCACAAATATTTGCAAAGGGCAAATTTTTGGGTTCACACTTTGAACAGAAAACCACTAAACTGAAAACAGTGTCTTCCTGAAATGACATCACAGCAACAACGCCCTCAGCTGTCCGGAAGAGCATGGAATTTTGTTTAATGTTTAAAGAAGTGCTCTTTTCAATTAAATTAACCAAAAAGGGATGTCATATAGCATTTATACATTTAAGAGGAGTGGAAAGTTGCACAAAATGTGTTCCTCGGAAAAACTCATCTCACGGACCCTTTAACCAGTTCGCGTCAGATGATGTGTAAACACGCAAAGGTTTTGCAGTGTTTGGAACGGATGACAGATAAACACGCAGCGAGCGAGGCCCGAAATATCTGTCAGCGACCCGCTCGCAGCCGAGTTTGCCGTCTGGCATCAAGGTTCGTGAAAAACAATCCTGCGCCTGTGTTCGGTCCCTGTCAAAATAATCCCGGCGTGAACTGGTTAAGGCTGCTTTTGAAATACTTTGGCTATGGCCGACAAATATGCAGCCACCTATGGAATCGGCTGAATCCATTTCCCTTAGTGTGTTACTTAAGTTCTCGCTATAGCAATGTAATTTGGATGTGGCTTTTGGTCTGTCACCTGCTCTTTGATCTTGTATTAATCTGCAGAAATCAACGCTTGTGATCCCAACCCCTGCATGAACTCTGGGCAGTGTCTACGCAGTCAGAGTGCATGTGCAGACTATGTGTGCCAGTGCAACGGCTGCTATGATGGGGACCAGTGTCAGAACGGTAAGTATTGTAGATGCAGTACAGCAAATACTCCTTTTTCGTCTCGCCTGGACTTTGTTCAGGAAAGAGACTATGCAATCACTATGTCTGTACATATGTATGTATGTAGTATGTACAGGGTGAGTAAAAAAGAAACAAAACCAAAATGTCTGGAGTATTATTTTAATGAAGTTCTGCATGTAGCACTTTCATAATCTAGGATATGAAAGCCCAATTCATAAGCTTCCTTTTAGTACAAGAATCATTCAAATCACTCATGTACTTTTCAGATTATGGAATTTTAAACACAACCACCTTTTTAAAGTTCTGTCCACGGATCACAAAAAAGGATGCATTCTTTCAGCAAAACGAAAACAATTCACACACATCCCTATGTGAAACTTCTGAAATTGTCAATTTTTTTTTTTTTTTGGGGGGGGGGATACCGACTGATGCTGATTGTCTTAATATCGTCACATTTTACAAAAGTTTGCGACTGAAATGTTCCCAATGGTTGCAGCTCAGTGCAGCTTGATCCTGAAAAGTTAGTCGTCGACTGTTCTGGGTCGTCGCAAGGTCAACCTAAGGGTGGTTTTAAGTCTTTCACTGACTTGATACGTGTGAAAGGAAAATGTCAAGTCTCCATGCATACCTCAAAAACTTTTCATCAAGTTACCACTACAGTTTTTTCCTCTGAATCAATTGAATAGAATTGTGTCTTATTTTTATTTTTTAATTCTCTGATCCTACAGAAATCAATCCATGCCAAAGTAATCCCTGCCAGAACGGTGGTGTTTGCAACAGGAGAGCAGATAGCTGCTACTTGCACACCTGCGCCTGCCCCGACTGCCACCAAGGAGCTAACTGTGAAATCGGTAAAAAGTGTTTAGATTAATTTATTGTTTCACCGGTGTAGCTCCTCTGTTCTCCTTGGAGGTCCTGCAGTTCATAAGAAGTTAAACAGTTAATGCCCATGTGGTTTTAAACAGTCTTTTGCGTTTTTGTTTGGATGCAGCGTCAATCCTGCAAAATCCTCCAACTACCTTCATGTAAAAATTGCATATAGCCTCAGTCATGCAAAATCCTCTGTTATTTCTTGGATATGGTCCATGGAGGGGTGACCTCTGAATCCTGAATCCTGCACAATCCTCCAGCAATCACTGTCAATCTCTGCTGAGGCAGAGCCAGTGACATCTTGGAGCAGTGCGGAGGATTTCAAGTATTCTAAGCCTAAATGTATGCATGGCTGAGCATAAACAACACAAATGTCCAGCCTAAGACCTTGACACAGTGCATCCTCCAAAATCAGCCACACATTTTTGCCATATAGCCTCAATCCTGCAAAATCCTCCATTTTGCGAAGTAGATTTTGGAGGATTTGGGAAGGTTAGGGTGAAACTATATCAGTTTATAAAACTGGTCAAATCATCCCGCTCTTCACGTCATGCACACACAGTATGTGCTGAGCTTGCTGGCTACAACTGAGTACTTGAGAACCACTGATATGATCTCTAAATAAGCAGCTGAGCACACTGCTCATGGAGTAAAATAGTAGGACAAAATATTCTGTCCACTTTTCAAATATTTACAAGTGGGGATAGTGTTATGGAGCAGTTATAAACGAGAAAATTATAAAGCCAGTTACCAACCTAGTCGCTGATAATATCCCTTGGATAATATCCCCAAGCACACATTTATTTCCTTATTTTGAACTGCATTGACATTACAGATGTCCTCTGTACCAAACAATGTTTTGTGGACCCCATTACTTATTGGCATTGCGTCAGTTTGTATCAAAGAGGATACAAATTGAAACCTGTTGCCCAGTCTTTGCCTTGTTAGGTTAGCACTTATAATTCTTCTTTTCTGCTCTTGATTTTTTGTTTCAGTTGTTGATCCTTGTGAGAACAATCCATGCGAGAACGGTGGCGCGTGTCAGCGTGTGCCCAATTCATGCACAGGGTATAGATGTCAGTGCACAGAATGCTTCCAAGGTCCACTATGCCAACAAGGTAAGTGAAATGGAAATAAAATGAATGGAAAAGTGTACGTTTTTACTCCATTCTACTGAAAAAAAGTTATGTCACAGAGTGTAGTTTAGTTTGTATTACAGTTAAGTCAAACAAGTGTACCTAAAGTAAAACAAGTGTAACATTGTGAGGTACAAATCAGGATTCCAAGACAAAAACAAAAGAAGGTTTATTAGTGATGTTGGGAACGATCGGTGGATCTGCACTATTACCCAATAGCGCTGCACTACAGTGGAACGTCACTATACCGAACACCACTATGCCGAATATTCGGCTATACCGAACATCGTCCTTGGCCCCAAATTTTTGTGTAGAATGCGTAACAAACATTTTTGTTGACAAATGTCAACAGAAGAGTGGCAAGAGGCTATTATTTTCACAAGGAATAGCCGGAGAAAGCCAAACTTCCTAGCATAGGAACCGTACCCATTCTGGCAAATTCCAACACCCACATGGGAAATCATACACACACACTGTTGGACTTAGTTTCTGGAGGTATGCCAACCCCAGTGTAAAAGACCATCAGTTCAGGGGTACTGTACCTATCCTAACAGATTGCAACAAAACCTGCTGTTGCGCTTTGATGGGTTGAGTTCGATTACCTAGGTTAATTCGATCGCGCTGCTTTATCGGTCAATCTTGGTGCCAATGTTTGATTGCACTGCCATGGGTCGCTTGCCTTTTCTTTCTGATTCATTGCTATGCAAAATTGTTTTTATAAAGGAACTTTGGCCTACTAGAGTGCTAACTCCTCATTCTTGCATGCAGAGACGCTTTGAAGCCGTCCTGGGTGCAGACATTTTGAATTCATGTGCGTTGTTTGTAGAACATAATGAAATTAGATGGATTGAATTTTGAAAGTGTACTCTACATGCATCGCGCAAGTAGAACATACGCAACCAACTTAAGCGCGTCATCGACGGTTCATAAAAATGTGATGGCAAAAAGCATCTGCTTCGATAACGCACCGGTATGGAATACAAAAGCAGATATGCAAATAACCGTACAAAAGCTGTACAAAATTTCTAGGTCTCCATAGGTTTGTGCACAAACATGGATGCGCCCAGCAGGCATCACTTTGTTCACGAAGTTAGCGCTCTAGTAATTTAATATAGCTCTATGCTATGGCCACATCTGAATTATCTGGCTCCAGCTGGAAATAACACACGTGTCAATGTGACTTCCATAGATGCGTGTGTGATTGCAAGCAGTAACCAAGCACTTCAGATAGGGTCTTACTGTACCAAAAACCCACAAAAATCATGCATAATCTCTCCTGCTCACAGGATGAAAAACAAAAAGCGGAACCCAAGTCCAAAAAATATATTTCATATTTAAAATAATAGGTAGTACCTAACAATAATAATAACTGGAAAGCCAATTTCATAAACTACTTTTGGATGAAAAAATTACTTAAATTGCTCAATCCGTTCAAAGAATATCACCATTTAAACACAATGACCCCAAAACCTCTTTCATCCAAAAATGAGATTTCAAGAATTGTCTACTCAATTGTCTTCAAATGTCACCAGGGATAAAACCTCAGTTTAAAAGTTACAAATATTCAACAAAGTCCTTTTGAAGGCCCGTCTTTAAAAAAAAAATGGATTTTATAAAAATCATATTGTTCTCCTAATCAGGGTTGTTAATAAAGATATTGTCTCCTACAGTTGTTGACAGTTGTCAAAACCAAGTATTCTATGTCATTTTCTTTGTTGTTCCAAACAGTCAGAACGCGCAATAAATTGCTTTTTGGGATGAAACAGGTTTTAGGGTCATTGCGTTTAAATGGTGACATTCTTTGAACGGATTGAGTAATTTCAGTAATTTTTTCACCTATAGGTAGTTTATGAAATTTGTTTTTCAGTCATTATAATTTTTGGTGCTACATATTTTTTAAATATGAAATATATTTGTGGGGGTTTGGGTTCCGCCTTTTTTTTTACTCACCATTTATAAGGGCTCTAAACATGCATTTATCACTTGAGCCTGAAGTTGACATTTTTTTATGTGTATAAACATTTTATGCTTCCCCGCAGCTGTTGATCCTTGTTCAAGCTTCCCTTGTCTCAACGGTGGTCAATGTGCACCATCCAGCATGTCCGGTGCCTCATGTCTGGCCTACGAGTGCACATGCAGTAGTTGTTTCACTGGGAGTACCTGTTTAACATGTAAGTATAGATTTGTAGGCTTGGTCTACTCCAACATTTTGGGAACCGACTCCAATTCCATCCGAGAGTTACGATTTTTCATAATGGACTCAAAATTTCACAAGAAGAACAAAAACAAAAAGAACAGGTTTTATCATGTATATAACGTCTAATTTTGTACTGAAGTCCCAGTGAAGGCAAACATGAATGCAGATTTGTGGCTTCACATTTCGGGAATCGATTCCAATTCCATCCAAAACTCAGTAGTCTGTTCCGAATCAACTCAAAACTTCAAAAAGAAAACCAGAAAAAATAAAAGGGGTGTTATCATATCCTCCTGTCAGTGCAACAAGGTCGTAACTCGATTCTGCAACAAAGTTGAATCTACGGCGAATACGTTCCGTGCAACAAGATCATATCTCGCACATCGCGACATCCATTGACTTTGTGTGTACATCCGGGTATTTTAAGTGAGATACGACCTTTTGACATTGAAAACTTGCATTTCACGTACATGAGGCCACACGCCATTTTAGGAGATACAACCTTGCTGCACGGATCGTATTTGGATCCAAATTTTGTAATATACAAATCCAAATTTTGTACACAGTTCTCCTCTGGGGAATTTCACTGAGGTTAAAGGAAGTTGGGGTTTAACGTAATGCCCCCGCATTTCAAAGAGAAACTGAGTAATTTTTCAAATGATTCAAATGTGTCTCTACATTCAGTGCTTGAAATGAGACGTATGGCATATGTAGTTTTTTTGTTACATCTCATGCATATTCATGAGTATAATCTGCCTTGTTGGTTGTTGTTTCAACATCTCTTTATGTTCAGATGTGCACACCTGTGACCAGAATCCATGCCAGAATGGAGGATTTTGTCGTCGGGTGGACAACTCTTGCACAAATTATGCCTGCACCTGTAACGGCTGTTTTCAGGGCGTTAACTGCGACATCCGTGAGTATACAATGTTTATATTACAGTTTAATATTTTTCTTTTGCCCTGCACCAACGTCTCAAAATTTACTTCTGCATTCGCTTTTGCATGAAGTACAATCCATGGACTTTTCACAAATATGCACTTAGGAGCGCAACACTTCGCAACTTTCAATGCGTTGTATGATCCATTTCACAAATCTTACAATGTGTTAAACTCATTGTAAGTTCCTTGACAACAGTTTAAAACACGCCGCAAGTTACGACGTGTCTAAAAATAAGAAGCATCCTTTTCTCAGCCAGTTTTAAGCCAAAAAAAATGACATAAATGAAACTATAATACCGAGATAATGTGTGTCAAATTGTAAATGGCAAATGCCTCAACGTAAATATGAATTAACCTGGAATATTGCAGTTGAAATTTCAAAGTAGTTTTACACTCCACCAGAAGGTTGTTTTCCTTTAAAACTGCATCATATGTCTGCCATTTTGTTTGGCATTTTAACAATTTTTGAGAGGAGATCCGACGACTCTTTGCTGAATATCAGACGACTTTATATGTACATTGAATTAATACATATAACAGTCACCGTGTTCCGGTATAAATACACCTACGACGCGTCGCACAAATGACATGTTTTGTGAAATGAATCGCAGTACGCACTGCAGCTGCGACGCATTGTAAGTTACGCTGAATTTCTTGAAATCAGGTGCAGCATGGCTAGTCGCTGGAAGTCTTTTCATGCATGTGGCCTACACAATGGGCCCATTCATAAAGTCACAAGCATTTTTAAAAAGTAATATTGTCTAACGTTGCTAATTTTGTTTACGGACATTAATCGTTTTTATTTTGCCCTACAGCGCTTGACCCTTGCAGTAGTAACCCATGCCAGTTTAGTGGCGTTTGCATACAGGAATCATGCACGCAGCATTCTTGCTCCTGTCCCTCGTGTCGCACGGGTATCAACTGCGAAATTGGTGAGTATAAAAATAAACGTACGTTCTGAAAGCATCCTCAAGATTTTGCATGGCAGATGTAGAGTCTGAGTTGGCCTGTGCGTCCTGTAGCTATATGAAACAGACTTTTGCAATGTTTTTGGTTATCGGAGCAAGAAGTTTGAAAATAACACAAAGTGAAGAAATTACGTTGCAAGGTTTTTAAAACTTGTAGATCATTGCTTTCCACTCTTTGTTTTGATTCACAGCTGTGAATCTGTGTCAGACACAGAACTATTGTCTGAACGGGGCCACCTGTTTACAACAGAATGCTTGTACGAGTATCCTGTGTATATGCGATGCCTGCCACTCCGGCCAAGCCTGTGAAGAACGTAAGTATGATGGGGTTGGTGTCGGAAATATAGAGTCCTTTCGCAAGTACCCCCCTCAACGATCATAAAGGGAGAGTAAGGAGACCACTAGGATGGATTTTTGAACGCTTTGCGCCTGACACTTATGCGTAGGTGACATGGGTTTGCGCATCTTCTGAGGGCTTGTTCGATTAGCTCATCCAGCTGGGCTAATGTGCATCGGGTTGGGTTGACCAGGCCAAACCGACCGATACATTAACGAAACAAACTGAATCCAAACCAAAATTGATCTATACTCTCCAAACCTGACCCGACAATTCAAGTAAAACCTACCCAAACCAAATGAAACCGAACTGAACCAATAAAACTACGAATATCTGGCTACAAAACAAACTACTAAACAGAAATTTTCAAAAATGCGACTTAATCTGTGTAAAATCTTTTGTTGTTTCCTTCAAAATGACAGCATGCCAGAAGGAACAGTTTCTCAGGGAGTTTAGTCTTTAAACCAGATATGCTTTTCTACAATAATTTTGTCAGGTACTCTTTGGATAGCTGCAAATGATATACTCTACCTTTAACAGTTAAGGACAGTTGTTGATTACAAAGTGGCATAGGAAGACATTTGAGTGTACATTTTTAAAAGGGGTCTCGTCCAAGCAAACGCTGTATTACCACTGCTTGTGGGACAAAAGTACTCAATTTGTCATAATATTTAATTCTTATTTTTGTTACACAAAACAATACACTCTCAAGATACTCATTGGGTTTCTCAGAGTACGTCTGCAAATTCTTCTATGAGATTGAATTTTCACTCTTAAACTTACAAATATTGGCTTGATTTTATTACAATATATGCAGTCATTGATTCCTGTCAGCAAAACAACCCGTGTCAGAATGGTGGGACTTGCCAGAGTAATTGTCCCGACGTCAGTTGCATCTGCCCACCCTGCTGGACTGGAGAACATTGTACTATTCGTAAGTTAAAATCTCTACCCTTTATTTTCATCACGACAATATCCCTTTTTTTAGGATGGTACTTCCATGTAAACTCAAAAGTTTGTTGACAGTTTCATTCTGTGCCACCATGTGCCGTCTAGGCCAGCTTGTTCCGTTTGTCACCACTGGGGGCAACAAAGAATGGACGCATTGAGAATGATTTCTTGTTTGATGGTTTGGGCTCTAGTGCTTGGTGTAAGGGACAAGACCAAAAACATTGTCCCCGTACCCACACATGGAAATGCGTTCCTTCTCATTTGGCACGAGAGGCAATAAAACTAACAATAGGACCGTTCTCATGTGGTATAACAAGGCAACAAAATTGACCCACCAGCCAGACAGGAACACTCCATTGTACTGTGCTTTTGTTATGTTAAGTGATGCGCCCCGTTGTTCACCGGAGTTCCAGTGTACATCACAAAACTTGCTCACGCACCATGACCGCTATTGTATTGATGCAAAACAGGAAGGCGTGCAGAATGGGGCCTGTGCGCACACGGGAGAACGGGAAGATTATGAACCACAGGGGCGTTCCCTCCCGTTGGGACGTGTCAGAATGGGCAAAATTGGTTTTGTTCTTGTCCCTAGCTGCTGTTGGTCGTTGGAAAACCCAAGTCGCATTTGTGAAGACACATCTTTTGATTTTTCAAAACTAATCCTTTTGTTTCATTTTTGCAGTTGCTAGACAAGTAACTTTACTGTATTAAGTGCGCGTTGTAAAAAACCTGGGGCTTTGTCACTGTGTTTATGCAGTTATAAAAGTTGGTGTGATAATTTTGAGTGAAATTTACCGACTCAACATAAACCAGAACCAGAAAGCATTAGTCCCTGTTCCACTCCAAACAGCCTTGCCCGTTACTCCTTAAATCCCCCCAAAATGCCTCATTCATCTCTTGATTATTAACTATTTGCTTGTGTTAACAGCTGTGGACCTGTGTCTCAGTAACCCGTGCAATAACGGAGGCCGTTGCGTCAATTACTGTTCCTACTATGTCTGTGAATGCACCTCGTGTTGGAGTGGCGACACCTGCCTGTCAGGTAATCATACAATATGGCTACATTTCTCTCATAATTTCTCATTAAAGGTAGCATCCATCATCTGTAATTTGTGCATTATGTTCGTTTGAAGCAACAAAAGTGCTCAAAATCTAAAGAAGGGTGCTGAACAACTAACCTGATGAAGTTTCAGCTCAGCTTCAGCTGTATATTTCGAGAAAACAATGTTCTAGGATCTTGATTTCAAATCAAAAGTTGCTGATCGTGTCATGTTTTGAATTGGTCCTGAATTCAGCATCCGAGACACGTTCTCACTGAGCCAATTGCAGCTACGCAAAGCTGCGCACTGAAATGACGAATTATAGCAACCGCGCATGTGTGTGCATCGTGTCATCGCTTGCGCGTGCTTTGCCGAATACAAAAAAATCATTTAATAGAGATTGTTATTTACAAAAGAATTTTGTTTAACTTTGAATTGTTTCAGAGGTAGATCCGTGTCTGAACCAGCCGTGTCTGAACGGAGGCAATTGTCAGAAGACCGACAACTGCACCAGCTACTCCTGTACCTGCCTTGACTGCTTCACTGGTTCCCATTGCCAGACATGTAAGTGGTATTACCTCTGTACAGCAGAGGGCGCTTTAATGCAAAGTGTTTGACACTTGCATTTCACTGATTAAACACTACAATCTAGCCTGAGGAACTTTTTATTTGAGAAACGAATTGGTGCGAAATTGACATGTACTAAAATTTGCACTTTGTGATTGAAATCATTCCAAAATTTCGAGTTTAATTTGATATTTGAAAAAGTAGGAGCAACTACGTGGGAGAGAGTCTTCAAAACGACTCGAGAGTCTAGTTAAAGGAAAATAGTACGTAACGTAAGCTGGTGCACATGATGTTACTATTTGTCAATGTCCATACATGAGTCTCCACATTTTTTTAATAAGATTTGAAACTTCGCATGTCGGTAGTGTCAACTAGTGAGGGTTTGCAGTAACGCCCATGTGGAAGAATCTCTTTTGAGAAGTTGTGTGGTTCTAGTCCCTGTTTCTTGGCCCGTAACAGAAGTGAAATGGTCCATATGTAAAATTGATTTGAAATAATTAAACTAGATGTTTGTGGACAAACACATGGCTGTTTCAGTAATTTGTTGTAGTTTTATGTCATTTTATAGACTGATAGGACAGAGATGTGCAGTAGACAGTTGCATAGTGATCAGTGCCAAATGTTTGGTAGCTTTAGGCTTATAAAAATGCACATTTAAAATGACGTCACATTTCATGTGATAATGTCATTGTGACGTCACTTCAATTTTCATCTATAACACATCCCAGTCTAGGTACATACCGACTTTCCACCACATCGGCCTTTTCGTTCCGTAGACACAAGCTTTCACAATGTGCAATTTTAATATGACGTCACATGTCATGTGAAAAAGTCGTCGTTACATCACTTCAACTTTTATCTATAACACATCCCAATCTAGGTACACACCAACTTTCAACCTAATTGGAGCTGTCGTTCTGTAGATATAGGCCTTCAAAATATGCACCTTTTTGTGACGTCACGTGACTCATGATGACGACGTCAGTGTTCGGCACACATCTGCAGGTGCTGGTCTAAGTGTATGCCAAGTATAAAGGCAATTGGATTGATTTTAGTGACCAAAGTGCCGGGGAATGATGAAAACGAGAAAAAAACCTTGTAACGTAAACAACTACTGTTCTGGCAAGTTGCCTAAACAGCCAATAATCCTTTAATCAGATGTTTGTGATTTCAGATCTTTCCTACGTGTTTTGATATTTCCAGATAACAATCCCTGTGTTCCTAGCCCATGTCAGAACAATGGCATTTGCAGTCTAAACCAAGGCCTGTGCTCTCCACCTACCTGTGTGTGCTCTGGCTGCAACACAGGAGATTTGTGTGAAATGCGTAAGTATAACCTTAATGGTTTTTTGCATTGTCTCAAACACAAAAACCTAACGCTTTTTTTTTGTGTGGACTTTTAGGCCAGCTCATTTCACCACTCAGTCAGACCAAATTGGCAGAAATGTTCTTCCAAATTTTTTAAATCAATAGTGCTGAGTCATCCATGGCTGCATTGGTGCAGCCACACTGAAGTTTGCTTGATGCTAAATGTTAATGTCAGCGCGAAGCGAAATTGTTATGGTAACAGCTAACGTCTCAATAAAACTTCTGGCGTCATGAAATTTGCTTCGCTTTCACTTTCCCATGAAGTATGAACTGGCTTTGTCAGTTGTTTCCTCTGCTATGGTCCAGGTTAAATTCCTGTCTTGGTCCACACGTAGATTGGTTTTTTCAGTCCCTGCCTGATTCTGTGGGTTTTCCCCCAGAATGTTCTTCTGAGGGTGCTCCTCCCACGTCAAATACTGTAATTTCGTCATTGTCTTCTCTCTACAGGTTGCGTCAGGCTTGTGAGCTAAAGTACCCTCAGCACTTTTGAGGAATCCTTTGTTTCATTACCAGAAATAAATAATAATCGGAAAAATAATACTTGTATAAACATACTTATCCATCGTTTTCAGATTAGTTTTTTGGTACACAGGATCCATAATAAATTAAACAGAGACAATTTTTATCAGTTACTTTTTTCCTTTTTTTGGGAGAAGAAACAACTGTTCGCTTATGTTTACTGTGTAATTTGCTATGAGAAAATGACGTTATGTTTGATTGGTTATTTCCGCAGGTCTTAACCCCTGTTCACCCGATCCGTGCAGCAATGGAGGCAGGTGCATTGAAACCTCCTGCAATGATTTCATCTGTGTCTGTGAAGGTTGCAACACAGGCCGGTTGTGCGAAGCAGGTGAGAAAACGTGAACTACGCTGCAGAAAAAGAAAACAAACTTGGCCTTTTTTTGTTTCACTGTGCTCCAATGATAGAAGCACATTTGCTTATAAATATGTATAAGGTGTGATAAAACACTGCAAATATACATTCTGTGCCAAGTTGTCCTTTCAGTCGAAACAAATCAAGTGATTTTTTCAACAGTTATGAGCTCCCAGCCAACATAAGCAGGATTGATTGGCTGTGACTGTTACGTAACTTATACAGCTATGCTATGACTGTAGGTGATTGATAAGCCAGCTGTGCCTACCACTTGCCTGCTTTTGTCTGTTGATTGAATTTGACTAGTCACAGTACTTGCTTGGAATATGATCTGACTGTTGGTGACTAGCCTGTGTAAAAGGCAAGGCAGGGGTAGAGGATGGATTTTTTTTTTGCTGTCTGTGACTGTTCAGATAGCAGGAGGGTTTAGTTAATTCTTACAAAGTGATACTGAATTTGGTTGTTCAGGGTGGCAAAATGCGTAAAGCGCTCGCCTCTCATCGCTGTGGCTTGGGTTCGATTCCTGGCTCCGGTCATATGCGAGTTGTTTATTGATTCTCTCCTGTACAACGAGGGTTTTTCTCTGGGTTCTCCGGCTTTCCTCCCCCAAAAATCAACATTTGCGATCTGGCTGTGCTCAGTGATAAGACATGGGTCATATGGCAGCAGCCTAAGGCGCCTTTACATGCCTTCGGCTCAACCACGGTGTAGATGAGACCTTCGCAAAAAGCCTCTGTACTGATGACGTCACACTTTGTTTACGTGTGTGCTTTCCTTTGGTGCTCAGTGGACCGTGGGCCCCCACTTGCTCCGTAGGAAAGTGCACATAAGTATAAGGACAATCAGCTCCTAAATATATTTATTTATCTGTTTGTTAATGCTATTGCCTGTTTTTATTAATTTCAGATAATGACCCTTGTAGAGTCAACCCCTGTGAAAATGGGGGCATGTGTGTCCGAGACCCGTCCAATTGTGCAGCTTTCACATGCAGCTGCCCGACCTGCTTCACAGGAAGATTCTGCGATCAAAGTAAGAACAAAAAATCTTTGTTTTATCCCAACATATTGTGAGAAGTTGTCAGTCATACAATCAGGCCACTGATGTTCAGCTCCATGATCAGAAACCTAACTGAAGTTAAATAACAGAATTTACCTTTTTGGCTTTTTACTGTTTTAGCTTTTGGTGTTTGCACCAATAGAAAACCAACATTTGTAATTTTATGTAATTACTGTGAAGGTTTTCAATTAAAAGTTATGTCCTGACAGGCCTCACAGTGAAACCTGGGCGGAGTGACCTGATACCCCTGGGGCATCAACAAACCAAATTATTTGAAAAAAAAAAAAAATTGGGGGCCAATAACGTTCACCTCCGTTCTAATCCTCATTCAACCCTCGCCAAATCAGCTGGTTCAATGAACTTTGCAGCCAGGGCTTCACCCAGGCCGTGTCAACAAACTTTCGACCAGGCCTCCTGCCAAGTCTCATTGAAACATCAACAAAGACCTGTAACTTGACACAGCCATCTCCCTTCATAACTGCATACCACAGCCGCCAGTCAATTATCTTTCCAGCGCACTGTCTGGCAACTGTCTGGACACTGTCTGGCACTTGGTTTTTTGTTGTATTGCTATGAATAGGGTCTTGCATAGTGCGGGAAAGTACCTGCTGCCCAGAGGGCGGCCGTTGACGAGTTGTTGTAAAGTTTTTTTGTAAAGGCTGCGCAGGGTTAAACCCATAAAACCTTAAAAACTTTCATTTCAGGAGCCTTTCAAAATGTTTTTTTTTAAAGTAGACCTATATGACCTATAAAAACCTATATTTTTTTATTCTGCCATACATTTTTACAATTTTTATAGAAAATTTTAAAAATTCCATATGACCACAGTTTAGTTATCATAATGCCTAAATAACCACATTGTCAATATAGCTCCCTAAGATTTTGTTTATGCGTTTGAGGAGTTTGCATAAAATTGGTTTTAGATAACTTAATCTAGTGTGAGTACTTGTGGCAAGCAATTTGCTGTTTTTCTGCGACCTTATGCTGAAAAATTGTACGGTTTTACAACCTAAAAACCTATAAATACCTATATTTGGGACGTGAAAAACCTTTAAAAACCTGTATTTTGATTTTCAAAACCTATTAAAAACATTTATTGATAAAGAGGGGCATTGTGTGGACTATGTTCATAACATTCTCAGTTGTACATTTCTAATACAACTGAGAAGGAATTCTATCAAGAAATTGCCTGTGTTGTTTAATTTTATGGCCATTCACCACAGGTTATACTCAGCGCTTTCTCTTAAAAAACTTTTTAAAAAAAATCTCAAATGTGCTCGGATGGGACTTGAACCCAAGACCTTCTGCTTACTAATGAAGACGTCCTAACCACTTGACCACCAATCTTTCCGGGGCAGCTGGCTGGTTCGATTTGTTTTTTAAAGAATTTTGTTTTGTTTCACAAAGAGGGTGCCTGCTCATTTCTCCAAATTTCTGTCCCAAGTTGCACCAGTTTGGTTATTACGATTGTTTCCATATGCATACAGGTGTTAATCCATGCTCCCCGAATCCTTGCCTGAACAACGGCAACTGTTACCAGTTTCTGAACGACTGCACCAATCACTTTTGTGAGTGCAACGGTTGTTTTGGCGGAAGCGACTGCAGCATACGTAAGTTGAGTTGGATTTTGTCAAATGTTGAGCAGCTAAGCTAATAATTAGCATTATATAACCGACATACAGATCCTTGTCATTAGATTGGTGGAACTCACATAACGTGACATTCGTTATTCATTATTGCTCCCATTCACGCCGGGGCTCAAAAAGTCCCATCCGCCCATGGGGAATGGGAAATACTATTCAACAGTTAGGATCGTTCTTGTTCCATGACGCAGTATTTGTGTGCAAGTGCATGCTGGCGTGCACATTCAGCATTGGGCATAGCGTGTATTGTTCCCAAGAGCCAGCGCTACAGAGTTCGGCTCAAACATTTTCATGAAGGGGTAGTTTAAGAGAGAAATACATTTTCCACAAATTTCGTGTTGAAATAAAAGTTCAAATATATGAAATGACAAGGATCTATATGTCAGTTGTATAAAACAAATATCGAGTGGCTTTAAATTGTGAAATGGAAGGAATATTGTCACTCGGTAAAATCTGGACTTTTCCAGTTCACTCGGCTTCAGCTCATGAAATGGAAAAGTCCAGACTTTACCTTATGATAATATTCCTCCCATTGACTCTGAGCTACTCAATATTTGTACATTAATAAGGAAAACTTTTTGAATCTCACACATCAGCAGTAACTGAACAGCGACAACAATTAGCGAATTGAGCAGAGACAACACATGCTGAGTGACTACACGTGCAGTTTCCCTTGGCTAAGTGCCAAGTTTAGATTTCAAAGCACCTGCACAGACTTTCGGATGGCAGATAATTAGCAAGATTCAAATAAATAATTCATGACTTTTCACTTCATGAATAATTCAATAGACAACCCAGCAAATCCAAATTTACGCACGTCCTTGGACTTCGTCAATAAGCCAGTTTGGTATTTTAACTGCGTATGCGCAAAGTGGTTTGGGTCACAGTTCATTCGGGATAATCGAATGCTCATCAAAGGCGCATGAACGTGCAAGGAGATGTTCACATAAGGGCAATTCCACGGTTACTCACGTTACATTTTTGATGTACTTTTGAGTTTCCTTGGGCTGTGATTACCTTACTGAAAAGGTCTAATAACTGTTATCCACATGGTAGATAGAGTAGACCTAGACCTATCTAAGCACCAAAGATGACATCCAGAAAAATGTGTTATCACTGTTATGTATGATAAACAAGATGCACACAATTGGTATCTCACTTTACGAAAATGTAACGTGAGTAACTGATTTTGTGCATCTCGTTTATCATACATAACACTTTTTTTTCTGGATTTCATCTTTGATGCTTAGGTAGGTCTAGGTCTACTATATACAATGGAGATAACAGTTATTAAACCTTTTCAGTATGGTAATTACAGCCCAAGAAAACTCAAAAGTACATCAAAAATGCAACGTGAGTAACCGTGGAATTGCCCAAAACACTTTCACATTTGTACGACCAGAACATGCAGGATGGGAGTTCGCTTGAAATCACGGTCACAAGACAATCGAGTCGAGTCAGCGTTTCTATCCCGAGTCAGCATTTCTATCTTCGAATGACGTTTGACTGGGACTACTTCATGGAGCTACCCAACTGGCTTATTGGCCTGTAAAGTCTCCGCTCAAGAAGAGTTAGTGCTATGAGTTAATGATCATAATGGTACGCATAATGTTACATTCATCTTAAATGTATCTTGTCTCTTCAGCCTTGAATCCCTGTGTTTCTAACCCCTGCAAGAACTCTGGCTTCTGTCAACCCACGTTAGCCGACTGTAATGTCTACGAGTGCTTCTGTAACGGTTGTTGGGAAGGTCCTACGTGCGAAGATTGTAAGTACCTGAGACTAGATCTAAAACTACGCTAGATTCTTTGTATTTAACTATGTTACGGCTGTTTCAAACCAATGTTCCAGGATTACACAGAGCCAAATTTCTTATTCCGTAGATTTGAGTTTATTAAAATTTACATATTTGCATTCATTTGCTTCACTGGTCTATCTAACTGGGTCCCCAAATCAGAGTGTTGGAGAGAGAAACTTGGCTTCCTTCCTCAGTGTTCTCATCAGGCGCGGATCGGGGGGGGGGGGGGGGGGGGTCAAAACACCCCCCAGCTCTGACTAAAAGCTTTTGTTCCATAGAAATACTTTCAAAATAATGTGAACCCCCTGGTCTGACACCCACAAAAAAATTATACTGGTAATAATACCCGCCAGTGCACAAATTCAGAGTGAATTTTACGTCAAGTTGCAGGCAAATATGGAATGAAGAAAAATCTGAACCATTTTTCATGTGTTATCTTCTTTGTCTATTTGAACCTTTTACTCCTGCGTATCTCCTGCGTATCAAAAGCAGGTATCTCAAAGATGGCCACAATGCAAAGAATCTGTCAGGAAATCATATCATTTCCGGAGATTTATTTTTACAAAAATGCATTGATTTTTTGTGATTGACAGTTATCGATCCTTGTGCCAGTAGCCCTTGCAAGAGGGGCGGAGTCTGCACCCCCCTGTCTTGCACTGAGTTCAATTGCGCGTGTAACAATTGCTCACGGGGACCCACGTGTGAAGAAGGTAGGATTTTGGTTTCTTCCATTCCAATATGGACTCCGTGCCAGTGTAACAAGCTAGCAGCCGATTTCGCAAAAAAGTGCGCAGCTTGCGCAATGCGTAGGAATTTAGCACAAAATTAATGCGCAGCTGTGCAACAAACTTAAGATCGATTTCACGAAACTTGACGTGGCTGTGCAACGTTTCAGATATAAATTCAAACTTCTTGGACGAGGATAAAAACAGCATTTATGACGGCTGTATGTGTGTGAATTTGTTCGTTCGCGAAACAGTCATTGGATCACCTCAGGCTGCCATTTTGAAAATTATTTTGTCTAACTTTCTTCGGAATTGTTTGGCAACTCTAAAAATTATGTTAGGAGTAAAATAGAATTTCATTTATTTCAAACATAAAGTTGTGTCTTGTATCAACCTTGATAAGTTGTGCAATAACAGGATTCTTGACAGTCCCAATTTGTGAGTAAAATAGGTCATTTTCAGTCGCTACGCCACACTGAACTTACGCCACCTAAAATGATTGCGCAAGTTACACCATAATTTATTACACAAGTCGCGGACTTACGCACTATCCGACTTCCGTGAAATATGTCATAAGTGAAATGTTGCGCAGCGTGAAATGTTGTGCAACTTACGCAATAAATTTTGGCGCAAGCAGAGTTGCGCCATTGCGTATTACGTGTGAAATGGGCTGCAGGACAACTTAAAAAGATACAGGGGAAACTTTGTTCAAAGTTTCAAATAATCTAAATTTCCTAAGTTTGTAGCATTGCTAAAGCTGCTGGCAGCGTGATCCCTGGCTATGTATGGCATATAAACACCGCAAAAAAGAAAGTCCACACTCAATGGAGGGGTCATAATTTTTAATCTGATCGTCTTATGATAACAGCATTGATATAGACCTTTGGTGAATGTTATTAGCTACATTTTGATACCCCGTTTGATACCAAAAACTGTAAATCGTCCAACGATTTCTGAAAAATTATGCAGTTTGAAAAGTTGCAAATTTAAAGAGTCAGCGAGTGGAAATTGCTGCGTGACAATGTTACACTGCCCAAAACGAACAGCAGGGAATAGCGATCGCACCGATCGAATTAAAATTTAATTATCCGCGCTTTGTTTGGGCACTGTGCAATCGATAGGACCAATTAGGGGCATGTGTGTTTAGTCATGCTCAGCCATTTCTCCTCGTGACTCTTTTAATTGCAACTTTCCAAACTGTATCATATGTTGTAATATTTTCCTCCAACTTGGTCGCGTTCTTTTTGACTCACCCAATATAATCCCACGTAATCTTCCTTCTTTCTGCAGAGGTTCACCAGTGTAGGGGTGCTCTCAATCCCTGCGTCAACGGAGGAACTTGTTTGGAGTTACCCGACTGTTTCTCGACCATCTGCATCTGTGATGAATGTTTTGGGGGAACCTATTGTGATGTCCGTGAGTATTTGCAGGGAGCTATATTATCAACCCTCCCATGCAAACATACATTCTGTGTAACTAAGTCATTTCAGTCAACATAAAACAAGTGACTGTTTTTAACAGTTAAGAATTCCCAGCCTACATAAAGCAGGATTGACTGGCTGGGACTGTTTAAGTAACTTGATGCAGCTATGCTTTGACTCCGGGTAAGTGATAAAACAGCTGTGACCACAACTTGCCTGCTTTGTCTGTTGACCCAGTTTGACTAGTCAAAGTGCTTGCTTGACATATAATCTGACTGCTGGTGACTAGCCTTGGTTAATAGGATAGCAGGGGTATGTATGTGACTGTATGTGACTGTTTAAATAGCAGGAGGGTTAAGTTACCAGAGAGCTAACTGCTATATGCAGTGCAGCCTGCTGGACCTCCATGGCTGTGCACAAACATATGGAAAGATCCACAGTTTATATGGTTTCGTAGAGCTATAATCTGCATGTTTGACACCCATGCATTTTGGAGCCAAATTTGTTGACACTTATCCCGTTCGTTAGTGTGACATCATCTCGATTCAAGCGTGCGTTCTTCACGCGGTGCAGGATAGCACGAATGGAACCGGAAGTTAACGCAACTTGAGCGTTTATCCAATGGGCGCTAGTAATCAGGCCTGTTATGGATCAAAACCTATAGCAAAACATTATTGTGAAGAATTTATGTTAGACTGTTGCATTTGAAAAAAAAATGGATCAAAGAATTTTCAATTGTTTTCTTTGAACCACAGCCTTCGATAGTTGCCAGAACCACCAGTGCATGAACGGAGGTGTTTGCAACAACCGCTGTCCGGGCTATACCTGCACGTGTCCAGTATGCTGGACTGGAGAGTTCTGTGAAATTCGTAAGTACAGCTGCAGCTGCTTTCATGAAACTTTACATAATGCTGTAACTCCACCACTGCCACATTTTATTGCAAAAGTAGTGAGAAACTTTTTGCGAAGGTTACACAGTCCACCACTTGCGCAACAAATAATGATGCAACTAGTATACGCAGTCATCTTAGCTACGACGTACAAATTTAGAATGGACAATTTTACAGATTACTTGTCATGGGCTAATCCCCCATCATCGACCAACTTATCACTGTTGATACAAGAAATTCACAGCTTTGTTTCACTTTCAAGAATAAAACAGAAGGACAGAAAAAAATAAGCAAGTTATTATGTAAATAAGCATGTAATTGCTTTGGCCTCGTGGTTAAGGACATTGGATTCGTGGTCTGCGGGTAAAGCTGCAGGTTGTGGGTTCGAGTCCAGCCTGGGGTCATGGTGCATGTGCCCTTGGACAAGGCACTTTGTCACTCATTGCTTCTCTCCACCAAGGAGTAAATGGGTACCTGTGAGGGTAGAGATGGTTAGTGTGGTTGATTTAGCTGATTTGTGCCGAAATGGCAGCATCGAGCTGTATACTCCCCAGGAAGCTGAGATGGTGTTATGAATGTTTCATGGGCCCAATGAGCAGGGGTAATAATGATGTAGCGCCTTGAGCACCAGTCCTGGTGGATATGTGCGATTTATAAATGCCCACTATTATTATTATTAATATTATTATTTCCAAAATATTATGTAGAGTTACTGCCCAATTCCAAAAAAAAAGAACACGTAATTTTTTTTCAAAATGGCAAGTGGAGCTAATTCAATGGTTTATGACCGATATCATATACACAGAGAGCTGTCGTAAAAACCGTTGTTGCTCTCCATCAAAACTCTCCAATTTAAAACTTCCAGTAACACGTTCCCTCATTAAATAGTGGGTGTGAATTTCTTGATTTCTATAAACAAACTATAATTAAAGGGAATGTACATCATTGGTTTTTGATGTAATTTTCAGAAATGAACTATTTGAGGGGTTAGTATATATAGATCAAATATTGTTACACTGACATTTTTAAAGTTTTGTGTTCGAAAAGGTTGGGAAAACCAAGAAAAACAAAATGTTTAAGTAGTCTGGTTCCCTGACTCCACAAAAGATAAAATGGATCAATTTATAGATGATGGAAAATTGTAAGGCACGGGAACCAGTCTAGCTGGCCTGCACCCGTTCATGAAACATGTAACAAATAGCAAACAAAATTTGGACTAAAAAATGGTTAATTTGGAGCAGTAGTTGAAAAATAGTTAGGTTTTTCCAACGCTGGTCGGCCGACCACCGTTGGAAATGTATACAAAAATACCATTTTCTTGAAAATGACTTCACACCAGGTGACATAATTTTACAAGATGCTTGAGACTGTCATTTACCAACATCCTAGTAAGGTATTTCGTTAAAACGTGGTAGTTTTATTTTTCGATGTTTGCAAATGTTGTATATTCCCTTTAATATGATGTGTTGTAAATAAAATTGCAAGAGCAGGAAATTGACCGATTGACCAGACAATTGTTCCAGTTGGTCAAAATATCTGTTCCCAATAATAACATACTTATTTTTTTACTTATCCTTTTTATTCTGTCCTTTGAGATTGAGCACAACAAATGCCTTACTATTGCTCAAAATGTTAGGAATATTCTGTGAAACTGTGACAATTTGTTTCAAAGACATATAGGATCATTTGCATTTATCCCAAAAGTAAACTACTGAATTGTTATCAAAAAGCTCACTTGGATTAAAGATAGTAGTGATACTAAACATGCTGTGAAATCATTGCATGTAGCTTGCTGTAATGTAGAAGAAATGAAACGATCAGTCAATTGACAGATTTTTGGAATAGAGGGTGCTATAGACGAAAGCGTGTTTTGTTGTCAAAAAGGTTGTGAATGTTTTTTTCTCTTACAGTTTTCTCGAAAAGTGTAATATCCAGTGAGCTGAAATTCAACAAGTTAGGTTTTGAGCATTCTTGTTTGGGTTTTGAGTGGGATTATTGTTGGAGACGAACAAAATGCATGAAAAGCAAATGATCCTGTATGCATTCTTTGTGAAGGGGGCAGACCAAGTACAAGCTTCGGCTTCTTGTCTGACATGCCCATAATATTTTTTCAAGTTCTGTTAAAGTGTTTCATTATTTACAGTATTCAACTTACCTTATAGTATGGAAATAAACCTGAGACTTGAAACCTGAAACGTGTGAGGATGTGTGAGGACTTGTGAGGTTTTGTGAGGTTTTGTGAGGTCTTGTGAGGTTTTGTGAGATTTTGTGAGGTCTTGTGAGGACTTGTGAGGTCTTGTGAGGACTTGTGCGTTCTTGTGAGGACTTGTGGGGACTTGTGAGGACTTGTGATGTTTTGTGATGTTTTGTGAGGTGTTGTGATGTCTTGTTAGATCTTGTGAGGTCTTGTTAGGTCTTGTGAGGTATTGTGAGGACTTGTCAGGATTTGTGAGGACTTGTGAGGACATTTTGAGGACTTGTGAGGACATTTTGAGGACTTGTGAGGACTTGACAAATCGGGCTCATTGTTAAGGCCACGCGTCTTGATACTTTACCCATGCAGCTATTGATCTGTGCGTTAGTGGTCCTTGTCTGAACGGCGGCACCTGCAACAACCTGTGCACCGGCTATAACTGTCGATGTCCGCCATGCTTCCTGGGCTTCAACTGTCAAACATGTGAGTAGCAAATATCTCAATCTAGGGTGTATTTTGAGCAAATTAAGGCCATTGTAACACCACACCATTCTCTGGGTCAAAATGCAGAAAAATCCAGTTCATTAAAGCAGTTTAGCACTTAAATCTCAAAATTAAATATTGTTTAAAAGGTAATTTTTGAATTATAGCAACATGGTTTTTGCTAACGTGGCGCACTTCAACATTTCCAGCGACTTTCCTCATGCAGTGTTGCCAAACTTCTTCATCATGAAATTCAGTCTGAAATTCAAAAACGGTGGCGCCCGGAACTTTGGTACAAAATCAGCTGAGTGTTCTCTAGCGTGTGGGGCCCTTGAATAAATCTCGAAAAATCCCAATTTAGCATTGAAAATTTTCTTTAAAGTTGATAAATTCCGATAAACCATTATTATCTCTACTTACATACCCAACTAGAAGTTTGTCAGATAATTACTTTCTTATTTTCGGTCGCATTTCCGTATGGTTCACTGTACACTTGAAATAAAATTGGAAAATCACGCCAAAATACAATTCTGTGCTAACTTTGTAATTGGTAGATAAACTCACGATTTATAAACGGGAATGTTTACAGCTTGATCAAATTTCACTAACTGTGAAATTTCAGGTAAAACTTTTGTTCTAGCAAGGCACTAGAGGTGAAAAATCAAAGTGCGCCATGTTAGGGGCCGTGCCACGTCAACAATACTGACATCCATAGCTGTGGATACATGAACTTCTGCTTATGTCCCCTAAAGGGCGTCATTACTCTGCCAACGCAAGCATGACACCTATTTCGGACTGGCGTTTGAGAGTTGGGCGAATTTCAAACAGGAAAACTGTTTGTACTGATTTTTTTTGCGTTGACTGGACTCTGAAGTCATTTCAAATGACTGTATTAAACAGCTGATTCATCTTGTGCAGTTCCTTCATTCTAATTATTTCAAATCTTAACTCTAACCATCGGAATAAGTAAGTTTAGCGTCACTCTTGAACATCAGTTTGAAAAATCTTCAAGACCTAAATATCTGTTGAAGTGAAGTTGGTTGAATCCAAAACTCACACACTTGAAAAAAAAAATTCAAGACCAATTTTCTGAAATTGTGAGAAAATGTCTAGTTGTTGGAATTTTTGTTCCAAAAGGAAGAGGAAGAGGAAGAGTTTAATCAATCGAAAAATGATTTTTAAATTGCGGGCCAAAACTTCACAGAACCTGTGGCGTCCATGTCATTATATTTTGGAATTCTGAGGGTTTTTCCTAAATTTTTAATTAAATGCATTCCTCCTCCTCCCCCCATGATGTTAAATCCTACTTTGTTTTATAGACGAAGGAGGTTGTACCAACAACCCATGCCAGAACGGAGGCAGTTGTATGGAGGATCCGTTTGCCTGCAATCAGTATATCTGCACATGCCCTCGCTGCTACACTGGGCCAACTTGTAAACAGGGTAGGTGACTGCATAGAAAATGCGTGTTAAAGTTGCTGAGTTTTTTGTTTCTCCTAACAAATTTTCAATTTGTATGTTTTACACCGACGAAAAAGCTACATTTTCCCGTTTTGGACGGTTATTAAACATACGCTTTTATTTTGGGTTGCGTTTGCACCCATAACGCGCAAAAGATATGTCTGAATTACTGTCGGGCTGCAAATAATTTGAAAGTTTCACAAACATGTGGTTCTTGTCAGAGGGGCTGGTGCTTGGCTAGGACTTTCAGGGTCAATTGTTCAAGCTACTTTAAAGGGGCACACACATTGTATTTGGCAATGTTTGAATGAGAAACTTGTGAAAAATACCAAAAAAAGATCGGAGTAATTAAAAAATTAAGCAAACCGGACTTTGTTTTGGAGCACAGTCACTCAGCTTAAGCAGTTGTTCCCTTGCAAAGTGGACAAGCCATGTTATATCTTATTGGATAGTTGAAACAGTCGGAAAGATTTTTTTTTTTTTTACCTTTGCCCTCCCCCTGTAGTTCTTGACGGATGTGCTTCAAGCCCATGTGCCAATGGCGGAATGTGCTACAGGAGTCTTACGAACTGTGAAGGTTTTTTGTGTGTGTGTGAAGGATGCTGGACTGGGCCAACATGTCAAAATTGTAAGTTAAAAAAAAATAAGTGCGAGTGCACAATAAGCTCTGGCCGTTTTGCAAGAAATCTTGCATGAAAGTTTTGTATGAAATACATCAAAACTATCCCTGCCGGGGCTTGAAAATGCGATGCTGAAAATACGACGCCGCTGGCACATATGGAACACAATATTTCTGGTCAATTTTTGGGACCGACAGACCAACCGACCACCAAGTGACATGTAGAAGCTCCTGCAAGAGCTTAAATCAGTGGCAAACAAGGAAAATAAAAGTCCATGTGTTACCATGAGTATACTCCTGAGCCCATGGATGAGCAAGAGTATGACCTGTGGGTATGGGAGAGTATACGCTCGGTCAGAGCAGGAGTATATACCTTCATCATGCTGCCACCATTTCAGTCATGTTCCCTGTTTCCAATTACAGTACTGAATGATAATATTTTTTGTGCAAAAAGGAACCAGACTATTTTCCTTCCTGCCTCGCTTTGGTTACGTTGATTTGAATGGGGAAAAAATCAAGATGACTGCAACATGATAATGGTCTATACTCCTGCACCTTGTGAAATCACATGGTTTCAAGATGGCGAAAGGGTAAACACTGCTAAATTTCCCCAAATTTATGTCTTTTCTTATAAATTCTTGTTTAATATGATAAGTAACGAACATCTAAAACAGTATTCAGGTAAATATTTCCACATTAAAACTTCGTTTTTGTTTTTTTCGAAGAATTACCTTTTGCTATTATGGCAGGCATTTTGTGCATACTTTATACTTAACATTATGCGTTGGGTGTGTGACCTGAGTGCAATTCGCACACAATATATTTTGCTACTCTTGAGTACTCAAGAGTGTCAACAGAGACCCACATGAATGCAGACGAAACTCTGTTTCTGTGTGTATGTGGCATTAGCAGCGACAACCTTGTGGGGAAATTTTTTTAAGGGAAATTGGGACCAAGATGTGGGGACTTTCCACAACAATTCCCGTTCATGGGCTCCGTGCGTGAACAAGAAAGGGTGTTTTTTTCTTTTTCCAGAGCCGAGTGGATTGTACACACCATGGGATATAACGTGAAGTATGCATGACTAATTTCATTCTGAATGTGCAGAAAGCCATAGTGTCATGCGTGAGTATCTGGGGTCGTTGGCAATGCGTCCGAATGTCTCTCCCAGTGTTCTCCTATATCTCTTACGGTGGAGGGGGACGTGTGCACCGCGCCCGTACATGTTGATGATGTCTGATATTAATTCTTGGGGATGATTTGCTGTTTGTGTTCTTCGTAGATTCTAGTCCTTGCTTGAGTCTTCCATGTCAGAACAATGGAGCCTGCACTACGGACAGCGCATGTAGCGGCTACACCTGCACGTGCGATTCTTGTTACACCGGAGATCTGTGTCAAATCCGTAAGTCGTTTTCCAGTATTTTCTTAGTGACATTAAGGCCAGTGATTTGAAGAGAGAGTCCGGCCACATTTGAATGAGTTGACTACGGCTCACAACAACACACGAGAAGTGAATTCTGCCTCTTGCATAGCCGCATGTGTATATAGCAAGCTTTAGCCAGATAGTCCAGAAATAGTTTAGGCGACGACCATAAGTCCAGTAGTGGTTGATTTGTGATGTTAATTACACCTGCGCATTAATTAACTGCAACATGCACAACTTTTTGGAACCTCATCACGAAACTTATCAGTCCTGGTTCCCCGTTGTGCCTCACGATACTTAATGATGCACACGGCTATTTGTAACCTGCAAAGGAACCTTGTCCTGGGGTCTGGTTCCAGATAATCGACTAGAGTAGTCCAACTATCCTTCGTTCGAACAAAGATGGTCGAAATGCTGTAGAGGAGACTTCGGGCCCGAACTCGCTGCCACATGTTCTCATGTATTGTGTTATAAATGCTGGACACACAATGGCTCCCTTGTGCGCCATGTTGTGTCCAAGTTTTGTGTTGAGTTTATGGCTTGCAAGGTGCAATGGTAAGTTGTGGCAGATCTGCGGTGGTTTATGAAATCTTGGCCCTGGCTTTGGCGTACACTTCAGCTAACTCAATTATGTTAGGCCCCTGGCTTTACAGACTCTATAAAAAATAATATTGGGCTCACTTTCTGCTGAAGGTACACCGAATCATGTCACACAAGGCCAGTGGTTGGTTGTGCAGGGTGATCCCAGAAAAGTTGTGCAAGCAGATATCGTTAAATTTCTCAAAAAGTACCTAACATGAGTATTTCTCTGGAGCATGTTAATTATACTCTTGTGTATAATCAATGAAAATGTCCTGGAAACCCATTCATGCAAACCAGAGCTGTAACAGATTATAAAAGGATAGATGTTTTTTCAACCATTTCAATGGGAATTACACATTGCATTGGTAACCGCTCAACCGGCACTCTGCAATGGGTCTTTTCATTAACTGTGTAAATCGCATTGGAACGGGTGAAACACACATTGCCATTTATGATCCGTTGTATCTCTGCTTTTGCCTGAATGGATTTCTATCAAATTTTTACTGTGATTATACACAAGTGTACAAACATTATACTCCATCAACATGAAATGCTGATGTTGGATACTTTTTGAGAAATTTTAGGATGTCTGCTTGTACAACGTTTTTGGGGTCACCCTGTATTTTTGTTGGGTTTGAATGTGGCAGAATTCACATGAATGTTGGGCCGAAGACAAAATCGAACCTGCATGGCAAAGCCAGGGTTTCGTAAATCCCTTCATTTTCACTTCCTACGAAATATTGACAGAGCCTCTTTATTTCTTTACATTTAACTGTCGGCAGATAATTGAAATAATCAATTTTGTTATGTGATTTTCAGGCAATGATCCGTGTCAGAATAACCCTTGTATGAATGGCGGAACATGCTTCCAGAACCATAACTCATGCAACTCCTACCTTTGTCAATGTCCTGACTGCTATACTGGAGACCACTGTGAAAATCGTGAGTATAGAGAATCTAGTAATACCATGGCCGGCTGTTGTGGCTGCTTGGCCCAAAAATGCCATTAACCAGTTTGCGCCGGAACCCGTGTATACACGCAGAGGTTTTGCGGTATTCAGAACGGATGACAGATAAACACGCAGGGAGCGATCGAGGCCTGAAATATGTGTCAGCGACTTGCTTGCAGCAATCCAGGCCGGAAACATGAGTGTGCTGCCCAAGGGTGATGGCTTTAACCCGCCTGGCTTAAGGTCGAGTGAAAAGTGATCCTGCGCCTTGTTCCGTTCTTGTCAAATTGATCCCGGCGTGAACTGGTTAACCCTTGTCACTACCTCATACATATTCATAAGCAAGCGTTGCATTCCAACTGGTCAGTGTACATCATCTGTTAGTCAATATTAAAACTTTTAATAGAGTATCAAGCCAAACATAGGCCGGCTGTTCTGGTGCTTGTTGGTCCAAAGATATTGTTTTTATCACTACCTCATACTTATTCATGAGCAAGAGCCACAGTCTAACTGGTCAATTTAACGTCACCTGATGGTCGATATCGAGACCACTGTGAAACTTTTAAGTAGAGAATCATACCACTTACAGGCTAGCTTTTCTGGCAGGTTGTTGGTCCAAACATATTGTTATTCCTAATGTCTACCTTATACATATTCATGAGCAAGTGTCGAATTCTAACTGGTCAATTTAATATCACCTGATGGTCGATATCAAGACCACCGTGAAACTTGTGAATGGAGAATCAAGCAACACATAGACCGGCTGTTCTAGCTGCTTGTTGGTCCCAAAGTATTGTCATCCCTAATTACTACCTCATACATATTCATGAGCAAGAGCCAAATCTAACTGGTCCATTTAGACATCACCTGCCTACCAGTGTTTTGTTATACACACATACAAGGGTCAAACAGGGTACATGTACATTGCATTCCCGCTCCCCCTTCCTAGGTTCTTGAAAATTCTGTGCTATTTTTGCTGACTCGTACTCTCTGCACTGGACCGTTTTTTTTTATTTCGAAAACTGATCCTGACACTTTTAATCAGCAAATTTTAGCCAATAATAGTAACAAATTGACTTGGAATAAATAGCAGAGAGGAGTGTTTTCTACATTGTTCGCATTGGACTTAAAAATGGTAAGAATAACCGTCGTCTTGGTGAGTTCTACCCACAAAAAAAATCCCTTGTGGACATGGCTTTAAAATGAAATGCGATGGTTAACAATGCTGTTATATGGTCTCTCCACAGTGCGTGATCCGTGCGCTAACAAGCAGTGTAGTAATGGAGGTCAGTGCATCACTCTATCCTGCCAGCACTCTGTATGTGACTGCGTCGGTTGCTGGAGTGGACTATTCTGCACCCAGTGTAAGTAATTGCAGGCCTCACAGTCACATTTTTTAACCTACAAAATCTATATTTCATCAACCTCATTCCCAGTGCTTACTTTATTTCCAACCTCGTTTCCAATAGTAAGCCCTGGATAGGAAACTTTCTTCCTGTATCCTGATTCGATACCGCAATTGGCTAGTAATGGATTTATATTGCGTACTTGGTGTTGTTATGTCCAACGTGCAGTACATGTTTTCATGATCATTATAGTAATAACGTCCACGCCTTCTCAAAAATACACCTTTTCTTTTCCAATTTACTCATATAAAAATGAAATGTGATACTGCATATTGGTGGTTCAAAAATAAATTTGAAATAATTTAAAATTTGTGATTAACCATGCCCTAATGTTTTAAGCCATATTTAAAACAAAAAAAATTGAAAGTGAGGCTAGAATGAATAAATAGTCTGGCACCATCCCATTCAACAGTTCACAATTTATAAAATGCATTCAGGGAACACGACCAAAATGGCTTCCTCGTGAATAAGGTCCATATATTTTTTCAAAGTAACTTAAAAATTGAACTCAAAGAAATTATAAATGCCTGTATTTTGGCAATTGGAAAACCTTTTTTTTTGAAACCTTTTGGAAAACCTACATTTTGTTAGGCCTGTGATTCCTACTTTAAAGATCTTATTTTACTTCTAAACTTTACTTTTCCTAAAATGCACCTACACTCACATTTTGTAAAGCAACAAAAAGAGTTGAAATGAAAAAAAAGCAGTTCTTTAAAAATGTACCCAGCTTGTCCAAAAATTGACTGACAATAATGCCCTTTTGAGACGTGTTTCTAAATACCTTGAGTATCTTAAAATCTAAAAATGTATAATAAGGATTTTCCCCACTAAAACTCCAAAAACAAACCCCCAAAAAACCTAAACAGGATAAAAAGCAACCAACATTTGGGTTGCTCTTAAATCTCTCCATATTTTGTTCTCTCTTTCTTTATAGCGGTGAATCCCTGCATTTCTGATCCGTGTCAAAATGCTGGTCTATGTCAGCCGGTAACCGGCACCTGTGACAGCTACACGTGTCAATGCAGTGGCTGCTGGACCGGTGATCTCTGCACCGTCCGTAAGTTATCACACTACGACTTCTGATATTAATGTTAGGGCCCATCTCAATTCATCCAGGAGGAGGTCCAGACTAGTTTCGGACATTGTATCGGGTACAAGTTGCAGCCATGCAGGTTCTGAACAACTTCCCCACAATCTTCCTGCTGATCATGTCCGGAATAAAAGCAGAGCTTTCTTCCGGACAAAGTGAATGATTTTACCTGTAACTTGTCTGGCACTAGTCCTGGATATGAATCGAGACCTTATGTCTGTTTTAGCTTCCGTGGGAGGGACACATTGCATGCGGTGATGGTTTGCGTGCGTATGGTGCGGAGGATGTACGGCTGATGTGCACAAACCCATGGCATCTTGCGTGAGCTTTAGGTGTCGTCAGAAAAACGTTTGAATGTCTCTCCCAGTGGTCTCCCCCAACTCTCCTTTTGTAACCGTTGAAGGGGTACTTTTACACAGAGTCCATAGAGGCCAAAAGCAACTGTCACTGAAATGCCTGTAGTGGCTTCAAAGAGTTAGCATTTTTAAAGTTCACAGATTTATAAATAGTGGTGTGGATTTACAGGTAGTACAGGGACCAGGTGCCCTATTGAGGGAAAACATGGATACCCGGTTTTGAGAATCCCAACCCCAAAATTCAAATCCTGGAAGTTGTCTGAAGGGCCTCACAGTTTTACAGTGTAAACTGCAACTTTCATGAGTGTCGTCTGTTGCCCGTTAAAAATGCACATAAACATGAAATCTGTTTTTTGTCTTTCATGTAGCCTGGTTTTCATTTAAAAAAATTCCCCACAATTGGCAATCAAAACCGTTCTTTTTCATTGTCTGAGAAGTTACTAAGTAATTTGTAAAGTTGGTTACGGGTATCTGATCCCATAATCTGGTAAAGATTCCTGACATCAGCGGTCGCGTACTCCAGTGCCTGGTTCCCATGCACAGCCCTATACACAAATAGGATATATCTACAAATGTTTCTGAAACGATAAGGTGCGTGCTTTTGTTATGCATGAGTAGACCCCAAAGTAGACCCCAAACATTTATTTGTACTGAATTGAAGTAACGCTTCAAATATGGTGTCTGTATGCAAAACATCTATTTGAATCAGTGAAAGTGTTCAATATGTAAAGTGTATTTACTTTTGTTGTTGTTGTTGTTGTTCCTGTCAATGTTTAGCAATTGATCCATGTCTGAGCAACCCTTGCGGTAACAGCGGCACATGCCACACCATTCCCAGCATGGATAACTGCTCCACGTTCATCTGTGTTTGTGATTCCTGTTTGACCGGCACTCGCTGCGACCAGGGTGAGTAGAATGCGTTTTAGACCGGCACAAAGGGTGAAGGTCAATCAAAAATCAAAGATGGCTAGCCTGGTGTCAACCTTGTACACAGAGCACCATGGTCCGTGTTCGACTCATGTGGTGGGCTCGAACCCTGAAGGGGAACATGGTGCTTGTGTTCTTGGGCTAGACACTTTATTACAATTGCCTCTCTCCACCCAGGAGTATAAATGTGTACCTGTGAAGGTAGAGACCACATTGCGCTGATCTCGAGCTGCAGAAATGATATGGTCTCATGGCCTGACAAACAGTGGTAATAATTGTGAAAAGCTTTGAGTCCTTTGGAATAAAGTACTATAAAAGCACCATGTTATTTATCATGTTTAAACACTGAGGGATGTTTAAAAACTGAGGAGTGTTTAAATGGTGGTCTAAAACCACTGACGTGATGGGCTCTTGACCAATAGGAAAAGGTAAATTTCCCAGTTATTTATGAATGCTGATTTCATCTGTCTGTTTCTAGTTGTCAATCCCTGTGCTAGCAACCCTTGTCAGAACGGCGGTATATGTGAGTCTGGCAACGTGCCGGGCAACTTTTGCCCCGTACATACGTGCACCTGCACCTCGTGCTGGACTGGGCCTCGCTGCGAAACACGTAAGTTCCTTTGTGTCAAATAAACCTCTCACGATATGGGCAGCAACGCATGCACCTCTTCAGTGCAACCGTGCACATCACATACACACACTGCATATCGAACATTGGTCTATTAACTCTACTGAAAAACCTTCCAGTAACACAAATTCCAAATCCATTCAAATGCATTCATACATTCTGTAATGTAATACGAATTGCTAAATGAAAAAAGATATTGGTTTAAGATTTGCCAAACTTTTGTCTGAAATCAGACCTTTTGAATCTTAGAGAAAGACATTATCAGTATAAAAAGAAATGCATCTTTCAGATCTTTATTTAAAATATTTCAGATTTTTATTTTTCAATTTTACAATTTCATCCTTTGTATTTGCATTTGCAGTGAAAGGCTACGTAATGTTTTGGTTGTCGATTTGTAATCTTGAATAACATACTTTTGCGCCCTACAGCTATCAACCCATGTGATAATCAACCGTGTCATAACGGGGGTGAGTGCAAACAGATTGTCAGCAGCGTACCCGGACAATGCAACTCATTCAGCTGTACCTGTGCAACGTGCTTCACCGGACCAAACTGCCTGTCGTGTAAGTATAGTACTTTCTACCGCATGGTTGGCAAAACGCATGTTTTGACAACCACGGATTGCCAACCATGGGTTGCCAAGCCATGGAAGGTGCAGCACTGCAAAAATAAAGACTAGTTATCAAAAATCAGTATTGTTTTTGTTGCTATGTATTTGTTTAGATATGAAACATAGTTTTTGGGGTTTGGTTTCCACGTTTTTTTAACTCGTACTGTATGTAGCATCTACATGAACAGCGCATGTGCATTAGTCTGGTGCCGCTTGTTGTACTTTCATAATACCTGTGTCTAGGCAATAAGCCAAGTCTCCATGCCAATGGCAACAGCGGATTTTTTCTTTCCATCATCTAACCTCTGCAGCTTATCCTACAAACGTTATAGAAAGAAATTTTCAAATAAATCACAAAAAGAAAACTGACTACGTGCATTGTGTAATTAATGAAAAATTCAACAAAAACTGAAGACAGGTTTGAACCTGCAACCTCCGGATTGCTGTTCCAGTGTTATAACTACTAAGCTGTCCAGCCTAATGTTGGCGGTTCCTTATTTAGTCAATGTCTTTGTTCAAGAGGCGCTAGTCAAAAGCCATAAACTTGTGAAGCCATGTAGACAGGGATCACGCCTAACGGTGTGATGTTAGCAACATCAACTATGTCTCAAACCTGGCATTGAGGGAGTGACCGACTCTGGAGTCATCATGTGTGTGTGTGTTCATATTTAAGTATAACGCACTGGAGTGTGTTCTGGTTTATTCTTCCATGTCTGCAGTTACCATAGTTACATGTTGTAAGGCACAATCAAGAAATGGGCTGGTGGAGACACTGATCCACATGATCCATGATCGATTATGATCATGTCCAATTCAGATCGTTCTGTAAAATACAAAACATACCAGGATACTTCATAAACATTATAAGGACAACTAACATCCAAAATCATCACAAGTGTCTAACGTGTACATGTACATGTAAAAGGCATGTACATGTAGTTACAAAGCTCTCCATGCAATGCAGGGCACATCGTAATATCAAGACGCCTATTTCGGGCACTTCGCGTGGTGTGTCCGATTTTGCCTAGCCCAAACACTTGAAATATAACATGTATGGATTCAAAACGGTATTTAATTAAGGAAATGGGTTGCTCACCATCCATAACCAGCTCCCGCGCATTCAGTTTCCCGCGGCAACTGCACTGGCTTGCTTGGTGGCGCCCTTTGTCTTATTAAAGTCGCAACACCTGGGAAATTACAAAAACGGGGATCACTCAGAGAGGATACAGCATATTTATTACAGATAAAGCTTGAAGGAATAGAAGTTTGTGTGTTTTGGTGCCAGCTTTACTAAGCTCGCTTTGTCTTGATTTTATTGCAGATGTAAACCCATGTGCAACCAATCCCTGTGTGAATGGCGGTACTTGTGCCCAAGTGTCGGGAAACTGCGAACTATCCGTGTGTCTGTGTCCAATCTGCTTCAGGGGGAACAGTTGTGAAATTGGTAAGTATGAGTCAAGTCTGTCCTAAGCCAATAAGACACATCTCCAGTTTCTTCACTCTACTGAGAACAGTTCTCTTTCCCATGAATGGGATGCAAGCCTATCATAGGTTACTCACCAGTGAATCCCATTTAAACTTCTCGGTGGAGAGAGAAAGACAAGTGTGAGTAAAGTGGCTTGCCCAAGGACACAGCAGGTGGTCAGCGGCAGGATTCGACTAGCTTGTCAACTTCCATGTAGGTAGTTGGGGTGATGTTGGCGCGTGCACACTACCCTGTGCGCTTGTTCCACGATTGATCTGTAATACGCAAGCGTGGTAGTCTACTGCACTATTTGCTAATACACAAAGCGCAGTAGACTATTACATAGGTATAGCCTGTGTGCATGCAGTTGTGCCCCACACGTGTGACTCGGTCTGTACGCGCTGGTACCTAGCAAACTATCAGCTTGTATATATTAATGTGAATTGTAAAGTTAGAACTGGCTCTCGACGGCGAATAAGTATGAGGTATGGTCATTGTTTACAGCGGATGGAGAGTTTCCAAATAGCTTAAGAGATTCAAACGTTGGTTTAAATATTGGTCATGACACAGGTTTTCAAAAAGCAATGTTTTCAATTTCTCTTTTTTTTCTCAGCCAATGATCCATGCGACGCACAGCCCTGCCTTAATGGGGGCACGTGCTACATCAGTAGCACGTCCTGTACATCGCGTACCTGCGTGTGCAACGAGTGCTTCACTGGATCAGACTGCTCACAACGTGAGTCCGACAGATTGTCAGTCAACATTCATGTACATCTAAGCCGACAGGCTTATACCCCCTCAGCAGTTACAAAGTTGGGAGAGTTGGGGGAGACCACTGGTAGTGGGGCAAATAGGGGAAATATTTGCAGGAATTGTGCCTTTGATGATACAAGTATGCTATGTGGCACACAGAGTATGTCTTAAGAAAGATATTTGGCTATTGGGCCGTTTTGGATCTTTTGTTTTTAGGATCTTTTGTTTTTTTGTGCATTTTTTTTTTCATTTGAAGCCACCAAATTGCTCAAAATCATTTTTCAAAGCAACTTCTTATTTTTGAGGTAATCTTCTGTGGATTATGGATAGTACAAATCTCTGTACAGTTGTTTTCTGTGTGGTTAAGCTCAGGACAACATAGGTAGATTCGGTCACGCTTCACTGCTCTCCCAGTGTTGTTTTTTGTGCAGTGACTCTCTGCAGTGATACAGTTACACTTCATATCCCTTCACCTGAAACTGACCTGCAGGGTTTTAAAAGGGCTTTACATATTGCTCTGAATATTGATTACTTACTAGGAGGGTTACGTCCTTAATAGGGTGAATCATCAATCAAGAAGTGTGCCATTTGTGGGTGAGAATGTCCCACGAATGATTAATGAATAAATAAAGCAGCCGTAATAATTGATTTGATGTCATTATCTTACAGTTATAAATCCGTGCAGTCCTAACCCATGTCAAAATGATGGTGTGTGCTTGGCCGCTGGTCCTGGTTGCCTGGATTATACCTGCCAGTGTTCAGACTGCTACGAAGGCCCTGATTGCTCCATACGTAAGCCACAAAATTCCCAATTTTTTATGTTTCCTATCTTAGCCTGTGCTTCCATGGATGTCTCTTGCCTGTGGCTTAACATTTTATTGACTTGTGAATAAGTAGAACCTCTGAAATGTGTGAGATATAAAAATAGCCAGGGGAATATTAAGGCTTCATTCTTTATTAATAATAAATGATTTTACTGTTGTCTTATATATACTGTAAAAAAATTGTCCTAAGTTTCGCACTGTTACAGTGGAACGCCACTATAACGAACATCGTGGGATCCACAGAAACTGTCCGTAATAACGATCGTTTGGTAAAGCGATTTTGAACCACCGGTACCCTCTTTTGACCAATAGTGAAGTCACTGAACTGGCATTTCTCACATCCCGCTGCCGTACAAGGAGTTGTCACAAAACTTTAGCAACGGGTGGTTTTCACATTTATTCTTTGGGGAAATAATAGCCATCTAATGTTCTTGAACATTCAAACACGATGTAACCATGGATGGGAAATTAAAAGTGGCCCAAACAGTGTTTAATACATGTGCAGTCAGTAGGGTTTTTTGTTAATCTGTTGACGTTTTTCAACAAAGATGTTCAGTACGTTTTGTACATTAAAACGAGGAGCCAAAGGTGTTTTTTTCCCTGATTTATGGAGGTGTGCGTCAGTTCAAGAATGCATCATTTTGGCAATGTTGATGAAAGTTATTGAAATTAGTCTATTTTCAACAACATAATGTTGCTAGTGAAAGTCTGTTTTTAGAAACTTGACATATTTTAACAAGACTAATGTTAAAAGGACAAATGGTTCACAATCAATACAAAATGTATTATTTTTGTTTTGTCTGTTTACAGCTAAGGATCCGTGCGCTGGTAACCCGTGCCTGAATGGTGGTCAGTGCTCACCAGCTCTCATTGGTTCCCAGACTGATTGTACGGCATTCACTTGTAGGTGCATAGACTGCTGGATAGGTGCAACCTGTGCCGAAAGTAAGTGTACAATGTAACTGTACCCACTTCAAAGTAAAATTCTGTTCGTGAAGGGCATAACCCAAAAGTGGGAAATGGATTAAAAATAGTGACTCTAGCTGGTTTAAATGATTCCCTTTGTTCATTGTTGTTATGGGGAACATTTGCTTTTGCTCTAATTTTCAGAAATAGATGGATTTGGGGGTTAGTATTTTTATCCAATTTATCTTCTAATTACAGGGACAGATAGCACTTTCAAGGACTTATCGAAAACTTGAATTCATAACACACATCTAACAACTGCGCAGTTGTTTTAACCTATCTAAAATATATTTTTCAAAAAAGAGCAATGACATGACATGACTTATTATGCAGCTTAAAGGGAGTTTGTTGGTTACCAACTAAAAAGGCAGTGGTCATCATCGTGTTCAAAGGCCGCTTGCAGTCACGCAATGAATGGTCCAGGCTTGAGGTCACAGTGCTGTGGCTATGGACATTGCCGAGGGATTGGAATGTTAATGGTCAAAATGTAAATCGCCCAAGAGTCCTGACTCCTTGGGTCCTAGCTCTATCGTCTAGCTGACTTGTACAAGTTCATAGTTGTATAGTCAATTGCAAACAAAATGCGGACTAACTAAATATGGTGAATCAGGGGCAGTATTTGAAAACGGCCAGTTTTTTTCCAACGTTGATCGGCCAACCAGCATTGGAAATTGATACAAAAATAGCATTTTTCTTGAAAATGACAGTACACCAGGTACCAAGATTTGACAGGATGCTTTAGACTGTCATTCACTAACAGTCCAGTGATTTATTTCGTATAATTTTGTAGTTCTGTTTTTTGATGATTGCAAATATTGCATACTCCCTTTAACTTTAAATCTCTGTATCTTTAACTCCGATTTCTTTACCTGCTTCTCTTGATGCTAATATATAGATTATAATTATCTAAAGTTATGTATTTTGTTTGTGTGTGTGTGTGTATTTTTACAGTATTTCAGCCGTGTGCTGCAAACCCTTGTCAGAATGGCGGGACCTGCCAGCTTGTTGCAGGTAGTTGCTTCTCATTCTCATGTCTTTGCAGTGGATGCAACCGAGGTAGCACCTGCACGCAAGGTGAGTTATGCTTTGAAAACTTGAATGAAGAAGTTGACTGGAGCAGGGTTTGAACCTGCGACCTCTGGAATACCATACCGGTGCTCTACCAACTGAGCTATCCAGCGCTATGTCGGCGGTTCCCCGTTTTTTTTGCATTTGAGTCCAGGACACTAGTCAGAAGCTGCTTAACTGTATTTATCATGCCCAACTAACGATCCTAGCTGCAATACGGGTTTATGGCTTCTGACTATCACTTTAGAACAAAGTAACAAATTGGGTTACTGCCAACACAGGGCTGGATAGCTCACTGGGTCGAACACCGGAATGGCTATCCGGAGGTTGCAGGTACAAGCTCCGCTCCAGTCAGTTTCTTCTTTCAACTTATGACATACCTGCCAACCTTTCCGATTTTGACGGAATCATTACGTAAATACGAGCTGTATTGCGAATGACGAATTCATCGCCCTTTATTACGAATTTCCTCAAAATCGTTAACATTGTTAATTAAATACCGTGATTTTATGAACGAAATGCTAAAATTAGGTTAGATATAAGCCGTGTCCTAATTGTCGGCTACAGTTTGAAATCATGGGAAGTGGCTGCAGCCGCTACCATAGGCATGTGTGTAATATCAAGCCGTAGCCGCTACCATAGGCATGTGTGTAATATCAAGCCGTAGCCGCTACCATAGGCATGTGTGTAATATCAAGCCGTAGCCATGTAATTTTGACATTGATGTTATGCCGGGCACCAGCCAGTGCATATCATAACTGTGTGCAAACGACTTGGAACCAGCATGTGTCATACAACTGAGACATCATGTACCCTAGGCCAGTGAAGACCGGGTTCTTGCACATGACCAATTAATAACCACAGACAAAACTTTGTTTTGCTGCCTCTTAGTGTGAAATCACTCATGAATAATCCCTAAGTTCCGATGAAAATGTGGCCGTGTGTGTCGCAGTATATTTCTTTGTAATGCAATCTAGTCGTTCCATCAGCAGTATAATCCACAGAATTCTGCTTGTTGACAATCATTTTTGTTGCAGTCCAAGATCTGTGTGCCTCCAACCCCTGTGAGAATGGCGGTATCTGTACCCAGGACAGCACGTGCAGCCAGTATTCCTGCCAGTGCTCAGGTTGTTACACTGGTCCAAACTGTGAGACAGGTGAGTGATTGGTTGAAGTCTTTCCCACGCCGAGATGGCCCATCAGGCCGGTGATTATCTCTGGTTTCCTTGCCATGTGAACATTATCTGCCAGAAGGCTTCCTTAGCACTCAGGAGAATAGGCAGTGTCTGCCATCATCTCAATAGCAGTAATAACAATAATAATAATACCGAAGTCTTATATAGCGCACGTATCTACCAACAATTAGGTACTCAAGGCGCTGGAAATTGAAGGTAAATGAAGTACATGAGAAATAAGAGAACCATTATGTAGCACCTTTATAATGGTTTACAAGGTGCTGCGGTGCATTAAGCAGCCACTGCCAGAAACACCGGGGCAAACCCCTTCTCAGTACTACTGAGGTGTTAGTTCATGCCTTCGTGACTTCTTTAACCCTCCTTCTATTTAAGAGAGGTCACAAATGGTCAAAATGCATGTTTCCATAGGAGGGTTAATTGACAGAATGCAGATATAACGTGGTTTGAGGGTGGACAGTCGATATTCGCTCCCCAAGGTATTTGCCTCGGGAACTAAATTGTCAACTTCCAAAGTGGTGACATAAACTGTTTAACTTTGGGCCAAAAAAAACCTGCAGAAGATGCTTCAATGTTAGGTTTGCCCCTTGGTAGCCTGTCTTTTGTCCGTTGTATGATGTCACAGGGCACATGGTGGATATTGACAAATATCCTTTCAACTTTGTTTGTGCTTAGTTCTTCGTGTAGCTGACTAACTGTTTTTCTCTTGATGTACAGAAGCGAGTGCTTGTGACAGCAGCCCATGTGAGAATGGTGGAACTTGCATGGTTGACCCGAATGATTGCAGCCGATTCACATGCCAGTGCCCGTTTTGCTATCAGGGTGACCCAACATGCAGCACAGGTAAGCAAACATATTGATTGTCTGTGTGATTTTTTTCTGCTTTCAATGGAAATGAAGTTTATTTCAAATGTTTTGAGAAATAGAAACTGGAAAAATGCTACAAATGCAGTGACGGAACCAGGATTTGTGTAGGGCGGGGTGGGGTGGGGTTGCCATCTGGGTTCTCTGGTAAGAGAGGAGTGCCATGATTGGATTGAAAAGAAAAACCCTTTCCCGTCCTCCAATCAAAATAATTCTTATATCGTTGGAAAAAGCATTTCATACAGTATATTCTGCTGTGCGATCTGGCTTGGTGCGATAAACAACGATTTTGCAGTTCGATTAAAGGACCAAACAACCCCCCCGCCCTCGGAAAACCACCAGAAAATATGTTTACCTCCATAGCAAATCAACGTTGTTTGTGCTTATTAGCATTTTTCAACTAAAAAAGGCCCTATTTCATGAAAATGTGATCATCTTGAACAGTATCGTTTATACTTTTAAATGCTTAGCGATCTGGTTAGATATCTATCATCAATCTTTTTGGAAGAAGTGTGTGTTTTCGTTGCAAATTTACCGTGTTAAGCACGGTGTCGTGAGGGCCATTTTGCAAATGTCCGCAAGCTTTTTATATGTTTAAAATTTGTTTTTTACTGCTTAGGTTTTGATCCATGTAGTGCAGGCGCATGTCAGAATGGTGCAGTGTGTGTTGCCAGTGCTACAAGTTGTTTCCAGTTTAGCTGTCAATGCACTGGCTGCCATACAGGACCATTGTGTGAAACATGTAAGTATGGTTGTGTAACAAGTTGTGTAACAAGTTGTGTAACAAGTTGTGTAACAAGTTGTGTAACAAGTTGTGTAACAAGTTGTGTAACAAGTTGTGTAACAAGTTGTGTAACAAGTTCTTTAACAATTCTGTAACAAGTTCTGTAACAAGTTCTGTAACAAGTTCTGTAACAAGTTCTGTAACAAGTTCTGTAACACAGGATATTTCTAGGGGTATTAGATAGACTGTATCATTCCTAGAGTCACTGTTACAGTTATATCAGAATGGATATGTATATATATATACACACACGGAGCTGGAGCGGATGGACAGAAGAAATTACTAAGAGACACTTGAAGAAATACAACCGCTGTACAATGATAATGTGGTCTACGTAGTTTATTGGAAACACAGACTAATATCAAAGAGAGTTGGTGAGTGCTGGTAGAAGTTGAAAACGGAAGACTTTGGGGGAAAGAGAGTGATTAAATACAATGCTGAAGCATGGGCTGGGTGTTAACTCATTACATGTGTCATTAAGTACTAGGATGGTAGTTTATAGTTTCAGGGTTACATGGTCATAAAAATGTAGGTGGTGTCTGTGGGAACTCTTTGGATGGACCTTAAAAGTAAATTTAAAGAATCATAAAGGTGTCAACATGGGAATAAGCTAGATATCTGGGCTTAGTTGAAAGGAATGTAAATAGAATTTATAACCAGGATTGGGTCATTAACAGAGTAACTAGATCAATGCTTACTGTTCCAACCTGAAGCAGGCTTTGGGGGGAATTTCATGGAGTTTGAGTGATAAAACATTCTCAAGAACTTGTTAATTTCTATCACAGAAAAACTGCTCTGCCCTAGCTGTTACTCCCTATAGACTAATTTGGCCAACAAAATGTGATGCTATTTTTGAGGTGAAACCACGTTCGCACTCCATTGTTACGCATGCACTTCAAGCACCTTTACCTGATATGCCTTTAAAGCAGTGCATGCACAAAGTGTACCCTTCAACACTGTTGATGTGGCCGAAGGTCAAAATAGAAATGTTTTGCGAACCAGGAATGATAAATAAACGATAAGCCCCTCAGACCCTTCAGAGGGAAGCTAAGTAATGATTCAGAGTGGTTAGGTGAAGAACCATTTCTATTTTGATCTCAGGCCTAAGACACGGGCCGTGTTGCTCAACCGCGTTGTAGCTGCGCAAATCAGCTCCTGCTGTGAGTAAGGACGATTAGCCCCCCCCCCCCCTTGTCCTGTGACATGCTTATGCTTGTATCCTCATGGGAAATTTGTATTGTTTACATCCTATGCACACATTCTGTCACTGAAGTAAACATGCTCATGCTGTGCTTTGATTTCTGGGAAATGTTGACCATGTTTAATACATGTTTTTGTGTTCCGACTCTTGACCCTTAGCTACCAGTATTTGCAACACTACCGACCCTTGTAACAATGGCGGCGTCTGTACCCTGATTAATAACGACTGCAATAACTACATGTGTGCATGTCCGTCATGCCGAACTGGCGATAACTGTGAGATTGGTAAGTTGTCAGACGTAAACTTTCTTATATTTGACTTTTTTCCAGACTCCTTAGGATAATAAAATAAGTTACCTGACTCAGAAGTTGCCAGAGTAATCAAAAGCATGTAGGATCATTTGCATTTATCCTATAAGTAGCCTACCGAATTATTATCAAATAGCTTACTTGGATTAAAGATCGTACTGGTACTAAATACCCCGTGAAATTATTCCGTCTGGCTGGCTGACTTTTAGAAGATTTCAAGAAATGGAGGTAATTCCCAACTATAAGTCAATGGACTGATTTTTGGAAATATAGACGAAATCATGTTTCATTATCAAAAGGTTGTACATGTTTTTTTTACTGTTATTTTTTTAAAAGTGTCATATCCAGTAAGCTAAAACAGGGTTAGTTTGGCACATTCTTCTTCGAAAAGCAATGAAAAGCAACTAATCATATATAATTTCATTCGGTAACCGACGGAATGGAAAACCTCATGAGATTATTCTTACCATATTGCACTCATTAACATTCATTATTTGTTTAATGCCCCATGTTTTTGTGTTTGGTTTTGCAGAGATTGACCCATGTGCAGACAACCCGTGTGCCAATGGTGGTATGTGTAGCCGGGCTGGGGGCAGCAACTGCAGCGATTACGTCTGCTCTTGTACGGGCTGCTGGGGTGGCAAAATGTGTACAGAATGTAAGTTGCTCAGCCAACATATTTTGAGTGAATGTGGAACACTTAAACAATGCTATTTTTCTAGGTACAACCACAAAATTGTGATTATCGGAGCAGTTTACTGACTTTATTTAAAGGTGGAGTATTCATTTGTCATTTGTGCATTATTTTCATTTGAAGCAACAAAAGTGCCCAAAATCTAAAGAAGGGTGCTTAAAGTAAAATAACATGAAACTCAAATGTCTGGACCATTGTTTTAGTGAAGTTCTGCATGTAGCAATTTCAAAATCTAGGATATGATAAGCTTTCTTGGACAAATCACTAAAAGGATAGTGTTCTTTCAGCAATACTTTCAGCTGTATAGCTCAGTTGGTTGAGCACTGGAACAGCATTCTGGAGGTTACAGGTTAGAACCCTGTTTCAGCAGTGGCGCACCAAGGTTTGGTTTGGGGAGGCTCAAAACTTTTTGTTTACAAATTTGTTAAAAGTTGATTTTGTTTTCAAAAAATTTTGCCAAAAGGTTTTGGCTTGAGCCCCCCGAGCTCCCCCCCCCCCAGCCCCAGGTGCGCCACTGCGTTCCAGTTATTTTCTTGGTTACATTATAATAAATCAGAATATATGTTGGTTAATTTGAATCACGCCTAATGCCATTTGGTTCCACTCAAATCTGAAACGCCAGTCTGAAACCGCAGTGTTCAACTTGTTCAGTGATTGGAACTGATCCATTTTATTGATGACACCTACAGCTACCGCCTTCTGTGATCAGGTGAATCCCTGTGCTCGTGGCCCTTGTCTTACCCCAGCCGGTAACTGTCGTAGCTTTGAATGTGTGTGTCCGTCTTGCTACACTGGTCTTTTGTGCGACATAGGTAAGTCAGTAATGTGTATGTTACAACCTGTAAGGAATCTAGTATGCCTTAAGTTGTAATGTCTATTGTTTCACCTCATGCATATTTATGAGCTAACTGCACTTCTATCTTTTAAAAGGACGCTTTCATTTTCACAAAGTCATTTTTGACCTAATCACACCAAAAAACTGTTACCAAAACAAAGGACAGTTCTACTGCATAACTGAATAACCAAATAATAAGTGTGGGTCTAAAGGCAGCTTTTAAAATATGAATTAAACAATTATTTTTAAGGACTGGACACGTGGCCGTTCTAGACCAATAAAATTACAGTATCCAAGCACACGATATAACATATTTTCAGGGTTCGTCCTTAATTTTTTTTTTCCATTAGTCATCCAGACTAGTAAACCAGATTCTGATCTAGTCCACAGGCCATTTCACTATTCTGCAATAGAAGTTCAAAATTTTTGCAATAATTTTGACTCGCCAGGCAAACTACTCAGGGAATGGTTTTGACTAGTCCGCTGCTGTTTTTACACGCATTTGGCGAGCGGACTACTACCGCTAAGGTCGAACCCTGATAAATATTGCTCAGTGTAATATTACAGAGCAGTATGATTTAAAATTGCATCTTTTGTCAAATTTTCACCAAAATTGTGTTTATTTGTATTTTTTTACCCCATTAGTTAAAGACGTTTGTGAGACCAACCCTTGCAACAGTCGCGGGGTCTGCGTTCACAACTGTCCCAACGAATTCTCCTACCGCTGTGACTGTAACGACTGCTGGACTGGTACAAACTGCACCACACGTAAGTAGCAAATCAACAAGTCATTGGAAAAAGACACCAAACCGTGCTTCATTTTTTTTCCCCTCATGAATTTACATTTAACCCGAGTCGACATGGAAATCACTCACAGAACACCATCTTAAAAGATATTTGTGTCGCCTAACAAAGTTTTGGGAGACACTTAACAGTCCTAAACTCTGTATGTCTGTATGACCGTAGACCCGTACTGACCAGGACTCATTGTGGGGTACTAGTACAAAGGGAACGGTACCCCACAAGTGAAATCTTTAGAAAAAGGGACTCATGGACAACAATGCTCCTACCCCTCAAGTCCTTCCCTTGAAGTCGTCCGTAGACCCGTATGTTAAAGTTTCGGTTCAGTTTTTGAAAAAAATGTATAACTTCTACATATCTTCATGGATTTTGATGAAACTTGGATGCAACGACCCTTGGGTGGGAAGACACAATTCTTCATTGGATTACTAAGGTTAACGGTCATTTAGGGTCATTAGAGGTCATTCTTCAAGTATGATTCCAATTATTTGATGGATTTCAATGTAACTTGGATGGAGCGATCCTTGGGTTGGGGTTCATCACAAGTTTTCCGAAATAGGAGGTCAAAGGTCATCCTGGGGTCTTTTGAGGTCATTGTTTGAAATGCACTAGATTTTGAATTTTTTTAAGAACACAAAACAAAGAGATTGACCGTGGAAAAAGGCGACACACAATCCGCGGATCACTTGTTAAAAAAGCTGGCATGTTAACAGTGGGTCGATCCATACATCAACGATAATGTTTATAGTAAATGCTTGACTCACCAATACTGATAACTTCATTGCGGGGATATTGTGGGGAAGTTGTTCAGAATCCTGCAACTTATACCCGATACAATGTCCGGAACTTGTCCAGTACTCGTCCCGGTTATTGAGACGGACCCTCATATTGATATTCTTAATCCTATTCTATGCAGGTGTCGATCAGTGCGACTCAAATCCTTGCCAGAACAACGGCGTCTGCCAGAATTGGTGCACATTCTACACCTGCGATTGTCCACCAGGCTTCTCAGGAGCCAGTTGCGAACAAGGTATTTGTCCAGACTGGTTTTGTCAGTGTCTAATGAAATTTGTTCCACCTGTTCCTCCCAACCACTTACAGAGGAATGAATGGGAAAAAAACATGGCGTTTTGTGTTCTAGTATACAAATATTGAGTGCTTTGAGTGGTGTGGTAAAACTAGCCTCCCGAGGTGATCCATGGATCCTGAGACAAAGCTGAGTGAAATACAATGTTCCATGGATCACCGAGGGAGGCTACTTTCAATATGAAATGTATTAAACTTGCACTGTTCCATTCAACTCCTTCATAATACCCCCATTATTCCTTTTTATCCGCACTATCATCCTGCCGACAAAATGGTGTGTCCATGGCCCAATAAGTCAAGATATGTAGCACCACCTAATATCAGATAGTGTGAAACATTGTTTGCTTTGAAAAGCGGTGAGTCGCCGAATGGAACGATCCAGTTAGCCCCTAAAAACACAGGCTCACTCTTCAAAAGCCATACTGCATATTCCAGCTGCGTGCGTCATACGCGCGTGCATGCATGTCAGGCGCAAATCACGGCTGTAATTGGTTAGAACACCAAGGGGCGGAGCTTACTTGATCGGTTCTATTAGTCGGGTGGGGTGACCAAAAATTCTTACCTGGTGACCCAAACAAACTCACGGCTACCTCCCGGCAGAGTGGTACGTCAGCACATTTGTTGTCAAACCTCCCTGCCTCCCCCCCCCCCCCCTCCCCCTAGACCAAAAACAAAATTAATTTGGTCTGGCGACGCCCTTATGTAGAGAAGTTCGTAAAATGACGTCAGTGGTCACAAAACACAACATGTTTTTACTATTAATCCTCCTATGCAAACATACATTCAGTGCGAAGTGGTCCTTTCAGTCAAAATGAATCAAGTGACGTCATGTTTTCAATAGTTAAGAATACCCAGCCCACATAAAGCAGGATTGACTGGCCGTGACCGTGCTTTGCTTTGACTGCGTAACTGATAAGCCAGCTGTGCCCACAACTTGCCTGCTGTGTCTGTTCATGGTCTGTGGACTGAGTTTGACTAGTCACAGTGCTTGCTTGACTAATGATCTGACTGCTGGTGACTAGCCTCTGTTAAAAGTACAACAGGAAAAGTGGATGGAAATTGTGACTGTCTGTGAATGTTTAAATAGCAGGAGGGTTAGGGTGTTATTATTCACTGTGATTTGATGTTTTTGTCCACCCATACAGATATTTGCAATCCTAATCGGTGTAACAACGGCGGCACCTGCACGCGTCTCGTCAACGGCTTCCGCTGTGAGTGTAATGAGTGCAATACCGGGCCTTTCTGTGATATCGGTAAGTTTTGTCACTCAGATACTCAGGTTGGCCTTATGCAAGGCTTACAATATCTGACTGCTTGAAGTAAGCAGTAGATACGTTTGTGGTACTAAAAGATATGGTTATATATTTAAAACAGCTTGGTCTTTTGGTATTTAGACATCTTAAGAGGGGGTCTTAAAATGGCCATTGTGAATGTCAACTTGTTTTTCATGAGGAATGCACACTCTTCCCTTTGTTAGTCAGCCGTGGAGACTGCCACCATAGCATGTACTTTAAATTAGATTTTTTGGTTAGAATTGAGATATTTTGGACTTCATTTGGGTTTACTAAGCTCAATAAGAGCAATTTAGACTGTTAACTTTTGTACTTAATTGTTTCCCCCAACTATAGTAATGACCCCAACTATAGTTGGGACAGTATACAAATATTGACTGCTTTATCTCGTGGTATAGTAAAACTAGCCTCCCGATGTGATCCATTAAGCATTCTATTTTCCCGAGGCGAATTTGAACCCACGTACCACGGCACACGAGTCGAACACCATAACGGCGTAACCATTGGACCACAGCACCCACTTTTTGTTGTGATATGTCACAAAACAATAGGAAGTATCATTGGAATGAAAATTGAGTTCATTAACTTCTGAAGTTGAGCTGTACTCCAGTCTGTATTTATTTGTTTCTTCACAGAGGTGGACGTGTGCGGCAGCATCCCTTGTAAGAATAACGGGGTATGTCGTAACATGTGCTCTCATTACGTGTGCGACTGTCAACCGGGCTGGGAAGGAGTGGATTGCGGAATTCGTAAGTTTGAAAATCTCCTCCGAATCTCCTCAAAACTTGCTTACCGCAGCAACGTTTTGCTTATAATAACAGACTCTGCTTACCAGCCAGCATATTTTGTGGTATAATCTGCTAATGAGTGGTACCCATTTGAATTTTGCTGAACAAGGACATTTGTGAAGTATTGTTTTTTTATAAGATGCAATGTTTTCTGTTTAACAGCTGTTTGAAATATGAAATTAGCTTGATCTTTTCCGTGCACCTATCTGTCTTTCTGCACAAGTATACTATACCCTTGAAGTATCACAGGGGGCACGTGTGGTCTAGCGGTAGAGCATAGGATTCATGATCGTGAGATTGTGGGTTCAAGCCCCATCGTGGACATACATGTTGTGCCCTTGAGTAAGGCGCTTTACCTCAATTACTCCTCTCAACCTAGGTGTTAAATGGGTACCGGCATTATTCAATGCTTGGAAGGTAACAGACTCGCTGTGGAGGAGGTGTGGCGATCCCCCCACAGCAGCATATGAGTCTTGCCCAATCGCTAATGAAAGAGAGATGGGCACTCCGTTCCTGTAAACACAGTTTCGTCCCCTCTATCACATTGAAAGTATTCTTCAGCAAACTTGTTCGTTTTAAAGCATTGTCTATTCGAGCAATAGCTTCTGTCTAGTGCCCCTTGAACAAAGACATTGACCAAATGGGGGACCGCCAATGTAGGGCTGGATAGCTCAGTTGGTAGGGCACCGGAATGGCAGTTGGGAGGTCACAGGTTCACAGACTTGTGAGGACTTGTGAGTATCCGTGACAAACTTGTGAGCAGTTGTGATGGACTCAAAGTACAATACTGCAAATCTAATTGGAAGTTATTCTGCCATTTTGTTGTAGGAATCAACCATTGCCTGAGTGCTCCTTGCAGAAACGGCGGTCAGTGCACCAGTAATTCCAATTCCTATGTTTGCAACTGTCGTCAAGGCTTCACTGGCCAAAACTGTGACGTTGGTATGTAATTAATTCAAAGTTTTTTTCTGACAAAAAACACAACGCATTTTGAAAACCGCTTTTGACATCAGGTTAGACAAGCTTTGTGTTTATAATTTTGCCGATTTCACAGTGAGAAAAGGGTATTTTTTTAGGGGCGGGCTGCAGCACAAGGATAGATTTTTCTGTTTGAAGGCTCTGTAGATTACCCAAGCACAAAACCTTTTGTTCTTGTATTCAACATTGTTTCCAAACCATAAATCTTTAAAAAATTGCATTTCTCTTCTCATTTCAGACATTAATGAGTGTGAGTTGATGCCGTGTATGAATGGAGGAACGTGTCAGCAACTGCCAACCACCGGGTACCTCTGTAGCTGCATGAAGGATTTCATGGGTCAAAACTGTGAAATATGTGAGTTACACTATTCAACAGGGTTATTTTTAAAAAAAATTTAACTTTAACTCTTTTTGGCTTGAAAATACCAACTGTTTGCAACTGGCATTAGGGCCTGTCTCAATTCATATTCGGGACGAGTTGTGGGTAGAATCATTCACTTTGTCCAGAAGCTCTGCATTTGTCCTGGACATGTTCAGGGGAAATTTTCATCAGCAACTGCTTGACTCACCAATACTGATAACATTGCGGGAAGATTGCTGGGAAAGTTGTTCAGTATCCTGCTACGTCTACCCGATACAATGTCCAGAATATGTCCAGAACTCATCCTGGGTATAAATTGAGACGGGCCCTTCTGAATGAAGCATTTCTATGTTCAGCGAGTTATTGTTCATTTCAGCCGTAGAGGTCGGATTCTGACGTGGATTACAGAAGTAAAATTTGATTCACAAGAAAGTTTCGTGATTGCTATTTTTTTTGCAGCCATCGGATGTGTCGTCAACTACACCCTTCCCAACAATGGCACCATTGCGATAAAGTCTCCCAACTTCCCAGACAATTACGGGGACGATCTGAGCTGTCGCTGGCTTGTAGAGGTCTCCCTCGGTCGCCGCATCCGCGTCATTTTTGCCAATTTCAGCACGGAGCTGCATTATGATTGGCTGGAGGCCGGCAACGGGCTTGTGGCCGGTAACGTAGACTCACGCGTCATTCGACACTCCGGCCTCGATCCGCCCAGCAACTTCGTCACGAAGAGCAATCAGCTGTGGATCACGTTCACGACTGACACTAGCAAGACAGCCCAAGGTTTCATGATCGAGATTAAGGACAATGATTTGGAAAGTAAGTTGGCATTCAGGGGGTATATATATGATGTGTTCTGTCAAAATGTAAACTACAGATTTTGCCCCTTACAATAACAGTTTAATTTTAAAAGATTTAGGTAATGCATTAGTTGAAACTGGTACACCTCTACAGATTTTAAAAAATCATCTTTAGAGGCCAAATTATGGTCTGACACTTTTACAGTATATTTTAAACATATATGAGCTCCGTGCATGACCACGAGAGGGCGCAATTTGCCTAGCAACGGTGCCTTCTTTTCATGTACATGCATTGCATGCACAGTGTGTGAATTGCGGTACTGGTACGGTCGCGAAGCAAGATGGCACCCGATTGAAACCGATTTAACCACTTCCCACCAGCCTCTCTCTTTTCAACCGGTGAGGGGGTACTTCTGTACACAGTGGATAGGAGCACAAATTTGCCAAAAGACTGCAAATTGACAAACTGAAACCCCAAATCGATATGGCTTATATCTCAGTTTCAAGCTCTGCCCAGTAACGTCTGCTTTTGACAGGAAAACAGTGCATGTTTTTTTTTTTTTATTGTAACTATTGAATTAGTGATCAATATAATAGTACAAGGTTACTCACTGAAAAAAACTGCAACTGAAATAAGGGCATGTTGGCCATTGCTGAAAGATTTTACAAAATAATTAAGAAATTTGATATTTAGTTATTTAGTGAGATTATACTTTTGAGCTGTTGGGGAGTGTGGCCTGGTGGTTAGGATTCGTGACTCATGATCAGAGGGTCATGGGCTCGAATCCAACCGCTTGCCATAGGTTGTGTCCTTGGGCAAGCCACTTCATTCCCACTTGCCTCTCTCCACCCAGGAGTGTAAATCAGCTTGGGAGTAACCTGCGAAGGACAAGCATCCCATCTAGGGGAAATAGAAATATTCTCAGTTATTTCATGCTACTGAAACTGGAGATAAATGCCGGCCTGACGGGCCACATGGCTTGTGAAAGACTTGACTTTTACTTATACCTTTGAGCTGCTGTATACTGTATTATAGTGAAATTGACCATTGACTTGTTTCCCCTTGCTAGCTAACGATCCCTGCGCCAGTAATCCCTGCGTGAATGGTGGGACCTGTCAAAATAACATTGAGAGTTTCGTCTGTGTTTGCCCCATCAACTGGGGCGGTCTGCAGTGTCAGCAACAAAGTGAGTACTTGATCTTGTCTTTCATTATCCATTTTATAACTTGGTGTGTACCTTGCAAAGTTCCCAGCCACTCTGTTAATCAGGGGAAATGAGTTGCCATTTTTCCATTCAGGGAAAACTCCGGGAATTTGGGAGAAACACCCCAAAATAGGGAAAACTTGGGGAGTTTGATAGTGACCCAGAGGGACATTTTTTTTGGAACACGCTTTATAAAGAATTTTTTCTGCACATGTTTGCCCGTTTTTTTTCAATTCCAGTAATGTCACATCTCAGCCCGACGTTAGTATTCATTCTGTTTTCATATTTCTATAGCTTTCTGCAACCCCAACCCTTGTCAGAACGGTGGTACATGCAACCAGATGTCAGATGGAACAACTACATGTTCATGTGAGGTCAGCTTTAGCGGTAGTCTCTGTGAAACACGTAAGTAAGGCGCAATATTTAGTATCAAGTAGACAGGCAAAGTTAAAGTTCTTTTCGTTGTGTATACAAGTTCAAGGCTCCAGTGGAATTTTTCAGTTTGAATGGGAAACATTTTTTTTTGGATTGAATTGTCAGCTGTCGTAGATCAGTTTTAAAGTTGTGTTCCTCTTGCTGTGTCGAGTTCCCTCCCCAAAAAATAGATTCCTTTGTTAAATTGCTATTTTTAAGCAATACAAAAGTTATTCACTTTTGGGTGAGACATCGACCAAAAAAACCCAAAACAGCCAATGTGTTTGTTTCTGAATTATTGCTTTTCAATCTCAAATTATTGGCTGCCAGACAATAATTCCGTTCTCGCTGGGTAGGCTGGTTCCTGCCCACAATCAGTATAGATAATGTATGGACCAGGAGCCAGTTTGCTGGTCTTTGTGAGCCGATTTGCTGATTAATTATGCAAGACAACCGCCTCTTGACCTCTAGATTTTGACCAATCAGCGGGCACTTTGTACATCGGCTCTTGTAATGGATAGCTATAAATAAAACAGAGACATGTTATGAATCGAGCAAAAAGTCACATGCTCTCTAACGATATGTTATGCGATATGCCTTAGTTTTGTAGATCTGTATGCGCCCGACCATGGTTGTATTTCAAAAACACTGCATCCAGACTGACCAATCACAGTTTTAGTCACAGTTTTAGTCATGATTTGGGAGTGAAATGACCAAACTAGTAATGTCGACTCCGATTGGCTGGCGTGCGGCGTCGCATACATTTGCATTCCTACATATATATCAGACGTTCAGCCGGAGATAGGGCCTTGTGGAGAACAGGTGATACTCAGACTACCAGTCTGCTTGCAGACTGCTAGGAATGCAACTTTTAAGGGGAAAATTTGTTATTTTAAACTGATGTGTTAAACCCTGCCCCGTCATGTTTTGACCAATCACAGCCATGATTGCGTAACCAAATCGGACAAAATCCGACTGACTTGGAACATGTTATGTGACATTGGGGGCGGTACATGTGGGGTGGGGCTGAATGAATCAGTCAGTTCTAGAAATGTCAGGGTTGGTGATTTGATTTGATTTGATCTGATCTGACAGTGATCACTGAGATTTGCACGGAGGATACTTGCTTCAACGGTGGAGTGTGCCTCACCGTGGGAGGCGTGATCACCTGTAACTGTACCGCTGGAAGCACGGGAAGATTGTGTGAGACTGGTGAGTGCAAATGGATCTTTGGTAGCGCTTACATTTTCCCTTAGATTCATCATTGGTGTGTTTTAAGCCATTGTTCAAGAGTCGTGACGAAATAAGTAGTATTCAGCGCGACTCGACTTTTGATCACAAAACACGATTTCGTCAATAGCATTCTTCATTCCAAAAATGAAATCACCTACATTTGTTGATTTTTTTTTTTTAAATTACAGCAAACCAGATGGAATAATTTCACAGGGTGTTTAGTACCAGTACGATCTTTAATCCAAGTCTGCTTTTTGATAATAATTTCCTATGTTACTTTTGGGCAGGCCCGGATCACCCAAAAGGCACTGTAGGCACTGTGCCTAGGGCCTACGACAAATTGGGGGCCTACGAAAACTTTGGGGGCCTATGAAATATTGGGAGGCCTGCGAAAATACCGCAGTGAGCCATAAAACACATAAATAGGCCTACCCCAACACAAAATTGCAAGTGGGTATTTGCCCGCTATTGGGGACATACTGATGGAAAATGGTCCCGAACTCACGCCGTTTAGGCCTCGCACTCGCATATGAAATATAAATGGGATTATAAATGCAAATGATCCTATATGCCTATAAGATCGCCTTAAAGTCTTGTATGTCTTGAATTGCAGATGTGGATGAGTGTGAGTCCTCTCCTTGTATGAATAACGGTGTCTGCATCAATGGAGTCAACCAGTTCTACTGTAGCTGTCCCAATGCCTTCGCTGGGATATTCTGTGAAACAGTCGGTATGTTATGCCCCCATTATGATTTTTGTTTCATGTGTTAATTTGTGCCAAGCATAATCAGAAAAAAATCAACAACTTGAAGGGTTTACAAAAAGCCTGATGAATTTAACCTGAAAGTGAAAGTCATAACTTTTCAAAAGGTTATTGCAGTGTGAAAAGACAAGAAAGCTGAACATTTGCCAAAGCAATATCGGATCCGCTGATTTCCTCGTTTTTTTACTTCTCATGAATGCCATTACAAATTGAAGAAACACTGGACAAAGTCTTGTGTTTTTTGGAATTTACTCATTTTTTTCTTTGTAATTACTAGTTCCATGTCTGAACATAAATCTTAACAAAAATATATTTTAACCCCCCCCAGAAAGGGAGATTTTTTTTGGGGGGGGGGGTGCTTTTTTCTTTCTTTTTTGCAGTACGTTTGCCATTTATGTATTTTATGCATTTTGGTTTTGGGTGTATCAGCTTTAATAATGTACTGGTGTAGAGTACAAACGCAGATTTACAAATAGCCGTACTTAAGCCGTACTACATTTTGAGTTTTCCATTAGTTTGTGCACAAATATAAATGCGCCCAGCAGGCTTCATTTGTACAGCGAGATGGCGTTCTAGTAATTTGAAATATCGCTATGAATCAAATAGAAAGATATTTCATGAACATTTCTTTCATTTACCAAAACACTGAAATTCAAATTTACCACATCGTACTCATCTTTCGTAGAGGTTTTCTCTATTGTGGCCCTGTTCATTTCTATTCTTGTTTCTTTTCTATCCTTTCAGTGGCCTGTGTCAATAGGCCTTGCTTCCATGGCGGTGTCTGTGTGCCACGTGATGATGGCACTTTTGTCTGCCAGTGTGTTCCTGGTTACACCGGAACGCAGTGTGAAACGGGTAAGTTTATAATCTCCAACAGACAGCGTTGGTTTACGAACCGTTGGTTTAAGATTTGTTGGTTGATTTGTGATTCATTATGTGCCTGCTTGCTTACATGGGACCTGTTATACTAAGTGAGCTGTTAGTCGGATTTCAAAGGCACGTGGGAACGTTGATAATCATCCGGATACAAACCTACTGATTGAATGAGAAAAATCTCGCTGAAAGTCAAGATAGGGATGGTACCAAATACCCTGTGAAATTATTCATCCTGAAATGGTATTATTTGGAAGAAAACAATAAGAGTTAATTTTAAAAAAAGTGTGGCCATTGACTCACTTATTTTAAATTTGATGATTTTTGCTTGTGGGGCACATCTCCTGACATCACATTTTTTTTAAAGATCGTTTAATACTCATCCTATTTCAAAGTTCTAGTTGAGAAGAAACTAACCTAATATCTCACTGTTTCTGAGGAAAGACCACAAAACCCGGTTGTTTATTTCTGACACGGCGGACATTTTGTGGCACACACAAACACAAAAAAGCAATTCATCCAAAGTACCTTTTAATGACATGAATATATTTTTCTGACTTCTGCAGAACAAGTGCTTTGCAATGACTATATAACGCTATTGGGTAATGGAAAGAAAAGACTGCCAACTGTGTTGTTATTGAGCAATTGAGTAACTCTGAAATTGAAACTTTACTTGTGAGATGTCTTTAATAAAAAATTGCCACAGTTTTAATTGAATCTTCCTGTTTTTGCTATTAATGGTGCCGATCCACAGAAATTAATGAGTGTGGCAGTAGCCCCTGTGTCAACAAAGGAACTTGCATCGACCACCTGAATGACTATGAGTGTATCTGTGAGGCTGGGTTCTTGGGGAAGAACTGCGAAACCAGTGAGTCCATAAGCATCCTTACAAATCTAGCATTTTTAATTGAATCAGTGACATCTGTTTCAGACTTGCGTTCCAGAGTAGTATTAAGAGAAACTCGGGTCGACCCAAAATAGAATTTGGTTGGAGACAAGTGAACCTTATGCATGAATTTTTCAGTGCTTATATCTTTAAAATTCGTAACAAGAAAAACATCCTTTTTTCGAAGAGCATGGGTATGCAAATTTAATGTGTTACACAATCGTTTCCCTTTTCAGGAATTGGCAAGGGTTGTTTGAACAACCCGTGCAAGAATGGTGCTACGTGCAATGACACATCAGGAGAGATTGTCTGCACATGTCTGTCTGGCTTTGAAGGAACAACCTGTGATATCAGTAAGTACACATGGAATTTGGTTGAACCTACTCTTGAATAATCAGGTAAAGATTTAATATGTTGGTTAAAAGGCTTCTTCTTGGCAGCCGGTCGAGAGAAACTTTTTGGAATATGGATTTCACCTTTTTTGCAAATGATGGTTTTGTTTTTGGAAATTTTTTCCTTGTAAGAATTAAGTTGTTGGGAAAATTTGGCAACGTTCTTTGTTGAGATATTTAAATGAGTTGCATTTCTTGAAAGTTCTGATATGCATTTCTTGAAAGTTATGATAATGTCTGAAAATTTACAGTATTTTCAAACCTTGGGTCAACAAAAAATTTGCAAACAAATCTGCAAATTACCCAGCATCACCTTTAGGTAGGATCTGCATTTCAAGCTCTGCCCAGAAGTGTCAGATTTCGATAGAAAAGTTTCAAAAGAAATAAAAAAATTTAGCAGCTCCATAAATATTCATCACAAATAACAATTTTTTGTTTTCAATTTACCTCCCTTTTTAGCATTAAAGTCCGTTGCCTTCAATCAAAAAAGTTTAAAACCCCGAGTCGAGTTTCCAGCAAACAGAAAACATATCTGCGATTGAAACCATGCAAAATTTAACCTGTTAACACCTGCACTATATTGTATTCATTCCGTAATGAAGTATGAATTCCATAATGAAACCATATAGTAACAATTAAAGTAAAGTCAGTCAAGAGTCAGTATGGCCAATCAGGCTGCTGTTTATCCCCCGCTCCTTGACATAAAATGACTAAGAATATTTCTATTCCCCCTGGATGGGATGCAATTCCATAGCAGGTTACTCCCCAGCTAATCCCGGTACCCATTTATACTCCTGGGTGGAGAGAGGCAAGTGGGGGTGAAGTGGCTTGCCCAAGGACACAATATAGTACGAGCAGCTGGATTCGAACCCTTGACCCTATGATCATAGTCACAAACCCTTACCACTAGGCCACACCCCCCTACACAGTGCTGGGCAGTTATTTATTCATTATTTTTTTTTGAAGGGGGGACATGGTAAGGGACCATTGGGTTAATCCATGTAGCAATGCAACATTAACAATCAAGCAATGTGATTGACTGTTTTCTGTTTCAGATATCAATGAATGTCTGAGCAACCCATGTAAGAATGGTGGTTCTTGCACGGACGAGATCGCCGGCTACATTTGTGCCTGCCAGTCTGGCTATATGAGCTTTGACTGCAGCATTGGTACGTGAATGAATAAAATATTAAAGAAAATTTGCGTGTGAAATAAAAATCATTGATTGCAGTGGTGTTGGATGTGTTATCATGAATTCCGTACCCATGTTGTAGTATATTCTCTGCAGTTAAAGAAATTTAAAATTGTCCAGCAGCTGCAAAAATGTAAGCACCAGGTTTTGGTTTCGTTTAAGGGGTCAGTCATAATTATCAAGATTTACGCTGGTGCGATTCATGTATGCTTTCAAAATTTTGTGAAATTGTGATCAGTATTTTCGGTTCAGAATTTTTGGTAAGGAGCTTTCAGAAGATCTTTCATTTGTAAAACTGGTACTATGGCGACCATTCTGACCAGCTTGCAATTTATGGGTGCAGCCATAATTTGATTGTCATTCGCGCCGAAGACAAAATACGCGACGCAATCTTTTTCAGCCGCCACTTTCTGTAGCCATATTGCATATGCGTGCGGGTACGGCAAGCGCAACTTACATGCATAGCCTATATTCGAGACCCTAATATTCCATAACTAATCTTGGCACTGTGAACAAATTGTTCATTCCAAGATATCTTTGAAAATTAACATTTTGAAAGTACTCTTGGGGGGGGGGGGGGAGTAGGTCTGCTAAAAGTAGAACATTGTGTACGCTTTTATAAATGTTGAGAATTATGGATGACGACTAGCTAGCTTTGAAAAAAATGAAAAGTTCAGTCATATGTAGGACAACCAGATCTCAAAGGTGACTTTTAAATAATTATGTGTTAGTAATATCTACCATGTCTATGTTAATGTGCCTTGAGCTACACGCAGAGAAAGGACACAGATTTCATCTGACAGTCAACCGTTTTGAAAGAATATGTATTTTATCAACCCTTATTTATTACAGATATCAATGAATGTGACAGCGATCCATGTCAGAATGCGGGCATCTGCTCCAATGGCATTGACCAGTACAAATGCATCTGCAAGACGGGATACTCGGGCACCAACTGTGAAATCAGTAAGTTAGGACACCCTTACATCAGGGTTCCTAGACATTCTGGAAATCAGGGAAAACCTGAAAACGAGTTTCCATTTTTCCAGTCAGGGAAAAACTCTGAAAATGTGGGGAAAAAAGACCCCCAAATCAGGGACACTCAGAAGACAGTGACCCAGAATGGGAAGATTTTTGCCAGTTTTGCATATGTGCACCGTGTGCCATGTGGCCAAGTTTAGTCCATTGACTGGCTGGCTATGTTGACGTTTTAGTACACCACTCCAGACAAAAATAAAACTTGGCTGTGCTACATCTACCTCTAACTATTGATTTTACGGAGGTCAAGTGTCCGGTGGAAAAAAAGGGTCTACATTTTAACATTGATTTGCTGATGAAACACCCCCCCCCCCACAAAAATTCCTGGATCCGCCCCTGGGGACCAGTAAAGGCTTTTTCCACGAGTCGGCCATATTAAATTGAAAGCGAGGTAAAATCATCATTTTTGGAAATTGCGAATAGAAATGAAAGCAATGAAATACAAGTTCATTACAAAGTAATACCAGTCTGCTCCGCTGAATAATTTAAAATTTGTGACTAAACATACCCTATAATTTAAGACACATTTGAAAAAAAAATATTAAAGTGAGGCTTGGAATGCATAAATAGTCTGGCACCATCCCATTCAACAGTTTACAATTTATAAAATACATTCAGGGAACACGATCCAAAATGGCTTCCTCGTGCATAAGGCTTGCCTTGTCTTCTTTTGACAGTCTTGAGTTTTTGTTCGAAATCAAATTTTTTATTTTATGATTTGCAAATGAAAAACATAGGTGAACTTTTTCCAGAAACCATCAAACTGGTTCTTTTGAAAATCAACACATCTGCAAAGAAGAGATATAAATCCCTAACAATTTCACCAATGGCTTTTCTGTTTTTTTACCCCACAGAACCTGATGATAACCCCCAGCTACCAAATGAAGGCGGCCTGGACGGTTTGCCCTTAGAACCCTGGTGGATCGGCGTCATCGCCGCCTTGCTGGTACTCATCATCATCTTCATTGTCATTCTCATCTGCACTTACCAACGCACCAAAAAACCCCGGGAGGTGGTCTACACGAAAACCGCGCCGCCGCCCAAATCCAAATTTATCTCGCCGTATAAGAGGTAAAAACCTCATGTAAGCAGTCCGTGGTTTATAAATAGAAAGAGAACATTTAAAATGTATTTCTGGTATTAACACCAATCACTCTGGACAGTGACTAGATAGCATTGCGAATTGTTTTTTTTTACTATTTTAAACAGTTCATGTCAGGTATAGAATGAGTGAAACATTATTGCACAATAGACAGATTTATCTGTTTAGATACTGTTAGCCAGACTTGTTTGCCAGAAACACCATCTTTGTTCGAGGTACATGTTTATGTATGCCAAGATATTACTGATTAACATTGAGATCGGATAAGCTGATGTGATGGCTTACTCAGGACAATTTGACATGAAACTCACGACATTCGTATACATGTATTCTGAAAATTTTGAAATATTGTAGCCGTGAGTATTAGTACGCAGGGATAGACTTATAAATATTAACCTACAGATATTTTGTTTGTATTTCAAGAACTTTTTATATTCAGTTTCGAGAGAATTTTTTTCAAATAGTGTTATGTGTTTGTTGTTGTACCCTAGTTTAAACGTGTACCTTCGTATTTTGAGGATTTTTAATATTTTGAATATTGCTGTGGAAAATTTTATACCATTGAAAAATGTAATCAGAATAAGATAATTACTTACTTTGTTCTGATGTTGTAGTTCATAAAAAGAGTATTTCCATGTAATAAAAACCATATTTTTTATAACTTGTTAGGATACTTTGTACATAATACAGAAATATTGAGGTTATTGGAAAACTGTTTCGTAGTTTTGCAAAGAGGCTGTTAAGAAGTTTTGGATTAAAAAAAATAAAGTCATGTCACATTTATAAGTGTTACCTAAAACAACGTGAATCTTAGCAATCAAATCGATTCTTTGCAGTCGGAAAATCAATTTGTATGTTAAATTTTCAAAAAATTCACAGTTCATATGAATTTTCATTTTTTGTTATTCGGTGTGGATTTTAACGTATTACTTTGATCTGTATTTGTTATTTTTATATGCCCTTCACTACTATTTTGTCTTTCCAGGTATGCAATTAATACTTATTTTAATCCTTTTTAAATTCTTCAGAATTCTTCCGTGTTAAACTTATTTTTGCATCCCTTTAAAGAATTTTGGGGGACATTTACATATACCAGTCCTAAATTCTGTTTGACCATACCTCCATATATACTCGTATTTGTGTTAAAGCTTTTCAAACTACTTGTGTTTCCCAAGTATTTGCCGGAATAGTAAAAATAATATCTTCTTGTGTCTCCATTATTTTATGTGATTTCGTTAAACTTCATGTATATAGACACTTTCACATGTCCAAACTAAAACATAACTCGGATTCATAAAAAGGAATTAATGAAAGTGTTAAAAGTTTTAAAAGGTTTTAAATTCATCCTCATTCCTAGTGTACACAACAAATTGATAAAAACCCATCAGTTATTGTCATTTTCACTAGCACAGTTCTTGTGATTGCTGTAAAGAAGGAATGTAGTGAAACAAATACATGTACATGACAGTGCTGATATAAACCTGAAATTTGCATACTGGCTCTTTTTATTTGCATACTGGCTCTTTCTTAATTTGCATTTAATGGATATTCATGTCAGAATGCTTTATGGGTAATTTGTTTCGCAATGTGTTAGCCTAAGGTTTATATATAAGGTCCGAACACAATTTCATCAAGAGCCAGTTAGCTCAGTAGGACGAGCCCCAGGACTCGAGCCCGGAAGGTTCCGGGTTAAGGTCCTGGGTCCGTCCTGAGGAGCTTTTAGACTTTTTTAAAATATATACTAAGTTTTCTGACAAAATTGTGCATGGGTGGGTGTTGAACCGGGGACCTTTGGGTAGGTAGCCCTATGCTCTAACCACTACACTTCCGGGTTTTTCTTGCTAGAGTGAGGATTCTAATAATTAAAACCCTTAGGTTGTTCTGACTTAATCTCCAGAGAGAGTTGGAAGCTGAGGGGTAGAGGCCTTGGGGATTGGGTAGGAATTTGGGACTTGGTTTTCGCTGATCAACTCACTCGGGGATTTACTAGCTGGATGGTCGATACTTGTACTTTATACTTATACTATTTATCAATCATGTTCTGAGGGAAGTATTAGCTTGTACTTAGCTGGGAATTGAGTGTTAATTTTTCAAGTCGTTTCTTTTAAGTGCTTCCAAGTCTGTATATCTGCTTCTTCATAATGTGAAATTTAGGAAGAGATGTTAAAGACAGGCACATACAAATGACAAGTGATACGATGATAACATGTTTTATTTGTCATACCATGGTTTGGGATTTATTTCTGCATTTGCTTAAAAAAAACCAGCAGTACACATATATACAAATATGGGTTCAGTTAATATTCAAGCTTACAATGCATTTCAATGGGATGTAACGATTTCTGTTAACAATTTTAGTTTCACATGACTGTAAAAGTAAATTACATATCTTGGTAGTTTGTTTAATTTAAAAAAAAATATAATCAGTTATGAATTAATGATCATTATTTTTCCTTCATGGTGTCGGGCAACAAAAAGACAGGTGCTACAAAAATACACCGGATTTTCATACATTTTTTCTCTCTAAAGTCTTCTCCAACTGTTTTTTTAATTTAAAACAATACTCAGAATATAGAGTGAAGTGCCTATAAAGTAAAGTTATCTTTTGAAAGCTTAAAAACTTCTTTTTTTTAAAGAACTACATTTTAGAGGAAGCAATTTATTCACATGGTTCAAACAGAAAGCAAAAGAATTTCAAAACTTGCCCCCATAAGGTTGAGATTTGTTTTGCACATTACATTTTGAGGCAGTACTGTAGTTGTGAGTGGTACCACAAATTATTGGCAAAATTCAGCATTAGGCATAATACCTTTAACATTTGCCAACCATTATATTACTGGTAATGTATGTAGAACACATACCATGTACATGTATGCGGGGATATAGAATTTGTGACGATAAGCAAACTTATAATAATATTGAAGTGTCATTATGCAGTATTAATACCATTTAGCATAAAATAATACATCTTATATCATTCATAATTAATCGTTTGCAGAACTGAAAGACTATACAGGAATGATTATGAACCACCAATAAATCAGTTTGATAGACAATTCTGGGAAAAATGCACGTTTACATTGTACTTGCTGTTTCATTATTTAAGGCACTCTTTAGGCTATTTCCAAATACATCCATTTCCACATTACCTCCATTGCAGTAGGCAAGTGTTTGGTTAGCAAGCACGTCCTGCGTTGTGAACTAGACAGTACACATTTTTTCTCACAGTTTTTGCCACCCATCATAGATTTAAAGGCTTGCCCACAACCTACTGCGCACGGCGCTACATGATCTTTGCCTACAACAATGGCGACGCTGATATTCCGGTACCTGGATGTAGGCCGGGTCACATGGTCAGTGTTAGAGCCCTATTATCCTCACCTACACACACTTTTATCCCCTTTATTAATACAGAAAACTTATGACAAAAGATATTTCAGATTTTTTTGGCTCATATATTCCTGTGTGTTACTCTTGTTTATACCACAGCGGGAAATAATCTGTGTCAAATTCACTGCAAAACTATTGTACTACTCAGGCATGCCACAGGGAAATAAACAAAAGAAGAAAATTCTGAGCTTTAACCCTTCCTCTCTCGGTGACAATCTGTAGAGAGTTACCCTATACTGGTACATCAAACATTTTCAGGTGACAGGTTTTAACAGGTCTGCAAACTTGCACCATATTGGTACAAGTGACAGGCTGTGGTAGTTTTGTAAACTGAGGGTACCATGCCTTGATTGACATTGATAGATGCATAGCTGCCAACTAGTACGATTTTTTCGTAATTATTACGAATTTTTTGTTAAATTACGAAAATACGATTTGCCACTAAAACACTATGAATTTCCCATTTTCTACCTAACAAAAAAAAAATACTTGTAAAGTATCGTTTTTGACCGAAAAATTCTTGCGAAATGTCGCGATAATGGATGGACTGGTGACAAGTCTAATAAGAATGCAGTCAAGCACCTGATAGACATCAGGGCAGTGTGCGCAGTGGAGTACTTGAGGACCAGACTAAAAATATTTTTCAATGGTGTGTCATTTGTGTGCATCTCGTGGATGTGTGGTTGTGTGTACTGTATGTGAGTACTTTTCAGTGACGATCGTGAGCACATTTAGTCGCTTATTGCCGGGATGAGACCCATCAGTTCAAGATTTTAATCATGGAATTTAATAAGAGTATGGTTGGCATAATTGGTAATAGAGTTTGAGTTTGTCACAACGGACAGAAAAGATAAATCAGCATGCGTTTGCAAGGTATGCTGGCGGCATATTTATATTGCATACGGTCATGACGGTGGCCCTAAATCATTGTGTGTAAAAACATGATACGAACTCGAAACTCCACATCGAAAGCATGCATCTCCAAAAAAAATATGCGCACATGTTATTGTTGTTATTATTTATTTGACTTCAACAAACAAATACAGACATTAAAACAAAATTAATTTAAAAAAAAAATTTAAATTTTTTTTTTTTTTTTAAATTTTGTTTGAATTATCTTTTGGCCTACAGTAAATTATTATTCACAACAAGAATGGTATGCACATGTATGTGTACATGTAAACCATGTACCTGTACTCGATGTTGGTAAAGCTTCTGATAAAACGAGAAGTTGAAAATGACCGCGCGGGTTGATTACCAATTGGGATTTTGAAAAGTTGGCAGCTATGTAGATGTGGTGGGTCAGCACTGGTGAGTGCCTGTCAATGATAGGTTTAGCTCAGTAACAATGAAGGCACAAAAGGTTCACTCATGCATTCCAGCCAAACAAAGCCATCGCCCTTTAAAATGGCTGCTACACAAGCTGTGCCAGTATTGGGGACCCTATCTATCAAACCACTTCAGACTTCAACAGGCTTTGACAGTTATACGGTTTGATCCATAGGGGTTTCTGGTAGTTGGTGACTATTGAGGGAGGTAAGGGGTAAGGTTTTTGACAGTTTGTGATAGTTAAAAGTACCAATATAGGAGGGTTAATGGTATTTCTACAGTGTTTCTTCATTTCAAGGGCAAACAAATTTAAAGCGAAAAAAAAACAAGGACAAGTTGAATGATTTACTATGCTGCCTTTCCGAAAATCCATTGTCACATGTTTTTGCTTCTTGAACATTCGCTTGGGAGTATGGGGATGGGGAGGGGACTCACGTTTTAGGACTTGTGAAGTTTCGGGTGTTCGATTGCTTTTGTTTTGTCACACGTGAAAGACACTGTAATGGCGTATCGGGTTCCCTTGGTGATGCGTTCCACGTAGTGGGGATTCTCTGAGCCAGATGTGAAGAAAGATAATCTCCCTGACCAAAAATAAATTATATAACAAATTAAAATCTTGGCTCCAAGTTCAAGACACCCGGCAACACCTTAACTCTTTTGTTTTGGTGGCATATTTTTTTTCTGCAACCAATTTAAGTCACCGACCACAACTAGCATGAGTCAATTAATGGTTCTTTGACTTACAAATCCTCCATTCAATCTTGGCGAATGGCTAGCGCCCTCTATGGCATATTGCATACGTAGTAATGCTTTAGTAAAATCAGCCCATGCTTCTGTGGGTGTGGGGATTTTTCACCATGGGGGGGGGGGGTATGCATGGAGAATGTGCAAATCCATTGTACTTACCAAGTTTCGGTTCTACTGTCATGTTGGAACCTTTGTCCGTGAAAATGAAGCGACCGCCTTCAAAATCCTTCTGATAGTCAGCCAGGTAGAGTAAAGACGTGTAGTCAAACGTCTCATAGGTCTCCTGAGAATTCAAAGATACACAATGGTTAAATAGGCCATGAACAACCTAGAAATTAGCATAAATGAAAGGCAGATACATTTTTGGGTCGACATACACTTTTTGACCATTTTCGTTTTGAGAATTATGGTGTGCTTTTCAAAGAAGTCAAGGTTTGCCTTAAAAATTGTCTGCACTTCAGGGCACGTTCTATTTATATACAGTTGTAACTGAGTCAGTCACAAGTGATCACAAGTGATCACAAGTCATCATAAGTCATCCAGTCTCAAATCATGTCGTAAGCTATTCATTAGGCCAACAAAATAATAGTTCTGCTTCCAGTTTCCCTACCTACCCTATTCTGACAGCCCCTACCCTAATTTTTTTTATTGGAAAAATGAGAAAAAACACCCCAAACCATCACTTTATACCTTTTACCCTTGACTACACGCAGACGCCTCCATATGATCGTACACCAAAAAATTGGCAAAAAAAAAAATTCCCTACCTACCTACCCTATTTTCGCGTGCCATATAATCGGGAGCAGAACAATTTTTTTTGGCCTTAGTTATCTACCATTGTGCATCCCCTGTTTACTTGTCATGTGAATGAAGTTAAGAATTGACCTGTGACTTGACTTGTGATTGACTTGACATTGTCTCAATTAAAACATTGCATTTTTGACATCAGAGGTTTTATTTCGGCACTACCTCCATACCTTATCCACATGGACATGCCAGTATTCATCGTGTATAGTCTTAGCCGGTTTGTTGGTCATCCTTGAGAAGAATGTAGGATGGGTTAGGTGCAGCTTGTCAAGCCGGATACCAAACTCTTTGGCTATGGCTCGCTTGATCTTTTTGGCAACAGTGCTGAAAATAAAAACATTGACAGTGTAACTTCTGGGTCACAATCTGAATTTCAATAATTTTCAAGTGCAAAATTATTTTTAATAAATTATTTTATAAAATGATACCCTTACTCTATAGGAATTTTTGTGGGGATCTTCACCCCCCCCCCTCCCAAATTCACCACTTTGAAGGAACCAGTGGCATTTTCTTTGAACCTGGCATAGTCTTTGATGAATATTTAACATTGGGCCTTGAGATTTTACATAATGCCTCATTTTCTCAATTTGAGATGTACAAACTATGACGAATTTAGTTTAACACATCATTTGATTTTGGAGGAGTAAGAGTTTCCAACAAACTTGAGTCATCAGAAATACTGAAAAAAATATGTTAGTAATGTCACACCAATACGTTAACATCTTTTGGATTTAAAAGAAATTCTTGTTTTTAAGTTCAGGAATTCTGTGATTTTAAAAATGCATCATACTTCCCAGCCCCTAAACGTTTTAACTTTTGGACTGAATATCGAGATGCAAAATCTTCCCACATGTATGGAGAAAAAAAATGGATTCACATGTATTGAGTAATAGTGGCAACATTTGTCCTAGTTAGCTTGGTGTTTGTCAGTTTTGGAGTTATTGAAAAAAGAGACGAAAAATCAGTAAAAAAAACCCAACTTTTGAACTGTGCCATATTAGAAAACTCTGAAAGTGGGAATAGCCTGTGAAACATTTCCTGACAAAATTACACAATGCTCACCTGTACAGCTTGAAGTCACCTTCATGAAACACACTGCCTAATTCTCCTTTTTCTAAATATCTGAATCAACAAAAACAAAAAGAAGTAAAAGCAAGTGCAAATACTTAATCTGTTGTTTTTAAGAAAGTTACCAAATTATAGTTGCAACTTGATTCACCAGAAAGCTTGACCCACCTAGCAAAGACTTCATCAGATGACAATTTGTATGACCATCTATGACTGGACACCAAACAAAGTCGAGTAGAGAGATAAAGATATAGAAGTCAAGCTTGACGCTTCCATTTAATGTAAATGTAACCACTAGCAAACTATGGTTTGTCAAAATTTCTTGTTTTATTGCTAATTTTTAAGCTTTGGCTGGAGCTTCTACATGTCATTTTGTGGTTGGTCGGTCGGTTTGTCCCCGGAAAATTGACCAAAAACGAGCCCCATAAGTTTCCCATAAAATACCAAATTTTACTTCTTGCATATAAAGCAAACAAAATGATTGAAATACTTCAAAAACCTTGTTTGTAACAATTTGTGAAGTTGTGACGACATTTTGTAAATGAAGGCAAGATATGTGCAGTAATGTTATAGTCACGTGGCATACAGCGTGGTATACAGCGCACATAATATTTTATGGGAGACTCAGGGGGCTTATTTTGGTCAATTTTCAGGGACAGATTAGGGCAGCGTGATTTTTGCGTGGGAGGCGTTGATGGTGTGTGGGACAGTGCGTGGGACAACCCGTGGGATGCTGCGGCCCAGGCTTGTACGCGCAATCTCCGGTCAACATTCTAGACTTTCGTGGAAGATGGCCAGAGCTTATCGTGCACTGGCACTTGTTACATTTAAATCTCACCTTTACAAAGCTAGCCACATAATACCAATGCCAGTGAAACTACATGTATTTTAAACACAGTGCATCTCCTGTGTTGTGTCTCATGATTATTTGAAACATGCAGGTTACATTAAAGTGACAACATTTCATTAACTTCTGAACAAAAACAGCCAACATGCACTTACTTGTAAATATTTATAAATGAATCACCTTTTGAAAGCGCACCAGAATGAAGATCGAGAATTGAGGCCTGAAAATAAAAATTGAAGAAATCAATTCAATTCAATTCAATTCAATCCACTTCTTTTTTTTAAAAGACGGGCCTTCAAAAGGACTTTATTGAATACTTTTTACTGTTAAACTGAGGTTTTATCGCTGGTGATGATTGAAGACAATTGTAGCAACAATTCTTGAAATCGCATTCTTGGACGAAACAAAGTTTAGGGTCATTTCGTTAAAATGGTGATATTATTTTAACGGTTTAAGCAATTGAAGAAATTTGTTGATTTAAAAGTAGCTTATTAAATTGGCTTACCAGTCATAATTATTTTGGGTGCTACATATTTTTAAATATTTCTTTGGGTTTGGGTTTCGCTTTTTTTTAACCCACCCTGTATTCCACTTAACAAAGACCAGATCTGCACAGATTACAATTTCCATTTCATGAATAAAAATAAAACATAACTTAACGTCTTCACATTTTTCAAAAATTTGACACTATGGGATAAAATATGATTAATGAGAAACTCACCCCTCCATTGGAACCTCCAAGACTTATTCCGTTTTTGGCAAGTCTGAAATATAAAATAATTTATTTTGTTATCAAACATATAAACATTCAACCATTTCAACCATTTCAGAAAGTATATTTGATTCTCAGTCAAAATGAATCTATTAGGCCAAAAAAAAATATTTACTTCCGATAACATGGCATTTGAAAATAGGGTAGGTAGGTAGAAGTTTTTTTGTGGAGGACTTGTAGATAAGATACCACAATAAATTGTGTGATCTTGCAACAACTTATGGCACAATGTCCTTCTTGCCTTCAATACTGAGTACATAGGAACATGGTGGAAGTACACACACAGCATTACAATGTGAAAGTGTTCAAAGGGGATGGACACCACTGCAAAAAATGTATGTTTGCCGCTTCAAATTCAAGGAACTACAATACAATAAATCTGATCTGAACTTTCATTTCAATGTGAAAATGTGTCTTCCTTTTTCCCTCGAAGCAAAGCACAGTTTTCATTGAAAGCCCTCACTTCCAAGATGTGCTCTTGTTGTATAATCCCTGGTTTGTAGCTCGGGGAAAAATACTTCTCATTCACAGATGCATGTACTAGTGTAACCAATTGCAAACTAAACAGAATTCGATCTATTGGGGACAGTATTTGAAAACACAAGCCATGGAGAAAATGATAATTCTTCTTTTCCTGAAGATGACAGCGTACTAGGCGCACTGATTTCACAGGATGCACGATCCTATTATTTACTTACAATCAACAAGTATATTTCATAATTTTTGGCAGTTTCGTTTTTGAATATTTGCAAATGGTGTCCATTAACATGAAACATGGAATTATCAGCAAGTGCCATTTCTAAAACCCTGGCACCATTTCCAACTTTATCTTGGGCTTCATTCTCATGAGTTGAGGATCCTGATTTTGGCTCGATTTCCTTAAGCAGGGAGCCAAAGCTGATGATGGTAGACGAGGTTTGATAAATGACCCTTGATGATTGCTTACGTACTCTAAAAGATGCCTGGCTTCACTCTTTGATATAAGGCCATCCATGACCACCCTCCCACACTGGGTAGGTGCACATCCTGTGGGGGAAAAACGCAACCCAAAAAACCCTCAAAACTTCAATGTCAATAAAACAAAAAGATGTCCCAACTGCGCATGTTCATAACAAGATTTGACGATTTGTGACCCACTCTACAAAAAAGGGTATTAAGTCGCGCTGTGCACTATTGTGTAATGGCCCACTCAATGAGTGGGTGAAAATTTCGTCAAAATGAGATTTTCATTTTTTGTCATGATTGACATCTTTAATACTTAAAGTTTCAAGTTTTATTCACAGAAATATTGATTTCGATGAATAAAGTGGAAAAACAACCATTTTGAGTGCATTGTTCTGTTGTTCTACAACATAGCCAGTTATTTCAAAGCCTGTTTTCTTACATGTAGTTGTGTAACTTGAACTCCAAGGAAGTATGCAAATATGTCATATCTCCAGAACGGGAGGGGCTATGGAGCTCTATTATATACTAAAAGAAAGCATACACGTAAGTTGTGGGCATGCCAACCATATATAACTCAATTTTACTTATTTGCAATATAATACCCTTTTTTGTGGAGGGGGTCACATTTGTACATGGGGATGATTATGCAGATAAATGCACACAAGTCTATGGGGGACGTGGTAACCGAATCCACATTCTGCAAGTTGTCATGCAGTAAGGGGATCTAAAAGGGGGGGGGGGTTTCTTCCTTCTGTTCAGCCACTATGCTATACATGTACAGTCGAATCTCGTTAGTACAAACTCTGTTAATACAAAATTCTGGTTATAACAAACATAAAGCCTTAGTCCCGACTGTGCATTTATGTGCACAATGAATGGGACTGATGTTCCTCTTAATACAAAATTCTGATATAACAGACAATTTGGCTAGGTCCGAACGAGTTTGTATTAACGAGACTCGACTGTACATACATGTATATGTATTTATTGACCTAACCTTTCTCAATCTTCCGAAATCCTCATGGCAATTTTGGAGGATTTTGGAAGATTGAGGATGAATGGTGTTTGAGAAACATAATTAGGAGTTTGGAGGATTGATGATGAATGGTGTTTTAGCACATGAGGATTTTGGAGGATTGAGGATGAACGGTGTTATAGAAACATGAGGATTTTGGAGGATTAAAGATGAATGGTGTTTTAGCACATGAGGATTTTGGAGGATTGAGGATGAATGGTGTTCGAAGATGAAGAGGATTTTTGAGGATTAAGGATAAATGCATTTTTTTGAGGCAGGACTGTCTGACAAATTGAAGGATTGAGGCGCTGGGTATCGTTCATTTGAACATAAGGTCAACATTTTTTATAGGATTTGGGAGGATTGAGGATGGATCCTAGCTAAAAGGCCCTGGGGGTAAGGGTTTAATACATGTACCGGTACCTTTAAATTTCTTGAGGTCGGACTGGAAATCTGAAGAACAGGTGACGTTGAAACGTCTCAAAGGCACATCTTCGTTCTGCTTTGCCAAGGACTGGAGACCAGCATCAACAGAGTACCAGTGAGCCAGACCGAGGAACAGGAATATGGCTGCCATACGAAGCGCCAAGGACCGGACGGTGACTCTGTGTCGAGGCAGATCCTCATCACTGGGAAAGGAATAGCAATGACAAAGACAATTTACATTACATACTATCGCCATGTACAATGTACATGTTATGATATACATGTACATGTATATTGGTCTTGTCATGTGTTGTGTATTTTTGAAGTTATTGGATGTATACATATTTTTAATTGTACACTGGGAAATGAAGTTTCATGTAATTTTGAGCATGACAATAAAGAAATCTAATCTAATCTAATCAAATGTACAGTTCTAGTACTCGGACTAGTGATTGACCAAATGTGTATCATCCAGCGGTGATTGTGTACTTATGGACCTGTTCATATAAAGAGAACAAAAATCCACTTTTAGGTTTAATATTGGACTCATGGTGCCCTTCACATAATTTCAGTGGCTTCTTCAGAAAAACCGTGCAGTGCCGCTGTACTGCATGGCTGTGTTGTGGTTATTGTGTGCTTGTGCCGATTGGCCAATCAGATTATTCCTCGAATAATCTAGGAATAATCTGATTGGCTGATCGGCAGAAGCACACATGCACAACCAGCACAACTCAGCCATGACAGTACGGCGGCACTGGAGGGTTTTTCTGAAGAAGCTACCAAAATCATCAATATTTTTCATATTTTAGTAACTTTGTTCTGTTTCAAGTCGATGAGTGCAAACTAATAATGGAATCTACATGTAGTAGAAGCACACTCACCCTCTTTAACGTACTTAAAGCATTAGAAAATTATTCCCCCCTTTTTCAGACGTCCTATATTTCGTGTAATTTCCAGGTTCATTTTGCACACGTTAGCGTATCTAAATTCCAACACGAAATTACACGAAAAATAGACGTCTGAAAAAGGGGGGAATAATTTTCTATCGCTTTATAGAGGGTGAGTGTGCTTCTAAAGCATAAATAAAATACAACGTCTAAATGTGAAAATAAAAACTTGACAAAGTTCTACATATTCGGGTACATGTTCCAAGTGTGGCATTTATTTATGGAGGTAGTCCAGTAAATTGGCCACATTTATGGAGCTAGTTTCACAAATCACAGGTAAGAACTTGGCCGATTTTTCTTTCAAAAATATTAGGGCCTAGGCCTATATAATATAGTGGTGTTCCCTAACGTGGCGTACTTCGACATTTACCCCGACTTTCCACATCAGTGTTGCCAAACTTCTTTGTTGACAAACTTTAAATTCATTCAGTGAAATACTGGTACTTTTACCTTATTAATACTTGCTATTTAACCTCTGTGAACAATTTCGGTTTCATGAAATTTAATCCGAAATTCAACAACGGTGGCGTCCGGAAATTTTGCACAAATAGGCTGAGTGTTCCCCAACATGGGGCACTTGAATAAATCTCAGAAAATTCCAAATTAACATTTAAGAATTTCTGTAAAGTTGATAAACAATTTTGATAAACAATTATTATCTCTACTTACATACCCAACTAGAAGTTTGTCAGAAAATTATTTTCAATTTTTTCGGGACATTTTCAAAGGGTTCACTGTGCACTTGGAAAATCACGCCAAAATAACCCTTTCTGCTAACTTTGTAAAAGGGTGGATAAACCCTTGATTTAAAAATGGGAGTGCTTAGAACTTGATGAAATTTCACAAAACAAAGTTAAAACTTTGGCTTAACCCTTACCCTACTTGACCCTCCAATGCATGCCAATTGTGCCTCAAGAAAATCTCCTATGTTTTTTGCATGGCCCTCCAATATCTGCCATGTCATTTCAAGGGTAACTGGACAGGCACTCCAATACATGCCACAGAGAACAATGAGAGTCCTCTGATAACAAAGTGAGTGCCCCCAGCTGGTCAGTATCAGGCACCCTCCAGGGCCTCCAACTCCTGCCAATTGGAGCCTTCACTGTTAAGACTTGTTATCTGCCAAATAACTGCAGCTGGAGGGCATTGGCATAACCAACTGACATGCAGTAAACTACCCTCAGAGAGTAAGGGTTAAGCTACATGTAGGCGCTACAGGCGAAAAATCAAAGTGCGCCACGTTGGGGCCGCGGCCACGTTAGGGTATCCTTGTGTGACCGTTTTTCGCGCACTTAGTACTTTGACCGATTTTTTTCTTGCATAAACTAAATCCTACACAGTTATAGACTTTAATCTTGTGAGAATGACTAATAAACAACATGGAAAAATAATTTGAACAATATCGAACGTCAAGGAAGCACCAAGAACGTCATCATCTGCAGATGAATTAAATTGGCTGCCAGAAAAGTTTTGTGACCATAATTCGCGCACGAACGGAAAACGTCATTCTATGGAGTCTCCATTGTGTCCTACCTGTACTTCTAAAAACAATGTGGATCAATGTTTGTTGAATAAAGGATAAGTTTATGTGCACAACTTTGGTCTCTAGTTTGATAAACTAACTTTTATTTGCCATCCGACATTGTTACTAAATACACGTTTGTTTAGATATGAAATGAATGAATTTCTTTCGATTTTGGTAAAAACAACTGCATGCAAAATATTTAAAATCATATCATAATTGAAAATTTGAGGTAAATAAAATAAATCCACAAATATTATAATATACTTTTGTTGAAAGTCTAAGAAGCTTAGTTAAATCCTATACATGGAAAGAGTTCCGAGAACTTTTGTTTTGCTGAAAATCAACCATGTGCCAATTACATAACATTTTACAAATGTATACAGATTCTCCCAAAATAAACAATTGCAATATAACTTATATGGAGCAGAAACATGGACATTGACGAAAGATTCAATCAACCGACTCGAAGCATTCGAAATGTGGACATACAGAAGAATGCTGAGCATCCCCTGGATAGTTAAAATGACCAACAAACAAGTCCTTCAAATAGCACTGACAAAGAAATCCCTCATAAAAACAGTAAAATACAGGAAGACAAACTACTTTGGACACATGATGAGAAACCAAATGCTGCAGAAGACTCTTTTGGAAGGCAAAATAGAGGGGAAAAGACCAAGAGGAAGAAGAAGAACATCGTGGTTTGATAATGTGAGAGACTGGACTGGCCTTAGCTACATGGAATGTGCAAGGGCATCTCAGGACAGAGACAGATGGAAATCCATTGCAGCCAACCTTCTGCGAGAAGACGGCACCTGATTGATTGAATATAACTTTAATATGCCGTGGCTATATTTTTAAGTACATGGACAAATATATTTGAAATGACCCCTCCATCAAAAACATTTAACAAAATCACCCTTTTGTAACGATGTTCTCCGGCATTTATTGCTCATTCTAATAGGCCTACACCTGCGATCAATCAATCAATTATACAGGCACGCACGCCTGCACGCAGTCGACCATACCGTGGCCGATCATGCCACCTCGACACATGGTTGCATGATACACATCATTTCAATAAAAACAAAAAATAGGTATTGGCCTACTTTTTGGGTACTTTAAACATTACGATTAGGTCTTATTCCGACAGAAATATATTTTAAGGCATATATTCATTCTAACAAACAACTCGGTACCAAAATCTGCATCTCGGCGAAACAGATTGTAAAATAGAAACGCGACATAAGGCGCACGTTGTATTTCGTGCTCCGTAATTCTGATGAAAGTTGACCGAAGTTGTCTTTCAAGTTTCGGGGTTGGACGGCGACACTGATTGGAAATTCGTAGCGATATTTTATTAGTTTTCTGGGCTATTCATATTCAATAACTTCTCGGAAAAGCTTTTGATTTCCACATAACTGCATCAAGAAGAAAGGCGATGTGACGATGGATCATCGACGGTGATATGACGTTGGGCCGTGTTGTGTGAAAAAAGATACGAGCCGAAAAAGTTGGTTGCGCGAACATTGGGCAGCGTGAATTTGGGGCACCGGACGATACATCATTACAATAATACTGTTCTAAATTTTAAAAAGATAGTGGATATTTTGCCGGACGTAACTCCGGCAAACTAACGTTTACTAAAGGTTTGCTGGCGGCAATCCATATCAACAGAGGGCGCTGTACTCTTTAAGATAGGGCTGAATTATAACATGTATTAAATTCCCATCAAAGTTGTGTAGCACAATCAGTGCAGTGGTTAAGCAATTGCTCTAGTGAGTGGGATGTCCCGAGTTCGAATCCTGATCTCTGCCACATTTTTAAGGTTTTTTTTCCCATCCCCAAATTCTTTTATTATTTTAATATGTCTCAAACATTTTATTGCAGAGTACTAGTACTTTTTCTTTTTCAGATTTGTGGCTCTGGAGGATTTTTTTTAAAGGGAAATAAAGTCCGAAATTATAAAATGGTCTGATTCCCATCTTGTAAATACAAAGTTACAACGATAATATTGGCATGGAGCCACACTAAAATTTGTCACGGGAAAATGTTTAAGTACAAAAAAACAGTAACTGCGCATGTTCAGTGCATATCCGGCAAACTAACGTTTACTGAAGGTTTGCCGTCTCCGGCAAAATATCCACTGCCTTTTAAAAAAGAAAATTAGGGTCAGCAGAGAACGAGGACCTGAGGTTGGAGAGTTTGGGGAGCGACAAAACTTTTTTAAGGAATAAAAAAAAAAAAAACCAGAGGCGTCCTCAGGTCCTCAACTACACAAACCTACACAGTCTCGCGTATTTACTTCTCACGAAATAAGTGCAACGCAAAGCAAACGAAACTAGACAGTCTTACAATCCAAGTCTTACAAATGTTGTTACGTACCGTTAAACTCAAGTTGACCTATGCGAAATCCTTGCCACAAGCTTACCTGGTTGCTTCTTTCTTTTCTGCACGCTTACTTTTGGCTCTGGATTCCCCTGCATCATTGGTTTCCGAGGAGGTTGGTTTTCTCTTTCTTGGTGCCATGATTGAAAAAAAAATTACCCCCTCAACGGTCATAAAAGCGCAGCCTTTTCCATCATGCACCTGCCCTTTGCTTTGTTTTGCTGTCCAAAAAAGAAACTGAGTTTTGTTTATATCTTTTTCTAAACTTTAAAATGAATAAGGACAAAGGAAAAGCTTTAAATTAAATTTCAAAATGAGAAACCCCTTTTCGATTCGATTCGTATAGAGAAATACAAAAGGTTCGTTTTTTGGCCGTTACAAAAGAAAATAAAAAAGGCCCTTTTCCTTTTCTCTTCAAGAAAAAAAAGGAAAAAGATTAAACAATGACTTTTTGGTATCATTAGCCGACGCGCACCATCGTACCGGTACGTCGGTCACACGTGCTGTAAAGTTCCAGACAAATTTACAACTGTAATGAGTTTACTACTCGAACACTTGTCAAAAGGCATGCAAATGGCGTTTTAATTTCTTGGGATAAAATTCAAATGTTTTGCACTGCAGAGAAGTTGATCGTGACTTAGTGCTGTGCCCTTTGGGTGTTATCCTTTAAGTTTCATAAAGCAACGATCGTTTTAATCCGTCACCCCGCCCTGGCAAGGCCTGAGTTGGGGCAATTATTTGGGGTCCGCTCATATTAAGTCCGACGCCCCGAGATGATAGGTCCCGGACGCCTCATAAGTCCAACAAAATCACATCCCCCAACCAAATAAAGGCCCATCAGTCCGACACCTCATAGTTCCGACGCCTCATAAGCCCGACGCCTCATACTAGCTCCGACGCCTCAAAGCTCCGAATTAAATTTACTTTTATTTTCTGTCCATAAGTCCAGGGGCGGATCCAGGATTTTCAAAAAGGGGGGGGGGGCACAAAAACTTTGTGCGCGTTGCACACATAACGAGACTGAAGCGCGAAATCCCTTGCGGGCAGGGTTGAGGGCACTGGAAGCTCTACGATTTTAGATGTTCTCTCCTACATCATGAGTACTTTAAGCCATTAAGAGCAACATTCACAATGTTTATTTTTTACTTTTAATCACACTATTTTTGCCTATCAAATATAGAATTTAAAGTCACTGTTGATGTAAGTTGAAAATGAACCCCAAAATTAGAAGGTGCTGATGACAGCCCCCGGGTGAAAAAATATGAACATGTGTTATTTTGCGAGCGAGCGGAGCGAGCGAGCCAAAAAAAGTCATGTTTACTTTTAAAACATACATTTCTACCCAGAAATTTGCCTTGCAAACAAAGAAAATAAAATAAATTGAATTTCATTAGGAGACAGCCTGCCCCAAGCAGCCCCTACCCCCACCCCACCCCACGGCTGAGCAAATCAACCGGCCCAGAAAATTTCTCCGTCCCAATTCCTTTGAAAAATGTTGTATAACTTATAAGCCTGCTGAGTATTACATTACGAATAGTCTTTACAAACAAAAAGAAGAAATAAAACTTTATTTCAAAACCATCTCGGTTGTCATAAAAAAAATTGATGATATTAGCAAAATTTCCCCGTAGCGTTTAAATGTTTAGTCAAGACTTCAAAAAGACTGCCGCCTGTGTCCCAGTATAATGTGAGGTAACTGCGGTCACATATATACTTACTTTGTATATACACTTTTATACACTTTAACCACCATTTTTTTCCATGTTATTTTGAAGTCTGCAGGCTAAATAATTTAAGACGAAATGAATCGTCTGCATTCTGCAAGTGTTGTCGAATCACTTCAAGAAATGTCAAGGCCTGAGGAAAATCGTTTATTTGTATTTTTTTTTGGGGGGGGGCGCCGATTTTCTTAAAAAGAAAACAAAAAAAAACAACCTTTAATTTAACGGAAATGCAAACTGCATCAAAATTCCAAATTCCAAAATATGAAAAAGTTTGTCTGCACAAATTTCCCGAAAGTGGCAGCATTCCTGAGCTGTTATCAAAGGCCTTCAAGTTCGGTGGCCTACAGCTGAACCCAAATGTATATGCTTTGTAACGAACAAGAGTAGCATTGTATCAATTTGAACAATGCGGCTATCAATCATTCTCTGGAAAGGCTTTTCGGAGCTGAGATTTTATTTGGGCATTTTTTTTTCTCAGAGACAGGGGAAACTACGGAGCTTTTAAAGGGACATAGGTGAAAAAAAAAATTGAAAAAATCATCGTAAGAATGAAAAAAATCTGCGTTCGAACGAAAAAAAATCTGCGTTCGAACGAAAAAAATCTGCGTTCGAACGAAAAAAATCTGCGTTCGAACGAAAAAAATCTGCGTTCGAACGAAAAAAATCTGCGTTCGAACGAAAAATATCTGCGTTCGAACGAAAAAAATCTGCGTTCGAACGAAAAAAATCTGCGTTCGAACGAAAAAAATCTGCGTTCGAACGAAAAAAATCTTCGTTCGAACGAAAAAAATCTGCGTTCGAACGAAAAAAATCTGCGTTCGAACGAAAAAAATCTGCGTTCGAACGAAAAAAATCTGCGTTCGAACGAAAAAAATCTTCGTTCGAACGAAAAAAAAATCTGCGTTCGAACGAAAAAAATCTGCGTTCGAACGAAAAAAAATCTGCGTTCGAACGAAAAAAATCTGCGTTCGAACGAAAAAAAATCTGCGTTCGAACGAAAAAAATCTGCGTTCGAACGAAAAAGCTGTTTGCTGTTTGCTGTAAGCTGTTTGCCCTCCCTGTGCTGCCCCACCACTTATGTGGGTGATTTGGTCATGTTTTTTTCAGGTCCAACATGCATGACATATGTGCCCAATGTAGGTCCGTGGCCCAAGTACAGGAATTTCAATAACTGGTCTTAAAGCAGCCTATGAGCTTTCAAACGGTCTTACTAGGGCTTGCTGTTAGTTGGTCATGAAGTTTAACCATTGCAATGAAGATCTAGCTAATTGTCCTTCTTTTTTAAGAGTCCCTATCCTGTTACAATACTAGCTACAACACACACCCCCCACCCCATCAGTCCCACCCATTACGCTATGCTGAGGCAACACACTTATGAGACATTTTTAAAAGTAATTTGCCTTTTTGGTTTCTTTTTATAAAGTGAGGCAAGTTTTAAAAAAATAATTAAAAAAGGCTATATAATTATCTTTCAAATTTTTCAGGTAAAACAATATAACTGGTCGTCATTGTGATTTTCAGAAATTTGTCTATCCACAAATCCTTTACAGTATAAATTTTCATTCCTAATCCTTGTAATAGTTCCAAACTTTAGAAGCGACTGACATGTATATATTGTTTGATCATTTCTGGCTTTCAATAAGCCTATTTTACTAGTCCAACACTTGTACATGTACATGTACTTTCTGCTTCCTCACTTTCAGATACGGGATTCACTAATTAGCTGATTCCTACTCATACTCATAGCAATTGACAAACATGTCGGGCTATTCTAATAGCCATGGCTAGCCCGACATGTTTTTGGTGGCCCATGGATAACCAGTTAAATGTGGAGAAACTGTTGCACTTACAAGAGCATGATATGAGTCACATCATGATTGATACGTTTTACAAGTTTGGTACAACAGTTTTCAGGGCAAAGAATGTTTTGACCCACAAAAATCACCCACATAAGTGGTGGGGCAGCACAGGGAGGGCAAACAGCTTACAGCAAACAGCAAACAGCTTTTTCGTTCGAACGCAGATTTTTTTCGTTCGAACGCAGATTTTTTTTCGTTCGAACGAAGATTTTTTTCGTTCGAACGCAGATTTTTTTCGTTCGAACGCAGATTTTTTTCGTTCGAACGCAGATTTTTTTCGTTCGAACGCAGATTTTTTTCGTTCGAACGCAGATTTTTTTCGTTCGAACGAAGATTTTTTTCGTTCGAACGAAGATTTTTTTCGTTCGAACGCAGATTTTTTTCGTTCGAACGCAGATTTTTTTCGTTCGAACGCAGATTTTTTTCGTTCGAACGAAGATTTTTTTCGTTCGAACGCAGATTTTTTTCGTTCGAACGCAGATTTTTTTCGTTCGAACGCAGATTTTTTTCGTTCGAACGAAGATTTTTTTCGTTCGAACGCAGATTTTTTTCGTTCGAACGCAGATTTTTTTCGTTCGAACGCAGATTTTTTTCGTTCGAACGCAGATTTTTTTCGTTCGAACGAAGATTTTTTTCGTTCGAACGCAGATTTTTTTCGTTCGAACGCAGATTTTTTTCGTTCGAACGCAGATTTTTTTCGTTCGAACGCAGATTTTTTTTCGTTCGAACGCAGATTTTTTTCGTTCGAACGCAGATTTTTTTCGTTCGAACGCAGATTTTTTTCGTTCGAACGAAGATTTTTTTCGTTCGAACGCAGATTTTTTTCGTTCGAACGAAGATTTTTTTCGTTCGAACGCAGATTTTTTTCGTTCGAACGCAGATTTTTTTCGTTCGAACGCAGATTGTTTTCTTTCTAACGAAGATGTTTTCAATTTTTTTTTTCATCTATGTCCCTTTAAAAGCTCCGTAGGAAACCTTTATGCGAAAAATGTGGGAAACTGAATTGAACGTGAAATTTCACCTCCGTGTTGTGTACATGCACATAGATAAACGATTGGGGGATGATATTCCAAGTCCAAATAATTCATTAAATGTAGGGCTCCCGATGTCTTTTTTCGTAGTACGATTTTATTCTTCGCTTATTAAAAAAATAAAACTGCATGGCCTACATTATTTTTGTAAATGTTACTCTAAAATATTTCGGAATACATTTTGAAATTAAGTTTGAAGTCAAAGGGCTGTTGATAATCTTATTCGTATTCCTTTTAAAATTAGGAAAAACTAAGCATAATTCGTATTAAAATTTCCCCTGGAATCTACAAAAGAATTAACTGAGGGTTCAGAACTTAATGGGCTAGGGTGTTTGAAATCGTTTTACTTTAAAAATAAATCGAGAGAACAAGACATACTAAGTCGTATTAAAATAACCCCTATTTATTTGATTTCTCTCTATTTGAGGCAAAAGGGATGACGATTAATTCTTCGTGTATCTAAAAAATAAAATGCATGGCCTACATTATTTTGTGAAAATGTTTTACTCTAGAATATATTTTGGAATATATTTTGACGCTATTATTTGAGGGATGTTGTTAATCCTGATCATATTCATTTAAAAATAAGAAAAACCGAGCATAATTCGTATTAAATTTCCCCTGGAATCTACAAAAGAATTAACTTCGAGTACAAACTTTAACGAACTAGGTTTTTTTTAATCATTTTGCTTTAAAAAAAAAGTTTTTGTAGAGAACCAGACGTAAATCTCTCTCTGAGGCCGGGAAAAGAAAAAGAAGGGGATGGCGATTTTATTCTTCATTTATTAAAAAAAACACACAGCCTACATAATTTCGTGTACCGGTACATGTTCTACTGAAGGGTGGATCCAGAACACAATTTTGGGGTGGGCCAAAACAAATTGTTGGTCCCCCCCCCCCCAAAAAGTTTTGGTCCCCCCCAATAGTGGGTCAAAAAAATTACGGCGTGGGGTTCGGGGCCCGCTTAAGTCAGCCAATCATCGGTGGTTTGGCGACTCTTCCTTCGGCATCGAGATAGATTCAAACCCGATTAGACAAGAAACCGTAAATCATTGAACATTATTTGGCATGATGGATGAACTTATGTTGGGAGAGTGCCATGAGGGCACATGGGAAATCCCCTCTTTTGCCCCGAAAAAAGCCCACTGCAGTGTTTAGTCGACGTTTCGAACATCAACAACGTGTTCTGGTCCTCAGGAGATGTTTCATTGGTTTTCTTTCAAAGGCGGATGGAGGATAGCCCTTCTGATCAAAACATTGATATTTCATGCATAAGGCAAAAAATAAAAGTCTCCGGTTACTGGTATGGAGCTTGCCCAAAAAGTTGTGCGGCGACGCGGCTTTTTTTTTTTTTTACCTGATTTTTTTTGCTTCAAATGTCGGCTGATGACTGCAAATGGTGCCCGACTAAGTAAGTGCAAATATATGAGAGTCCATAGAGGCCACATGAAGCTTATTCTCGACCATAACACAATCTAAAAACACGTTGAAATTGTGCAGCAGCAGGATTCCAGTCAAACCAGTGAGTTTGGCGGTTTTGAGACATCATTTTTCATTGAAAAAAAAACTTTTTCATTTTACCGACGCGCATGGCTACGGCGACGCGTGCGCATACCAGAAACCGGAGACTTTTTTTTTTGGCCTAAAAAACTTAAAACCCTTTTTCCTCAAGAAAATCCTGAATCATTTTCAAGGCACGTTTTTCCTTTGTCAACAGCACGTTGTTTATATTGAAACAGCGGCACTTGACTACCGCAAAGTTCAGATGTTTTAGCCAAGAGACCGTACGTCGTTGAATGAGTGTATGGGCCAACAAATATTTTAAAAAGCCTTTTAGATTTCAAGACTTTGGACCTTTACATGGTGGAGAAACTTAAGTGGGAAGATTTGCGGTTACATTCACCGTGCAAGTTTGTGCATATCTGGAAATGTCCTGCGGCGCTTAGTCGACGTTTCGAACAACGTGTTCTGTTCCTCAGATATATTTCATTTGTTTTCTTTCCAAGAGTTGATAGAGGGTGGTCCTCCTGGTCAAAACATGGTTATTTATATATCTTAAACAAAAATTCATCTAGAAAAAATCCTGGATCATCTCCAAGGCACGTTTTTTCTTTGTCAACAGAAAAGGGGATTCAGGTTGGCGTAGCGGTACTTTCCTCGCGAGCTCGCCATCCACCGCTGTGACCCGGGTTCGAAACCCGCCGGGGCCAATATGTGGATTGGGTTTTCAGTCCCTACCTGATTCCGTGGGTTTTCCTCAGAATATGCATCTGGGCTTTTCCTCCCACCTCTAAAACTGTAATTTCTTCTCATTGTCTTCTCTCTACAGGCTTCTTCAGGCTTTCGAGCTTCAGTGCTTAGGGCACTTTTGAGGAATCCTTGGTTTCATTACCAGAAAGAAATAAAAAATAAAATAAAATGTGTATATTGATACACCGGCACTTGACTTCCCCAAAGTTCCGATGTTAAACAAGATACCGTACGTATGGTATATTTAAATAACTTTACGCCTGTGTATCCTATGTGATCATTGGTTGTGCACTTTTGGATAATTGTATCTTCACAGCTGAATTTTTTTTTAATATACCATTGGAGAACACATCACTGTTGTGATAGGCCAGGCAGTATAGCCATTTACTATTAAAGCAAATCATCTTACAATCGACGTAGCTTTTACTCACTCATGACAATGGGTATGTGAATATGAATATTAAAACACAGAAAGTAACACATTTGTTCCGAAACAAGAGAGCTTTTCCTATATAATTAGGAAAAGTTGTCCTTTCAGTCAAAATAAGTCAAGTGACTGTTTTTAGCAGTTATTAGTGCTCCCTGTCTATAGGTAATGCGGTTGTTCGGAAGAGACGAAACGCGTCGGGAAAATTCGTGCGGGAAATTTGACTGTGTGTGACTGTTTATGTAACTTGACACAGCTATGCTTTGACTGTGTGTGATTTATAAGCCAGTTGTGCATACCAGTTGCCTGTTTTATCTGTTGACTGAATTTGACTAGTACAGTGCTTGGTGGTGGTTAGCCTGTGTATAAAGGTATGGCAGGGGAACTGGATGAAATTTTTGACTGTCTGTGACTCTTCAGACAGTATGAGGTTAAACTAATACATACATAAGGTTTGATTTAATCTTCGGGGAAAAAAGATGAAAACGGCTTTGAAGTGATGAGTGAGAGGTTGGAATTCTTCCTCCCCAAGTCAGCCAATCATCGGTGGTTTGGCGACTCTTCCTTCGGCATCGAGATGGATTCGAACCCGATTAGACAAGAAACCGTAAATCATTGAACATTATTTGGCAGGATGGATGAACTTATGTTGGGAGAGTGCCATGACGGCACATGGGAAATCCCCTCTTTTGCTCCGAAAAAAGCCCACTGCAGTGTTTAGTCGACGTCGACGTTTCGAACATCAACAATGTGTTCTGGTCTTCAGGAGATGTTTCATTGGTTTTCTTTCAAAGGCGGATGGAGGATAGCATAACATTGTTATTTCATGCATAACTTAAAAACCCTTTTTCCCCAAGAAAAAAATCATGGATCATCACCAAGGCACGTTTTTCCTTTGTCAACAGAATGTTGTTTATATTGAAACAGCGGCACTTGACTACCGCAAAGTTCAGATGTTTTAGCCAAGAGACCGTACGTCGTTGAATGAGTATATGGGCCAAAAATATTTTAAAAAGCCTTTTAGATTTCAAGACTTTGGACCTTTACATGGTGGAGAAACTTAAGTTGGAAGATTGGCGGTTACACGCACCGTGCAAGTTTGTGCATATCTGGATATGACCTGCGGCGCTTAGTCGACGTTTCGAACAACGTGTTCTGTTCCTCATATATATTTCATTGGTTTTCTTTCCAAGAGTTGATAGAAGGTGGTCCTCCTGGTCAAAACATGGTTATTTATATATCTTAAACAAAAATTCATCTAGAAAAAATCCTGGATCTGACATCTCCAAGGCACGTTTTTCCTTTGTCAACAGAAAAGGGGAGTCAGGGTTGGCGTAGCGGTACTTTCCTCGCCATCCACCGCTGTGCCCCGGGTTCGAATCCCGCCGGGGCCAATATGTGGATTGGGTTTTCAGTCCCTACCTGATTCCGTGGTTTTTTCTCAGAATATTCATCTGGGCTTTTCCTCCCACCTCTAAAACTGTGATTTCTTCTCATTGTCTTCTCACTACAGGTTTCTTCAGGCTTTCGAGCTACAGTGCTTAGGGCACTTTTGAGGAATCCTTGGTTTCATTAACAGAAAGAAATAAAAAATAAAATAAAATGTGTATATTGACACAGCGGCACTTGACTTCCCCAAAGTTCAGATGTTAAACAAGATACCGTACGTATGGTATATTTAATTAACTTTACGCCTGTGTATCCTATGTGATCGCTGGTTGTGCACTTTGGACAATTGTATCTTCACAGCTGAAAATAAAATTAATATACCATTGGAGAACACATCACTGTTGTGATAGGCAGTATAGCCATTTACTATTAAAGCAAATCATCTTACAATCGACGTAGCTTTTACTCACTCATGACAATGGGTATGTGAATATGAATATTAAAACACAGAAAGTAACACATTTGTTCCGAAAAAAAGAGAGCTTTTCCTATATAATTAGGAAAAGTTGTCCTTTCAGTCAAAATAAGTCAAGTGACTGTTTTTAACGGTTATTAGTGCTCCCTGTCGATACGTAATGCGATTGTTCGGAAGAGACGAAACGCGTCGGGAAAATTCGTGCGGGAAATTTGACTGTGAGTGACTGTTTATGTAACTTGACACAGCTATGCTTTGACTGTGTGTGATTTATAAGCCAGTTGTGCCTACCAGTTGCCTGCTTTATCTGTTGACTGAATTTGACTAGTACAGTGCTTGCTTCGAATAATTATGATCTGACTGTTGGTGTGGCTAGCCTGTGTATAAAGGCATGGCAGGGGAACTGGATGAAATTTTTGACTGTCTGTGACTGTTCAAACAGTATGATGTTAAACTGATACATACATATGGTTTGATATAATCTTCGGGGGGAAAAAAGATGAAAACGGCTTTGAAGTGATGAGTGAGAGGTTGGAATTCTTCCTCCCCAATTCAGCCAATCATCGGTGGTTTGGCGACTCTTCCTTCGGCATCGAGATGGATTCGAACCTGATTAGACAAGAAACCGTAAATCATTGAACATTATTTGGCATGATGGATGAACTTATGTTGGGAGAGTGCCATGACGGCACATGGGAAATTCCCTCTTTTGCCCCGAAAAACGTCATAGACAACGACCGTTAAATGTTTTTCCATTTCGAAGTACACCATGCACTACTCTTCAAATAGAAATACTAAAATTGCATCCTCTTAGCGCCGGATGTTCGCTACCAGCAACCTGAGTATAAAACTACGTCGTTCAAGTCACAGAAGTTATTAACAGACTGAACATCGAGTATAGTAAGAAATCTGTTAAGCTGATCATCGTGATGGCCAGTTTGTGTGGCACTGTGTTTGTTTCGGCTCTGCTTGTGTGTCTGTGTGGCAGTGGTTTCGGCCTGGTTGAGGCTGGTGTGCCGGCTAAGCGCGCTGATGAGGGTGGTAAGTAGCCTTTACGTTCAGTTGAGTTTACGAGATCAAAATTCACTGTTTTCCTGAAAGAACCTTTTCCTTCACAAAAAAAACACAGAATTTGCAGTTTGAGGAGTGATTTTAAGTTATGTTTGGGGTCAATAGTTTTTAAATTGTATATTGATATCTTTATTTCATTTGACACTTATCATTTCGACACGATCTTCTCATTATGATTATATCCCCCTCCCATACTCCCCCTAAAACAGAACAATAAATTTCCTGCAAAGTTCAAATACACTTTTCATTATATTTGCAGCTGTCCAAAAAGTAGCTCTCAAAATTATCGTTGAAAAGCTATACTTGGTTTAAAAATAGTGGCACTAAACTCCCTGTAAAGTTATTCTTTCTGGCATGCTGTCATTTTGAAGAAAACAATAAAAAAAGGCAATTTCCAAAGATGTGTCTAGTGACCCATTTTTGGAAATTTCCGTTTACTAGAAGTTCGTTTTTAATTCGGCGAAGCCGTGATAGGGTGGGTGCAAGCGTTGACACAACGCACACACGCGCGACTGTGTCGTTTCAGTGCGTGAAATTGCGTAGCTGCAATCGGGTGAATTACAACCTCGTCCCCAGGGTGTCGAGCAGTACGCGCCCACCACTAGCTGCTCTCTCGCCCTAGTATTGGATCATTTGCATGTGGAAGATTTTTGAACACGTATGCAAATTAGGACTAGTCTAGTGCCTGCCTGTGCGTTACATTTGCGTTTGTTTTTGTATGCGGTGTCTGGGGTAAAAACAGAATCCATTCGTCGCAGCGCGAGCATGGCGTGAGTTACGAAAACACGATTTATTTGGATTAAACTGTTACGATCTTATCGAGATAACACATGCAGTATCGCATTTCATATTAATATGAACAAATTGGAAAGAAAATGAATATTTTCGAGAAGGCATGGACGAATGATTGCGAAAACACGTACTGCACGTTGTGAATAACAACACCAAGTACACGATATAAATCCTTTTCTGGCCAATTGCGGTATCGAATCAGGATACAGGAAGAAAGTTTCCTATCCAGGGCTTACTATTGGAAACGATGTTGGCAATAAAGTAAGCACCGGGGACGACGTTAGGTGAATTAGAACGTGTGCCGGACGCTGATTTCCGGCAATTCCGTCAAAACATGACTCGGCAACTGTTGAACTGAAATCGAGATCCTAGAATTGTTTTTTCGCACTATACAACATTCACTAAACTAAAACTTCGTCAGGTTAGTTGTTAAGCATCATTCTTTAGATATGTAGCATTTGTTGTTTCTTCAAACGAAAAACAATATGCACAAATGACAAAATATACTCCACTTTTAAACTTGGGAAAAGTTACACACTTCCTTCTTTTTTTGGCGAAAATCATGTTTTGAAACGCGTACTTTCTCTCAAAAGATTACCCCTGAATCTTTACTCAAAAAAAAGGAAAAGGAAAAGCAAAAGTGTTAACCACAAGACGCTCAATCTAAGACAGTAAAATCCAAAAGTACCGATTGTCGGAGTGATATTACTTGATTGTACTGTCTGGATTCCACAATGTTCCCGCTTTTATTGTAGACCTATTTTCCCGGTGTTTCCACAGTAACAGATATAACATTGGATTAAATTCACTAAGCACCACTTTATGATGCAACTACAGACAGGAAATTAAGGCCCGTCCAGTCTGAATTTTCCGGGACGATTTCCGGACAAGTTCTGAGAATCGCTCACTTAACTCTGCATTTCTCCTGGACAGATTCCGGGAAAAGTTTCTTTATGCAACTACTTGACTCAACAATACTGATAACTTCATTGTAGGAAAATTGCGGGAAAGTTGTTCAGATTCCTGCAATTTATACCCGATTCAATGTTCGCAACTTATCCGGACCTCGTCCCGGAATTGCCATTGAAATGAGCCCTTAGGAACCTGGTATATACGGTACAGGCGCGGATCCAGAGGGGGGTTTGGGGGTCGACCCCCCTGCCCTGACACACAAACAAACCATAACAATAATAGTAATAATAATAATAACCTATGTCCGCCTGTCCGCAACAATCCACGGATTTGCCCCTACGGTAATTACCGTATTACTGAGAAAAACTTTGTTAAGGGTGAAGATATAGGGACGGTTCCAAATACACTGTGAAATTTCTCAACTTGAACATGTTATCGTTAGGACGAAAACAATTACTACATTATCATGTCTTATTACAATGTCTCAAAACACTGCCTTATGACACTTAAAGGGAAATACAACATTTGCAAACATTGGAAAACAAAACAACCAATTTTTTACGAAATAGCTTACTAGGATGTTGGTAAATGAAAGTCTGAAGCATCCTGTAAAATTATGGCACCTGGTGTGAAGTCATTTCCAAGAAAAGTGGTATTTTGTATAAATTTCCAACGGTGGTCGGCCGACCACCGTTGGAAAAACCTGACTATTTTTCAACTACTGCTCCAAATTTACCCTTTTTTCAGTCCAAATTTTGTTTGTTATTGGTTCCATGTTCATAAATTGATGCATTTTATCTTAAGTGGAGTCAGGGAGCCAGACTACTTGAACATTTTTGTTTTTCCTGGTTTTTCCAGCATTTTCAAACACAAAACTTCAAATTTGTCAGTGTAACAATATTTGATCTATTATACTTACCCCTCAAATAGTTCATTTCTGTAAATTACAGCAAAAGCCAATGATGTACATTCCCTTTTAAAAACAGTGAAAGTTTCACTGTTAGAGGGTTTTTTTCACCATGGACCCATTTTTGTTTGTTTGAATGTTTGCATAAGACTGTGTGCAATGTTGTTGCTTCAATTAAAAAGCTCATGCACAAAAAGCAAATGATCCTTTGTTCCTTTAACGTCACAGTTACCTTCCGCTCGATCGATCAGTTTGCTCGGATGTCGATGTGTACTACGGGGTTGAATCTGTGGTCATTCCAACGGGACTACAACGGATACGGGTGTCACTGTGGCGTCGGGGGTAGCGGCAACCCGCTGGATGCAACGGACACGTAAGATAATAATAATAATAATAATAATAATAATAATAATAATAATAATAATAATATAATAAAATTTATACAGCGCAGACAATCGCAGAAAAATCCACCTTAAAGGCGCTTAAACAACGAATAAACATACAAACTGTATTATTAAAGTTAAAAACCTAATTTCAATATAGTCAGGTGGCTTAGACCCAATATTTGACAAGATCGTGACCAACTGGTCCAAAGCACCAAACTTAGCAAATATGTTGTTATAGCCTTAGAGAAGATATTTTGAAGGGGTGACACCTGAAATTCTTTTGGGAAGGGTGCCTAATTTGCATAAATCGTTAATCCCTACTGTGTAATACGCCAGGAATTTTTCATGGGGGGGGGGCGCTGGGGGGGGGGGGCTGGAACATATCATGGGGGGGGGGGGGGCGTCATGTAGATCAATGATATTTTTTTTAGAAACTCAAAATCTCAGTGGGGGGGGGGGGGGGGGGAGGGGGCGACTGGGGGCGACAAGGTTTCATGTCTGTCGCCCCCCCCCCCTTCAAGGTTGAGGGGAGGCATGTGACATGTATCGATAATACTTTTTAAAAAAAAGCAGCAAAGATTGGAGTTACATGACATACGGAATTAGTCACATGACAGGAACGGCATTTAAGAGGAAACATCAAACACGTCCAAATTTATTTCCGTTTATTTTACCCATGCACTTGGCCCTTTCTACAGTTTTGTTTTCTCATACAAAGCCAGCCGCAAAGAGGTCAGTAATGACACAAACAAACAGAATTTAAGGGGAAACACCAAACACATCAAAACTTATTTCCGTTTATTTTACCCACACGTGGTCCTCTCCAAATGTCTTTTTCCCCCTCATAATTATCCGTGATAAAGTACCGTACATCGAAATGTCTCGTATATTACCAATATCGTTTGTTAAAGGCATATATCATTTGCATTTATCCGAAAAGTAAATACCGACTAATTATCGACAAGCTTACTAAGTCTTGGATTATAGACTAGTACCGTACACCCCGTGAAATTTATTGTAGGTGAATCCCAACGATCAGTTAATATTAACTGACTTTTGAAAAAAAGAGTGCTATTGACGAAATCGTGTGTCGCGATCATGTGTATTGTTTTTGTTTTCTCGAAAAGTGTACTTTCATCTGAGCTGAAACTTCAACAGAATTTGAGTGGTGTTACCCGTTTTATTATTGGAAACAACCAATATGCATGAAAAGCAAATGACCCTATAGGCTTTTTATAAGTCCATGCACACCCTGCCTATGGGGAAGAAAGATTCGAGCGTAGAAACCAGAGTCCGAACAAGCAACCTTGCTGGGGAGGGTGGGCGGGGCAAAAAAAAAAAGCCACCTTTTATGTCCAAACTCGAGAGGATAACTTAAATCTCCTTTACCTTACCGCTTCTGCTTCACCTCACGGTTCATCCCTGCCAAAGCCGGTGCAGCATGAATTTAGGTTTTATGAAATACGGACTCATTGGTGATATTGCGCATGCTCATGCATAGATAATTAGGAGGGGGACCGGTCACGTGAGAGGGTTTAACCAATAAAAGGGAAAAAGAGTCCGATTTTAATACGAGTCAGATTTTCATATGACACCGGATTAAACTTCTGATGTATACTCGTCCGCCCTCTACGTCGCTAGCAGTGCAAATAGGTTGAAAATACCAAAAGCGAGTATTAGGCCTTCATCATCATCTAGCGGTCACAACCGGGATCTCGTTCACAACGCCTCGCCACAGTTTGCTGAATTTATTCGCATGCATGTACATGTGCTGCAGGAGTCTGCGTGTGCGTTGTTGATTTGATTTTCTCAATACATGTACATGTTTTTGATAAAACTGAAATTCAAGGGAATAACGACCCACATGTGCACCAGTTGAAACGATATTTGCGCAGTGATCGTGGGGCACAACGTTGTCGGTTTGTGCTGCCGCGGTTTGCGTCGGTTATTGAGAAGCGGTCACAATCGGTTAATATAATTATGTAACGTTGTAATGGCACATAGTTGTCTCTATAGGCTCGGTACTTCCCTGGCACTGCATTTACATTGCTAGCACATGTACCCGGTTCAAAATAACCTGGGACCATTTTTTGTTATTATAAATTGATAAACAATATCAAAACTTTACAAGTTTAGTAAATTATTATTAACTTTATGCCATTTATGATTAAAATCACCAAAGTATGCATAGTTTCTAATAATGTGCGCTTCCATGTACTTTTCATCGGTTGATGATTGCCCTATCCGGGGACCGATTTCTCTTCTAAATTTACAAAATTATATTCAAATATTGGACCGAGCGAGCACAGATTATACACCGTCTGGGACTCTCCAAAGCTAAGCATGTGTCAAAGTGTGCGTCTGTATTTTCGACTTTCCTGCCTATTCTTTTTCCCTCATGATAGTCAGGTGGCTTAGACCCAATTTCTGATAAGATCGTGACCAACTGGTCCAAAGCACCAAACTTGGCAAATATGTTGTTATAGCCTTAGGGAAGATATTTTGAAGGGGTGACCCTGAAATTCTTTTGGGAAGAGTGCCTAATTTGCTTAAATCATTAATCCCTACCGTGTAATACATTTATTCCAACATTTGAGTACATTTTTATTTTTGAAAAGTATATTTTGGGGATTCCACTTACACATCCTTACTTCAATAAGGGCTCTGTAACACTTCTGCGTATCTTCTTCTGACATTTGTATTAAGTTGTGATAAATAAAAATGCCTTTTCTATAGAGCGGGAAAGTTGACCTAAAAAAACCTGCGATATTTTACGGTAATAGTACATCCGGACAACGTGTGTAAAAACGCCCTATTTCCTTTTGCATTTATTTGTATTCCGACTTGGCACATTTTTCCCGACTTGACCCATCTAATCAAGAGCAATAAGTTGGTATTTCGAAAGAAAAGAAAACGAGACAATTATTGAAAATATTTGAGAATTGATGACTAAAGTAAAATTAAAAATGTTGACTTCAATCCATTCTATTTTTTTTCGACCTGTATTGACCAACCAAAAGTATTGGGAAGAAAATACCGGAGACAGTGTCGGCAATTGGTATGTGGACCAACATTGGGCAACTGATCACAAATTTCTCATTTGCACCGAATTATTTTTTTAAAGTGAAGAAGGCCTTTTGAGTATTTTAGCTCGATGAGTGTTAACAATTTAAAGCAGTGTTTATTAATATCAACTTCTTGCTTCATAAATTCACAGATTACTGCACTATAGCGACTTTGATTGTAGTTTGCAATAGTAACCACACATTATTCCTCTTAATAGACCTTGTGCGTAGCAGCCATCCTAGAGGGCAGTGCCTTTGTTTTGCTGGGATATGCACAACTGAACTTTGAGTACATTCATTGTTACCGAATTAAAATAACAAAAAAGTACCCTGTAAGATGGCCGTTGTACGCATAAGGTCTATTACGCTATTTGGTTTGTGTTTCTTTTTCTCTGTATAGTTGCTGTAAAACTCACGACAGATGCTATGAGCAAAGTCCGTGTTGGCGCAGCGCCCTCTGGTATACGATCCCATACAGACACAGCAAGAGCGGGTGTGGGACCGCTCTCGCCAGCATCACTTGCGGTATGTATGAAGGCTTTTATGGAAATCTGTTTTCTGCTGGCAGAAAAGCAAATGGCCACTTTTAGACCATTCATCGTGACAAAAGACGTTCGATCTGCTCTCTTGGATGGACGGCAATTGTCTAAAACGTGCAATATCTAATTTTGAAGATAAGTAAGTTAAATGAATGTGAGAGTGTTGTTGAAATCAACATCTTCGTGGCTTGCTCAGGAGAAAGAGAGACTGTCTTTTGAAAGTTTAAGCCCAATCTTTGAAGACGACCAGTTCCAAAATATTATTCCCGCCTACGAGGACCCAATTCGTCACTTATTTTCCCAATTCCAACTTTTTATCGATTCATCACTATATTCGATTCTGCAATGCTTCATTTTACCCGATTGCTATCTCTGATTTGAATCAGTCATCCTTATTCGGAAACCGTTCTACGTTTATTAAATTTTGACTCGATCGGTGTTACTTTGTGAATTGCGCCCTCCTTCGGTAACATTTCCAAAATGTACAGAAAGAATTTCGTTCGTACTGAAAAATTGCCTATGGGTTAATTTTAACTGCAACTACCCAAAATTGGGTTGTTCTATAATCAATTGTTTGGGTTAAAATTTCCGTTAATTTCAACCAAAAGCTGTGGTCATACAAGACCAAATTAAATTTGGACTTGTATGACCACAATTTTTGGTTGAATTTAACGGAAATTCTAACCCAAACCATTGATTATAGAACAATCCAATTTTGAGTAGCTTCAGTTTTCACCCTTTCTTGAGTAAAATTAACCCAGGCAGATGATACCCCCGCCCTGCAAACAGGAAGCTGGGATACGCTGATGAATTTACGCTCTGATTGGTTGGATTTTGCGTGACCTGGACCTGCAAGTCATCACGGCCACGACCCCTGCAAGGTTTTCAAACGGCCGTTAAGACTGATTTCATTACTCTTTATTCAATTGATAAATGCTTGTTTTCGTTGAAAAGCGTTATAATGCATGTAGAAAAATATGTAAAACTTATCTGTGTGGTAAATTGGCAATTCCCGTCACTTGCCCAGGCTCCATTCCGAATTCACGATGGTCAATGATTGCATATGCGACGTTCAAAATGTGTCCACATGGTCCGCAATGGAAACAAAAATCACATCCGGTATGGAATGTGTGCATTTCTATGGGAAGTTTTCGGATAGCATTTGCGCGCATTGTCTAACTGCGGTATCAGCCAAATGCTTTATACATAGGTCATAGGCCACTTCCTTCACAAGATTCTGTGAAGCTCATCAGCGTATCTCAGCGTCCTGTTTGCAGGGAATCTAAAGAATGTGCTGTGTTACACAACATTTGTGTCATTACGATGCACAAGACGGTGTCGAGTTTTTATTGCGAGTATCAAAACTTGGGCCTTTGATTTTCATTACATCTCGATCATTGTTATAGTCGACGGAAATAACACTGACACGATTGCAATTTTATTTCTGTTTCAGAGAGGGCCTCGGACTACCCGTGGTACTACGTGGGCGAGAACTGCGCTGAGGCAATCTGCAACTGCGACAAAGCTGCTGCCTTATGCTTTAAGGCGAACCGGTCAACTTACAACGCACATTATCAAGACCATGGCAAATCCACTTGCTTCTAGTAGTAGTTGCTATAATTCAGATAAAGGAGTAGTCCAAACGATTTCGATTCATATCTCGATCACTCTAGTATAAACTTGAACGCATAGGGTACACTCTAAAACAGCCGGGTCAGATTGACCCGGAATCCCGGGTTCTATTTTGGCTCAACGATTTAAACCTCAGATTAAGCTTCGTCGCAGTACCGTCAGTCTATCGGTATAGACCTATTGCTTTAAATTTCAATATCTTAGGTAAAATTTTTCACCAAGGGAATATAATTCATTGTTCTGCACAAATAAAAGCACAGCACTGCACTGCGTCTTCAGAAGAGGATTGCAATATGTCATAACATCTTAAAACTGAAGAGACTACATGGTGTTTCACGAAACATTCCCACTGTGTTTATTTCTTTAAAGTATATAACGCCACCTCTCTGTCTCTCTCTCTCGAAATCAAAATAAACACAACGTGCAATGCGTTGATGTCATAGTTGATTGCAAGGTTTCTTGATTATTTACTTTTATTTCTGTCTATAAGACCGACGCCTCTAAGTCCGACAAAATCGCATCCCTCACCCAAATAAAGGCACATTAGGCCGACACCTCATAGTTCCGACGCCTCATGAGTCCGACGCCTCATAGCTCCGACGCCTCAAAGCTCTGACGCCTCGTAGGTCCGACAATTAAATTTACTTTTATTTTCTGTCCAAAAGTCCGACGCCTCATAAGGCCGACGCCTCATAAGTCCGATAGCCATTATGAATCAATACAAACATTGCGTAAAATGTCAGAATGTTAGCGCCTTATTTTTAGAGTTAGCGATGCCGATTGACATTAGGGGTGGCACCAGACGCCCCCCCCCCTCCGGATTGACTCCTGTAGCATCAACCGTTGCGCCAAAAGCTGCGCGGTGGCGGACTGATCTGCGTCCAGTTAGTTCATGCTATGCACAGTGCGTGGTTCGTATAAGTAGACAACCTTGCGGACTTAAAAGTCGTAACATTTGTTTGTTTTTTAAATCTCGTTCTTGCCTTGTCGGGATCGGGCAAATAAACCTTTTCTGGTACTGGTCCAAAGCTCCGACGCCTCATAGGTCCGACGCCTCATAGGTCCGACGCCTCGTTTTTCCGACGTTGGACTTGAGGCATCGGACTTACTGTACATGAGGCGTCGGACCTATTGTAGTCTGAGGGTGCAGACCAGTAAATCGGTCCGAAATTGCCTGCGCCGGCCAAATCACGATTTGCATGCCCTCAAAATCTTCGGTATTTGAGCATGCTGTGGGCCATGAACTTGAGGGTTTGTAGAAGATATGGGTGGAACCCGTGCACAGGACTGGGAGCTTGCAGTTCTGTGTAATTTCGATGTAATTTGGACCCTAAAAGCGCTCTATTTTGCAATGGAGTGTAGGCATCGTTTGTCAAAATGGCGATGGGCTTCAGGACTATTTTCAGGGGTGATCATCTTCAGATGGAAATTTCTCCTAAAAGTCATCAGTTGACCCCCCGTAAATTGAACAGAAATTGAATTTGATGTGTGTCTTGAACACCTCGGAGAGTTGTGAGTATTTTTTCCGAATTTTTGAAGTGGGAGCATTTACCATTGGGGTCTATGGAAGTTTATTTACTGGTCTGTTACCTATAGTTTCAAAATGGCGCCTTCCATCGTTTGTTGTCAAAATGTTTGCGGAAAATGCGGAGTGTTTTTTTTTTCAGGGGGCGGAACCTGGGGGGGGGGGGGGGGCAACGTTTCAAACGGGGTCACCAATGGCGGTTCCGCAACAAATGCGCCCAAAATCTGAATAGGGCCGATGGACCGTCGTCTGATCACAGCAATTTTGAGCGAACAAGGGGGGGGGGGGGGTAATTTGGGGTCGGAAGGAGCAAAAACTCAATTAACGCCCGTTGGGGGCGCCCTACAGTAAGGTAGCCGCAAACAGAGGGCTTGTTTTCAGGCCAGAAATCGCAGTCAGAGACTTTTTTTCTTGCAATTTTTTGATGAAATATTAGTCATCCATCCTTCCTCGTGCCGTACAAGTGGTTTGGGGAAATTTTTCAAAACCTTGCTTCTCTATAGGGTGCAGACCAGTAAATCGGTCCGAAATTGCCTGCGCCGGCCAAATCACGATTTGCATGCCCTCAAAATCTTCGGTATTTGGGCATGCTTTGGGCCATGAACTTGAGGGTTTGTAAAAAATATGGGTGGAAGCCGTGCACAGGACTGGGAGCTTGCAGTTCTGTGTAATTTTGATGTAATTTGGACCCTAAAAGCGCTCTATTTTGCAATGGAGTGTAGGCATCGTTTTTCAAAATGGCGATGGGCTTCAGGACTATTTTCAGGGGTGATCATCTTCAGATGGAAATTTCTCCTAAAAGTCATCAGTTGACCCCCCAAAACTTGAAAAGAAAATGAAAGATGATGAAATAAGCTTTAATTTGATGTGCGTCTCGAACACCTTGGAGAGTTATGAGTATTTTTCCCGAATTTTTGAAGTGGGAGCATTTACCATTGGGGTCTATGGAAGTTTATTTACTGGTCTGCTACCATCAATGGGTCCAAGTTACTCGGACTACACTCTCGCGTATTTACTTCTCACGAAATAAGTGCAACGCAAAGCAAACGAAACTAGACAGTCTTACAATCCAAGTCTTACAAATGTTGTTACGTACCGTTAAACTCAAGTTGACCTATGCGAAATCCTTGCCTCAAGCTTACCTGGTTGCATCTTTCTTTTCTGCACGTTTACTTTTGGCTCTGGAATCCCCTGCATCGTTGGTTTCCGAGGAGGTTGGTTTTCTCTTTCTTGGTGCCATGATTGAAAAAAAAATTACCCCCTCAATGGTCACAAAAGCACAGCCTTTTCCATCATGCACCTGCCCTTTGCTTTGTTTTGCTGTCCAAAAAAGAAACTGAGTTTTGTTTATATCTTTTTCTAAACTTTAAAATGAATAGGACAAAGGAAAAGCTGTACGCTTCCCTTTTCTTTATTTTTAATTAAATTTCAAAATGAGAAACCCCTTTTCGATTCGTTTCGTATAGAGAAATACAAAAGGTTCGTTTTTTGGCCGTTACCGCAAAAGAAAATAACAAAATGCCTTTTTTCCTTTTCTCTTCCAAAAAAAAAAGGAAAAAGTTTAAACAATACTTTTTGGTATCATTAGCCGACGCGCACCTTCGTACGTCGGTCACACGTACGTGCAGTAAAGTTCCAGAAAAATTTACAGCTGTTATGAGTTTACTACTCGAACACTGTATCACACATCAAAAGGCATGCCAATATGGCGTTTTAATTTCTTGGGATAAAATTGAAATGTTTTGCTCTCCGGAGAAGTTTATCATGACTTAGTGCTATGCCTTTTGGGTTTAATCCTTTAGGTTTCATAAAGCAACGATCATTTTAATCCGTCACCCTGCCCTGGCAAGGCCTGACCGAGTTGGGGCAATTATTTGGGGTCCGCTCATAAGTCCGACGCCCCGAGATGATAAGTCCCGAACGCCTCATAAGTCCGACAAAATCGCATCCCCCACCCAAATAAAGGGCAATCAGTCCGACACCTCATAGTTCCGACGCCTCATAAGTCCGACGCCTCATAGGGCTAGGTCCGACGCCTTATAGCTCCGACGCCTCCTAGGTCCGAATTAAATTTACTTTTATTTTCTATTTACTTTTAAATTTACTGTTATGAGTCCATATTTCATGGAGTTGGATATTCACGCTACACCGGTGTAGCGTGAATATCCAACTCCATGAAATGTGGTCTCATTGGTAGTAGTGCGCACGCGTGAGCACGATACTATGCTATTTTAGGATCGTTTCGGGAGAGTGACCTGTCACGTGCGAGGGATCAACCAATAATAGGGAAATAGGGGTCCGATTTTCATAGGAGTCGGATTTTCATGTGACACCGGTCCTAAGCTCCGACGCCTCATAGGTCCGACGCCTCGTTTTTCCGACGTCGGACTTATGCGTCGGACCTATGTGAGGCGGAATAAGTCATCTTCCCTGTATCAATAACCTTGGGCGTCGCAACGATTTTTTCTAGAGGGGAAAAACATATTTTTCCCAAAAAATTCCTGTATTTCTCAACAGCAACATATTCTCGATTTATCAGTTTTTGGGGAGGGACATTTTGCGCCCCCCCCCCATTAAATTTAAACCAATATGACTTCGCACCTCTTTTTCTTTTCTTTTTTTTCTTGTTTTCCCTTCCTTTTTTGTTATTGTTGTTGCTTTTCCCTTGCCCCCTCCCCCTCACGAACAAAACTGAATGATCGTGTGTATTTGTGCAAAAAGGAACCAGACTATTTGTTCTTCCAGCCTCGCTTTGGTTACATTGATTTGAATGGGACTCAATCCCGCTAGTGTCCTTTACTTTAACAAAAACTTGAGACTTCAGGATCGGTGTTGGTGGGGGCGCATTGCACACCCTCGCCCGATCGTCTCTTCGGGTGTCGGTCCACACGGCGCACTATGCCGAATTTCCAACTTATTATTGCCGACACCACTTCACTGATGAGTCGCTGACAACCACTTCGCCGAATTGCCAATTCGCCGAATGGCGCCGGCCGAATTGGCAGCCACTTTGCCGAATTACCACTTCCATGTGCTTAGCTCGAACTTGCCCAAATAAAACTGGAAGACTTGTGTGTCAGTTCTCTGTAATATGACTTTATTTAGCCTGTACCCCAAGAGGGCGCTTTGCCACACTTCAAGTTGGTCCAATTATAATTTTGGTCAATGAGCAGGATGTGTAGGTTTTTTAATTAACATTTATGTACTTTCACAGTAATCTCCTGCCTTTAGCATGCTGTCCCCTGCCAATTGAAATATAATAACAGTTCCAAATATAGTCCCAGAAGAGTCATAGACAACGACCGTTAAATGTTTTTCCATTTCAAAGTACACCATGCACTACTATTCAAATCGAAATACTAAAATTGCATCCACTTAGCGCCGGATGTTCGCTACCAGCAACCTGTAAATCCAGGAAATATAGGAATGGATATTTGTATTGCTTTCGTTAATGAGTATAAAACTACGTCGTTCAAGTCACAGAAATCATTAACAGACTGAACATCGAGTATAGTAAGAAATTTGTTAAGCTGATCATCGTGATGGCCAATTTGTGTGGCACTGTGTTTGTTTCGGCTCTGCTTGTGTGTCTGTGTGGCAATGGTTTCGGCCTGGTTGAGGCTGGTGTGCCGGCTAAGCGCGCTGATGAGGACGGTAAGTAGCCTTTACGTTCAGTTGAGTTTACGAGATCAAAATTCACTGTTTTCCTGAAAGAACCTTTTCCTTCACAAAAAACACAGAATTTCCAGTTTGAGTAGTGATTTTAAGTTATGTTTGGGGTCAATAGTTTTTAAATTGTATTTTGATATCTTTATTTCATTTGACACCTATCATTTTGACACGATCTTCTCATTATGATTATATCCCCCTCCCCTACTCCCCCTAAAACAGAACAATAAATTTCCTGCAAAGTTCAAAAAAATTAATACACTTTTCATTATATTTGCAGCTGTCCAAAAAGTAGCTCTCAAAATTATCATTGAAAAGCTATACTTGGTTTAAAAATAGTGGCACTAAACTCCCTGTAAAGTTATTCTTTCTGGCATGCTGTCATTTTGAAGAAAACAATAAAAGAAAAGGCAATTTCCAAAGATGTGTCTAGTGACCCATTTTTGGAAAATTTCCGTTTAATAGAAGTTTTTAATTCGGCGAAGCCGTGATAGGGTGGGTGCGATGTTGGCAATAAAGTAAGCACTAGGGACGATGTTAGGTGAATTAGAACGTGTGCCGGACGCTGATTTCCGGCAATTCCGTCAAAACATGAGAAGGCAACTGTTGAAATTAAATCGAGATCCTAGAATTGTTTTCTCGCACTATACAACATTCGCTGAGCTAAAACTTCGTCAGGTTAGTTGTTAAGCATCATTCTTTAGATATGTAGCATTTGTTGTTGCTTCAAACGAAAAACAATATGCACAAATGACAAAATATACTCCACTTTTAAACCACCGTTGGAAAAACCTGACTATTTTTGAACTACTGCTCCAAATTTACCCTTTTTTCAGTCCAAATTTTGTTTGCTATTGGTTCCATGTTCATGAACGGGTGCAGACCAGAAAGATTGGTTTCCTTACCTTACAATTTTCCGGCATCTATAAATTGATGCATTTTATCTTAAGTGGAGTCATGGAACCAGACTACTTGAACATTTTTGTTTTTCCTGGTTTTTCCAGCATTTTCAAACACAAAACTGCAAACTTGTCAGTGTAACAATATTTGATCTATTATACTTACCCCTCAAATAGTTCATTTCTGTAAATTACAGCAAAAAGCCAATGAAGTACATTCCCTTTTAAAAACAGTGAAAGTTTCACTGTTAGAGGGTTTTTTCACCCTGGACCCATTTTTGTTTGTTTGAATGTTTGCATAAGACTGTATGCAATGTTGTTGCTTCAATTAAAAAGCTCATGCTTAAAAAGCAAATGATCCTTTGTTCCTTTAACGTCACAGTTACCATCAACTCGATCTATCAGTTTGGTCAGCTGTCGATGTGTACTACGGGGTTGAGTCTGTTGTCATTCGAACGGGACTACAACGGATACGGGTGTTACTGTGGCTACGGGGGCAGCGGCAACCCGCTGGATGCAACGGACAAGTAAGATAATAATAATAATAATAATAATAGAGAAATTTATACAGCGCAGACAATCGCAGAAAAATCCACCTCAAAGGCGCTTAAACAAAGAATAAACATACAAACTGTATTATTAAAGTTAAAAACCTAATTTCAATATAGTCAGGTGGCTTAGACCCAATATTTGACAAGATCGTGACCAACTGGTCCAAAGCACCAAACTTAGCAAATATGTTGTTATAGCCTTAGAGAAGATATTTTGAAGGGGTGACACCTGAAATTCTTTTGGGAAGGGTGCCTAATTTGCATAAATCATTAATCCCTACTGTAAAACACGCCAGGATTTTTTCATGAGGGGGGGGGGGGCGCTGGGGGGGGGGGGGGGGGGGCTGGAACATATCATGGGGGGGGGCGTCATGTAGATCAATGATATTTTTTTTAGAAACTCAAAATCTCAGTGGGGGGGGGGGGGGGCGACTGGGGGCGACAAGGTTTCATGTCTGTCGCCCCCCCCCCCCCCCCACGCCTCCCGGCTACGCTACTGTACATAATGAAGTTGGTCCACCCTCATCTGTGCAAGTTCGCACATACATATATTTTGTTTCACTTCGTTTCCTCGTATGTGTTGACATAATTCAATGATGATGATGCCACTTCAAGGTTGAGGGGAGGCATGTGACATGTATCGATAATACTTTAAAAAAAAAAGCAGCAAAGATGGGAGTTACATGACATACGGAATTAGTCACATGACAGGAACGGAATTGAAGAGGAAACATCAAACACGTCCAAATTTATTTCCGTTTATTTTACCCATGCACTTGGCCCTTTCTACAGTTTTGTTTTCTCATACAAAGCCAGCCGCAAAGAGGTCAGTAATGACACAAACAAACAGAATTTAAGGGGAAACACCAAACACATCAAAACTTATTTCCGTTTATTTTACCCACACTTGGTCCTTTCTACAGTTTTGTTTTCTCATACAAAACCAGCCGCAAAGAGGTCAGTAATGACACAAACAGAATTTAAGGGGAAACATCAAACACATCAAAACTTATTTCCGTTTATTTTACCCACACTTGGTCCTCTCCAAATGTCTTTTTTCCCCCTCATAATTATCCGTGATAAAGTACCGTACATCGAAATGTCTCGTATATTACCAATATCGTTTGTTAAAGGCATATATCATTTGCATTTATCCGAAAAGTAAATACCGACTAATTATCGACAAGCTTACTAAGTGTTGGATTATAGACTAGTACCGTACACCCCGTGAAATTTATTGTAGGTGAATCCCAACGATCAGTTAATATTAACTGACTTTTGAAAAAAAAAGTGCTATTGACGAAATCGTGTGTCGCGATCATGTGTATTGTTTTTGTTTTCTCGAAAAGTGTACTATCATCTGAGCTGAAACTTCAACAGAATTTGAGTGGTGTTACCCGTTTTATTATTGGAAACAACCAATATGCATGAAAAGCAAATGACCCTATAGGCTTTTTATAAGTCCATGCACACCCTGCCTATGGGGAAGAAAGATTCGAGCGTAGAAACCAGAGTCCGAACAAGCAACCTTGCTGGGGAGGGTGGGCGGGGCAAAAAAAAAAAACCAGGCCACCTTTTATGTCCAAACTCGAGAGGATAACTTAAATATCCTTTACCTTACCGCTTCTGCTTCACCTCACGGTTCATCCCTGCCACAGCCGGTGCAGCATGAATTTAGGTTTTTATGAAATACGGACTCATTGGTGATATTGCGCATGCTCATGCATAGATAATTAGGAGGGGGACCGGTCACGTGAGAGGGTTTAACCAATAAAAGGGGAAAAGAGTCCGATTTTAATAGAGTCCAAATTTTCATATGACACCAGATTAAACTTCTGATGTATACTCGTCCGCCCTCTACGTCGCTAGCGGTGCAAATAGGTTGAAAATACCAAAAGCGAGTATTAGGCCTACATCATCATCTAGCGGTCACAACCGGGATCTCGTTCACAACGCCTCGCCACAGTTTGCTTAATTTATTCGCATGCATGCACATGTGCTGCAGGAGTCTGCGTGTGCGTTGTTGATTTGATTTTCTCAATACATGCACATGTTTTTGATAAAACCGAAATTCAAGGGAATAACGACCCACACCAGTTGAAACGATATTTGCGCAGTGATCGTGGGGCACAACGTTGTCGGTTTGTGCTGCCGCGGTTTGCGTCGGTTATTGAGAAGCGGTCACAATCGGTTAATATAATTATGTAACGTTGTAATGGCATATAGTTGTCTCTATAGGCTCGGTACTTCCAAGGCACTGCATTTACATTGCTAGCACATGTACCCGGTTCAAAATAACCTGGGACCATTTTTTGTTATTATAAATTGATAAACAATATCAAAACTTTACAAGTTAAGTAAATTATTATTAGCTTTATGCCATTTATGATTAAAATCACCAAAGTATGCACAGTTTCTAATAATGTGCGCTTCCATGTACTATTCATCGGTTGATGATTGCCCTATCTGGGGACCGATTTCTCTTCTAAATTTACAAAATTATATTCAAATATTGGACCGAGCGAGCACAGATTATACACCGTCTGGGACTCTCCAAAGCTAAGCATGTGTCAAAGTGTGCGTCTGTATTTTCGACTTTCCTGCCTATTCTTTTTCCCTCATGATAGTCCGGTGGCTTAGATCCAATTTTTGATAAGATCGTGACCAACTGGTCCAAAGCACCAAACTTGGCAAATATGTTGTTATAGCCTTAGAGAAGATATTTTGAAGGGGTGACCCTGAAATTCTTTTGGGAAGAGTGCCTAATTTGCTTAAATCATTAATCCCTACCGTGTAATACATTTATTCCAACATATGAGTACATTTTTATTTTTGAAAAGTATATTTTGGGGATTCCACTTACACATCCTTACTTCAATAAGGGCCCTGTAACACTTCTGCGTATCTTCTTCTGACATTTGTATTAAGTTGTGATAAATAAAAATGCCTTTTCTATAGAGCGGGAAAGTTGACCTAAAAAAACCTGCGATATTTTACGGTAATAGTACATCCGGAAAACGTGTGTAAAAACGCCCTATTTCCTTTTGCATTTATTTGTATTCCGACTTGGCACATTTTACCCGACTTGACCCATCTAATCAAGAGCAATAAGTTGGTATTTCGAAAGAAAAGAAAACGAGACAATTATTGAAAATATTTGAGAATTGATGACTAAAGTAAAATTAAAAATGTTGACTTCAATCCATTCCATTTTTTTTCGACCTGTATTGACCAACCAAAAGTATTGGGAAGAAAATACCCGAGTGTCGGCAATTGGTATGTGGACCAACATTGGGCAACTGATCACAAATTTCTCATTTGCACCGAATTTTTTTTTAAAGTGAAGAAGGCCTTTTGAGTATTTTAGCTCGATGAGTGTTAACAATTTAAAGCAGTGTTTATTAATATCAACTTCTTGCTTCATAAATTCACAGATTCCTGCACTATAGCGACTTTGATTGTAGTTTGCAATAGTAACCACACATTATTCCTCTTAATAGACCTTGTGCGTAGCAGCCATCCTAGAGGGCAGTGCCTTTGTTTTGCTGGGATATGCACAACTGAACTGTTAGTACTGTGGCGGATTTTACTATTGCCAGGTCGGTTGTCCTCGGCGAACACTCGCGGGTAAGGCGAGTAACCCTAACAGCGCCGAGGTGCAGGTCCGTTCGGTTGGAAATATACCACCACGTATACCCAGTCTACTCACTGATCGCTGACTTCCAGACAGACAATACAGACTGACAAACATGTAAAAATGACTATGACGCAATGACAAAAGGAAGAAGGTTTCACTGATTTATTTAATTAGATCAATTATTATGATTAGAGTGATTTACTTGTGAATAAGCCCTAATAGCGCCTCAAGTGATTGCTATGGCGCCTCTAGTGAGTGTATAGCGCCTCCGCCGCCACTAGTTTGCACTTATCCACCACGCAAGTGCCGCATTTATGCACTTCTAAATGTCGCGCACAGTTGTTCCCTCGGCAACGCCTCTCGTCTCCTCGGGCCTCAAAGGGGTAGGCTCCTCGTGAGCCTGGTTTATATGGAGCGTGTAACTCCTCGATGAGTCCTAACGCCTCCAGCGGTACCTACAGCAGCCCTGCGCCTCAGTGCTCGGACCGACGCCTCAGTAGATGTACGCTCGCTAGCGTACGTCGTCCCTCGAGGCGTCCGGCCAACAGTCGCGCCTATGGCTCCGCTATATGCCCCACGCTAAAGGTAGGTAGGCACATATACTTACTGCAGTACGCCCTTTCGCCTCCTTGAATTGACGCTCCGGTAGGCTTGGTTGGTCCTGCCAGTACGAGTAGCGTTCACCAACTGGCTAGCCCGCTGGCGGCGACAAACTAATTGCGCGTCTATCGCTTTCTATGGCGCGCCATGTCAAAACAAATTATGTCAATTGCTCAAATGTTACACAGCTTCCTTCTAAGCCTGAACGTCCCGTTCAGAATCAGCTGACACAAATCACTACAAACATTAGCAATTGCTACTTAATTATGCACAAAGAAAATTAGCAGGCAAAATGAGTAACACTAAAAACTTATTTATTCAAAATGATCGGCTTCTAAACACAACATGGCGACGTCTCTAAATTATCTCACTTTTTCGCCATCAATAATTTAAGTGGACTAACATCAAGTGCCCCATGTCGCCTCATAGTGTCTCATAACTTAGGACACTGTTTCCTGATAAATTTAGTTTATCAAAACGTTATATAAACGAGGCAAGTCTCTGACTAACAAATTTTAGGGAACAATCTATTCTACAAAAACATTTCTTTTCCTTTTAACTAGTAACTTCAACAAAACAAGTGGAAATCGAAGATCTGCAACATCTGGTAGGGTTGGCCTTGAAGACTATTTCTTCTCGAATAGCTGGTCAAAGTTGACTTCGTAGATTCGCTCTACCCGGGTTTCGCTGACTTTGGTCCCATCCTGGAAGGTTGTCTGAGTGCTAATTTCTGTAACTC